CACCATATTTCAGTACGTATTATATTTAAACACATACACTTTACGGAACATGTTGAATCATGTTTCTTTAGTTTTCTACAAAAAAAAACTGTGAGAAGATTTTTTTCGTTTTTTTCTGCTGCCTGCTGGCTCTTTTGTTCTAAAAATTCTATTCGAAAGGGTGAAACACCCAAAATAAAAATTCTTGATAGAGTGAAGCGTTATAATGCGTATTAGTGAGGTTAAGATTTTCTTACTTTTGCAAAAAAAAATTATCATTTCTTTTTGAATTCTCTAGTTTTTCATTTTATGCCCTACAGGTGTTAGCAGAAGCACAAACACACATTAAGGCAAAATTTGAGCTCCACAGTAAGTGATTGTAGAGAAATAGGAGGCTAAGGAATGGAAAAAAAGTAGGGCGAGCAACGTAGGGAAATTGTGAAAGCAAGCAGCACACACATACAAACACATACGTGTGCGCGTATCGGTCCACAAAACAGTCAACGCGGCTAGTCCTTTTTCCGGTTATGTGTTTGCCGCGAAATGTGATCTTCCCTGATCTTTTTCTTCTATCGCCGAGACGGACAACGTGAAGGGGACCCGCCATGTTAACCCGAGTTACTGTGGCAGCAAAATTTTGTTGCTCATTGAGCTCTTCGCCATTTTTTCTTTAAGTTGAGAAACCGTTCATTGTTTATGTTTGAGATTTTCACCAGTTCTTTCTTTCTGTGATGTAGGTCAGGTGGCAAGTATTTCTAGGTTTTTGATTTGTTTGAGACAAAAATTTTTCTGAGACTTTTTAACAGCTTTCTAGAAGTATATAAGTTTAGTTTTTCCTCTCTAATCTCGTATTCCAATCTAACAGCTTCTAAAACAAAGACTAATAAATCAATGAGTGAATTGATGATCCACTTTTCTTCGTCTCCAAAAAAAGACTCCGTACACATGTGTTCACCAACCACCCACAACTATTCTTATTACTTTGACTGGTATAGCAAAACAAGGAATAATTAACCAACGTCGTCCCGGTTTAATTGCATACCAAGTGACTTGCGGACCACCGTGTCTGACCTTTCCATTCATATACCTCTTTTTCTCTGTTTCCGTGTGTTTGCAATGATTTCCGTTTCTTGCCATTTCTTATGAGGTTTTTTGTTGATGTTTGGGTGATCAGCGAAATTCAGGAAGAAGAAGATTATTTGAAGTGGAATGATTGAATAATTGCGCCCGTTGAAATCGGTATCTGGATCGGAGAGAACATTTGAATGCAATTGATTCCTCATTGATTTGCAATTCAATTCATAATACCTTAAGTTTAATTTCACTATTGATTCAATTGGTATATTTAACAAATTCTGTTAGTTCTTTTATTCTAGAATTACATCATACGTCATATTTTCGGTCATTTTGTCCATGTTCAGGAATTTCGAGATCGGCCGTCATGTTTCCGATCACTTTGAAATTTTAGAGGTTGAAAAACAGACTTAGATTGAAAGTTATGCTTTATCAGAATTTTTGAAAATTCCTAGTTTTTCAGATATTTGCCGATTTTTGAAAGACAAACCTTTTTTGGCTGTTCTAGTTCTGAGAACGTGAAAAACAAAAAACTGAAAAACTTGAAATTTTCGAATAAGTCTGTGAATGCAAACTCTTTAATCTACATACGTTCGGAATTTTCAAAATTGTTCGAAACTTGCCAGCCAAGCTCCATGCTCCTGAAAATGGACAAAATGACCGCAAGGAAACTCTGAAATACTTTCTTGTTCCCTTTTTCTATAATTAAGAAATGTTCACCTCTGATCTCACAAATTAAAATCCAATTGCCACTTGGAATTTCTCATTTCATTTCCATGTTCCCTTTGTTCCTTTTTTTATAAACCAAATTCTTACTGTTGCCATCTGTCTTTCTTTCCGTTTTTCGTTTTTTGCCAATTACCAACTTTCGATAATTTGTGCCCGCCGTCATTTCAGAAAACCGCTAAACTGGAAACCACCGCCCCGCTCAGTTTCCTTCCTAGGATACGAAATCTGCGCAGAGGCAACAGTTTCCCATGTGAGTTTGTTAATGAAGCAGATTTCTCAACACAAAAGAAATGAAAAGGAAACTGTAAATAATAATATTGGATTAGAATTCAGTGAAGCCTCTTCTCGATTTCAATTTTTTGTAAACAATGTTTATTTTGCAGATTAACGAACGATTGGAACCAAATTCTTGTTTCTTATTGTCAAAGAAATATAATTCAATATTCAAAAAAAATTCAACATGGATTGCAACGGCAACAACATCTCAGAAAATCCATTTCTAAAGGTAATTAATACCACCCCACCCAAAATTTCCGGCCAGAAACTATTTCTACCTCCCCGCCCATTTCAAATTACCTCCTTTTTTCAGCAAGACAACGCTGGCAAGCGGTTGATAAGGCGGCGGCCAATAATTATTCGGGATACGGACACTAAAAAATGTGAGTAAAATTCACATTTTCTGAATAAAATCGATTTTCACTCTTTTTTGTCTATGCATCCAGAATGATAACAATGTAGTACTGCTATCTTATCACCAAGACACGCACCCAATAACCTCCCATTCAATGTGCATTTTTGTTTGGAGAGTATGTATTGCTTGCATCATCGCGTTTGAACTGTTATTGACTCTTTTTTTTTGTAGTTAATCACATCATTATTACTAAAAATTTTTAAAGAATTCCAGTTTTTTCAGCAGATACAGGCTTCAAAATGCGAAACTCGTCAGATGTTGAGGGAAGTCTGGAGTCACCAAACAATGGTGAGTCATTTTCTTATTCTCAGCAGAACTTTTTATTTTTTGTCAAATGTTTTTTTCTGATAGTTCCACTGATGAGACACCCTCCTCTTCTTGTTATCGAGAGACAGTTGGATTACAATTGTTTCAAAAATGAAAGGGAATTGTTAGTCACCCCCTTCAAAGTGTGATGTAGTATAAGAAGTAACCTGAACAAATAGAGCTGTAAAATGTAATTGGGCAAAAGGTCGAGTTACACGAAAATTGAGAAAACTTTTAGAGGGAAAAAAGTGCCAAAAATCATGAAAAACGACTTTTGAGGGCGTTTTCTTAATTAGAATGAGTAATCGATTCCTAGAAATCTACACCGAAACCGAACCCCTCTTCCGGTTGAGATTTCACGTAATTAGCGTTCCCGGGCAGGTGTCAAACTTCTCACCATAAATCTCTGAGATCACAAATATATTTGCTCAATTTCCACACTCCCGTCCTTCACTCTACTTTTCTTTCTACGGCTTTCTTTTCGATATCCTCTTTTCCATTAGTTTCACTTAAAATACAGTACAACTTATTATTTTCTATTTTACTTCAGTTTTTACCCTCCCAAAAACTTTTATGACATAATGCCGAAAAGAGAATTCAATGAGAAAAATGTTTATATTAGTTTTTATTGGCTTGCTTCCCTTTCTTGTCCTCTCGCTTCTTGATAGCTGTACAACTAAAAAATATATAATAGGAAAGATGAGAAAAGGAAAGCAAACAACATGAACAAAAAAAAAAGAAACGAGTACACATTATGCTAATTTTTCCATTTCCAAATCATCATTCGAAATCTGTGTCAGATCGAATGGAAATTGCGACCTCACCATAGATATCAAAAATTTTGCCTTTCCTCTGACATACAACCTCTCATCTACCATTTTCTCGGAGATCGTCGCTGTCGATTCATGTTTTTTTCGACAATATTTCCTATGTATATAGCTAGTAATGTAGACTTGTATATTACCTCTTCCCACCTATTAATGGATTATAATACTATATGCAAAACAAATAACAGGTTCAACTAGCTTGAACATACGAAATTTGTTTACCATCCTTCAATTCATATTTTGGAACGACGAGGAAAAAAAATTGTCGTGCATCAATAAAATTGAGAAAAAACCTTATCACCTATTTCCTCAATTTTTGTGTTCCTCTGCTGGCTTTCCACTCTCCTACCATTCCTTTTTCCGTATCCATTCAAGAGGCTTTTTGTTTTATTCCCATCCGAAAAAGCACTCAAGAATATAGTGCCACTGATACGGTCATTTGTTAGCTCACGCTCATGCATTTCTCGCTCACTTGATTGCCCCTCCTTGCTTTGTTGGCCGTAAAACACAGGTTTGTAAAGAAAGAGTCTTCCTCTTTTCCTCTATCTTTTTTCGTCGTCCAAATGACCAAGAGGCACTCTTGAAAACAGAATCATACACATTTTTGCTCCAAGATTAGCACTCATTTTCTTCCTTAAAGATCAGTTGTTATACCGTATTTCTCCTAAAAAAGAACACTTAAACCATTACTTTAAGCCCATATATCTCATTTCCTGTCGGATATATACTCAAGTGGGCAACTAAAGAAATATTTATCAGAATTTTGATATTTTAAGTCAATAGATTACTTTTTGATATTTTTCACCGGAATCGAGAAAGTTGATCCATAGGTTTGGTTAAAGTTTTAAAACCTCTTTTTTTAATGAAAAGACGAATTGCGGAAAACTTGAAAATGTCAAAAATGTCCTTGTTTGAAAACTAAAACTTTCAGCACAACTAAGCAAAAATGGAGCTCGAATTTTGTAGATGGCATCTTTTTCTGTACATATCGATCCAAATGAGATATCCTGCTCTAATACAATCAGGTGGCAAGTCGTCCAGAAAAACACAGGTGCTTGAGTAGTGAAAATATCAAGCAGTTTATCTCGTTTGGATGAATCGTAAAAAATAAAAAATTGAAGCTTTTTTTGTTCAGTAGATCGGAAATGTTTCCGCCGCATCACATTTTCAGACATTGAAATTTACCTTTTTAGCGGAAAGGTACCATTTACAAATGTCTGACAAGTTCTGTAGATCATTAGTTAGTACTGTAGCTTTGTTTCAAAAATAATATCTCATTCGATCTACTCAACTGTTCTCTTATTGTTGATATTACCCGCCACTTCTTTTTCTTCTGACCGGCTTTCAAAAAACAACTCTGCTTCCTTTAGGTTCTTAACTGTAAATGCTTTAACATGAATCTCCGACGACACTCCTTATACCTCCCCGACTTTTGGAAACCATCCGACTACGCCCCATCAGAATACCAAAACCTAGACTACCCAAGAGAACCGCCTCCGGTTTCTCGGCGTCTAGGAGCAGCATACGTTCGATCCTATTCTCAACGACCTGACTCAACCCTAAAAAGAAGAATTGCTAGAACACAAAGCGAGCGTAAACCGGGCAATGATAATGGTTATCGGCCGCAGAGAACTGGTTTTGAGATTCCTCGAATCCCGGAGCCTCTCCAGAAGGAGGTGATCTATACAAACCTGCCGGGAAGCGATCATAATTTGAAATGGTCAATGTCGTTGGAAAGAAAACGAAGCTTCAACCATCACTTGCCATCTGAATATGAGAATTTGTCTCAGTTCAGCTATCGTCCAGAACACAAAAGTTGCTCAGATCTCACGCAACCTTTTGAAATGTACAAACCAACTACTATCTCTTTTTCATACCACAATTTGAGTCAAGGTAATATTGTTGAAAAAAATGGAATTATCAGAAAAATTCATTTGAAATCAAGATTCAAAATTATTTTTAAAGATATGTTATTTTCTTAATTTGTAGATCTCGAGTATGGACCGGGTATTGTTGAAAAACTTCGCGCTAAGTTCTCCAAACTTTCTGGAGCTCAAAAACAACAACAACAAGAGAAAAATGTGCAAGCCAAGAAGTACAGCTCGTGTGATGACTTGCTGTCTGAGTCAGATGCTGTCAAGTATGTTTTAATCAACACAAATAAATTTAAACTTGTAACCTTTCAGCAATGTCTTGAAAAGCAATCATGCTCCAGTAGAATTACAACGACGAACATCTCGTTCGATTAGCGACATGTTAGGTTGGTGGAAAAAATTTCTTCCACTGTTTCATTAATTGAATTTCAGAAAACGAAGAAATTGGAACCAAACCATTTGCGCCTCGAAATGTCAAACTAAACGAAGAAGAGGAGGTAATTAGATAGATGAAATGTCAAATAATTCAATTTTTTTTTAGTTTTTTAATTTCGTTTTTTCAGGCAAAGTCAATATCGCAACTTCGTCGGCGATTCGAGAAAAATGGAGAACAAGTCACGAAAATGAGATTTGCGCGAGACCCAGTTCAACTTATCACAAAGTTCCAACCAGATCACGTGGATCCATGGAGATCGAATACCGAATTAAACCGAACTCCAATTACACTAACCAACAGCACTTTCATCTCCCATAAGCCGCCACCGGTACAAAGACCAATTGAAGTTCAATCCCAAGCTCAACATCACAAAACTTCCAATGTATTGAAGGTAAATAGCCAGAGATTATGCATTCAAATTAGTCATGAAAACTACAATTTTTGCAGATTCTCAATGACGCCGATAGTAATCAAGGAGAACCAGAATTTGTACAAATCGCTCGTCGTCTACGTAGATTCCAACCAGAACACACACATGATACGCCTCCTAGTCCAGCTACAAATGCTCATATTGTTATAAATAATAATATTCACAAGCCAACATCTTTGCCGCCCACGCCTACTCAAACGGCTCCGGTCCGTCCGGCGACTCTCTGTGAGTTCTTCTTCTTTTTTATTCTCTTTTTTCACATTAGTCCGCTCTTCATCACGCTGTTCATCTCATTATTTCTTGCAGCGATGTGGCAACGCAGACAACCAGAAGTCCCACAATTCTCGGATGCGGCCAAGATAATCAGAGAGAACTGCGACATCGCCGTTCTGCCGCCAGACCCACACTCAGCCAGGTATGAATCATTTGAAAACAAAAAAAAACACACACACAAACGAGATTCACACAGAGAAGCGTGAGATTCGGAGAAAATAATAATATAGTGTAAATTCCAGAGTCTCCAAACAACCAATACCTTCAATCGGAAGCGATATTAGTAGCAGCAGTGGCAGCAGCATCAGCGGTCGATCGAACACGCCGAGCGACGCCAGCCCGCCCCCAGAGGAGCCGAAGTCGAATGTGGTTAGTCAACGGCGCCGCCGGATTATCTGCTACAAATTCTTATTTCGCATTTATTTTTCAGTTGGAGACTTACGCGCAATTCCGAAAGACAATCGTCGACATCTCTTCTGACAGAACATGTGAGTTTTAGGGAGAAGATGTTTTGAATTTTTTCTTGTTTTCGTATAAACTAATTAATCAATTTTCATCGAGCATTAAGCATCACTTCGAGAACGTCAATTTAAATTAACTTATTTACTTCAATAGAAGCTCATCAATTATCTCGATTCTTATAAGAAATACAAAAACTTTGTCAACTAGTAAACAATTGGTGTTTCATTAGTTCACATTTTTTGATATCTCGCATAGAAACCGAGATATATGAGCTCAAAGTGCAAATATGAGTTGAGTTTCTATTAGAGCATGTACGGTAGGTCATGGAAGAAAATACAAAAATTTAGCGGGTTTTCTTACTCATCTTTTATTGAATCTTCTGAACACCCTAATAAATCTTATTTTCTTGAATAAAACACCTTCTTCCACTTCAAGCTCCATTTTTTCGGTTCCTATAAAAGATATGAAGAAATAATAAATAATAAACTGATGAAATATTTGTCACCTTATCACCAACACTTTTGCAGTTTGTAGACTTTTAATATCTCTTACATTAGAGAATTTCAGACAATTGTGCAAAAGTTCAAGTCTACCAAATTAGCTTATCTCTGAAATTAAGAGAATTACCAAGAACTCAAATGATATTTGAGCTGAAAGTTTAAAAAAATTCTAATATTTCCTTCAAAAATCATGAGTCAAGAAGATCCGTCCAATGTTCGCCTTCATCTAATCCTTCAAAAAGATTAAAAGATTCACAAAATTGTTTTTTTCTAAACTCTTCATAAAACCACAAATCCGATATATGCGAAAATCCGTTCAAAACATGTTGAAAACAAGTAGGAAAGTCATTCTCAGTGGGTTTTTTTCAGAAAAAAGAATCAATGTTCACATAATTTTGATGATACGAAACTTTTTTGCAGAGTTCTATGGTCTTTAAAAAAATCTCTTGATTTTTTTCTAAAAATAAAAATTAGCTGAGTATTCATCAACTCTCACATTTTTTCAGAATTTAGATTAGCTTCATTCCAAACGTTTCACACATTGTTTATTCATTCGAATTCGTTTTATACTCATTCTTCAAATTAAAAAAAAACACCATCTAAAAATCTAGTTTCAGTTCCAGTTCCTTATACTTTCTTATTTCAAAGTTTTAATGGTTGTTTTTTAGCCGCTGTGAACAGTGTCAAATACGACAACCCATCGCCGGCAATAAAAAGTCCGATTACCACCAACAATCTTTGGAAGCCAACTATCAATAGTCCGTCGTCAATGTCATCGGAATCATCGACAGTGTCATCGCCGGCGGTGTCGGCAGCGGCAACCGCTTCAAAACTACCGTTCATCTCGCGTAAAGTGGATGACGTCGGCGTCAAATCAATGATCACATCGAACGTCGTGTCTATATCCGTGAAAGCTCCCGTCTCAAACTGGATTCACTCAAATTGTGAGTCATATGAGAAACAAGAGAGGTGTTTGGTTTTAATAAGATGAGTCGGGGATGATTGAGTGTTCTCAAATATTTACAACTCATTTGCACTTTCTAAAGCTGCGTTAGTATGAAATTTTCTGTTTAAAATTTGTAAATCATAAATTAGATCTCTCAGTATCGACACAAATATCCTTATTTGTTGTCATTTTTTAGTCAATGGTAATTACCTCAAATTTCTGCAGATTTGGTTAGATGCGTTTGAAAAGTTATCAGGTCCACTGAACAAAAATCGAGATTATATTTTGTAGTTGACAACTTTTTGTTCAAATTCATTCAAATAAATCAAGCCGCTTGATATGTCACAACTCTGAATTAGGTGCTATGTCTGGAATTTTTGACGCTTTCTAAGGGTACATCTCGTGTAGAGAAATTTTCGCAGAAAATGTTGTCTACAACTAAATTGAAACTCAGTTTTTGTTTAGTAACTAACTTGTTCACTTCACTAAACTTTTCAATATTACTTTAAAAAATCTACTTACTATACTCTCAGACATCCAAAGTTGACTATTTTTTACTGAAATAGATAAAATCAAAATTTACCCGATCTAGCACAGATCAAACGTTTCTTCTTGTGTATTACCTGCCAATCTGGAACATTTCGATACCATCTCCTCTCATTTCTCTTTCATAAACATCGTGTTTACAACTCTGCCAACAAACTGAATTGTAAAATGAAACAAAATTGCTTATCAATGTTGCCAACGCTTTCTGCCGCCCTACATGGAACCGGCACTCCTACTTCTATTCATAATCTACCCTTTCTGCCGGAAAAACACCACCTAGTCTAGCTATGGAACCAGTAGATACATATATAATTGACAAAATTGACTCCCGTCGATTGTCGTCAACGCCAGCGAAAAAAAGAGACCAGATGTCCCCCCGGGTCTCAATCTCTTTTCTTTGATTCCTTATATGTGGGTGGTGCAATGTGCTATATACAATAGGACAGGCACACAATGATTTCCATTTCTTTTCATTTTCTCGAAAGTTGTTTTGACACCCCCTACCGCGATGAAAACGGCCTTTGTGCCCGATTCATGAAAGAAAAAGAGAGGAATGCACGTTTCGAACAATTCCGCACTTGATTGAGATCGTCCTACAAGCATTGGTCATTTGTTACTTTCGCTTGTGTGGTAGAAAAACGTGTAGCAACAAATTCGACTCCTTTTTTGATTCGGTTTTGGTAGAATACTCCCTCTTTTTCTCAGCGGTTAATCTGACATTGAGATAATCGCATTTCGACCCAGACCATTCCGTAGGCAAGGGTATATAATAGATTTGCTTCCAAAACGCTTTTTTATTGCTGAAATCTCTCAGAAAGACCAGTTTCAGTCCAAATCGTAAGAGTTTTGACCTTTTAATGTACTGTAGGAATGAAGAAAACATAGTGACAGGAACCGATAGTGTGAGACCTTGCAATGAGTAATTATTCCAATTATTTTTGTCATTTAGAACCATAGTTTAGTTTAGCAAGACCTGTTTTTTACAAATCTTCTAGCTTGAAGCGAAGTCGAAAAAACATTATATTTTGCGCACATTGGAATTTTTCATCAAAAAATCCAAAAAAAAGCATTTCGGATGCAGATGAGCAATAAATCATAGAAATTATAATTTGCACTGATCTGAAAACTGTTTTGAGGGAATGGTTCTGCTTTTTTTCTGAATTAGAAAAAAAACAAAATACCGTTTTTCCTCTAATAGAGGAGCCCACCCAAAACGTTAACTTTGAGCTCTATTATCTCGATTCCTGTGATAGATTTCAGAAACTTGTCAATTGATAAAATATTTGTGATATTATGCTAAGTAGTTTATCAATTGTCATTTTTTTGATAGCTTCTACAAGAATTGAAAGAATCCCATCCGAATCATAAAATTTGAGCTCAAAGTTTATGATTCGGATGGGATTCTACAAATTAGAGGAAATTTAGGGGGAATAACAAATTGCTTTTGTGATACCATTTCACCAAATTTTCGAATTTTTTATCAGATAATTCAAGATCACCTCAAAATTTCTGTTAAAAACCAAACTTGGTTTTTCTAAAAATTATTCTGTCCAACTGAAAAAACAACCAAACAGAACTTTTTCGTTATACCCACTTTTCAACCATTAACCTAAATTTTCGACGACACTCTTTTCCAAACACGGCTTTCCATCTCCTCGTGTGTGGTTTTAGGTTATCTTAAGACATTAGGACACCCTTTTCCTCAAATTCTGGCAATCTATCCTCAGGATCCCGTCGGTTAACCCTCAAAACATCGGGATGTTTTGTACACTCATCCCTCGCAGATAAACATCATTCATAGTCATCGGAGGGGACCGAAAAGGAATAGAGAAGGAGAGAGAGGGTGTTATCCTCACTGTTTTAGTATATACTCATGTTTTCGCGCATCCGATAGAGTTCCCTTTTCTGCCCTCTTCTACCTACACCCAGTCTGTAAATGATAGTCATCGGTTCATTTCATATGCCCGGGAATAGGCAACAAAAGATTCTCGATTTCAAAGACCGCACGTGTGACATTGATGCGCACTGTTTGGGTCAGTTGACTTTCCATCTTCTACCCATCCGTTGCCGTTTCAAAAGTGGTTTTGTCTAATGATTCCAGTTGAACAAAGCCAAAATTTTCCCAAGCCCATTCATTTCCGTCCCTGTGTGAACGTCGATGGCCTTCTCTTTTTCCAAATGTCCTTTATCAGTATCATTCTACGTTAACTGAACTTGGCAAACACTTCTTTTCCTCCATTCATTCATTTTACGTTCGTCTTTTTTTGGAGAATAGACCAAGTTTTAGATGTAGGCGTTTTTTCTCTCGTTCTTATCATTTTCCCAAAGATTAAACTGTTCAAATGAGGAAAAAAACAAACAGGTTCATCTTCATTTCAACACTTCTGATTAATCAGTATTCTTCATTGTAGTTTATTGCTTAGTTATGAATCTAAAATGCAATAAAAGTGTCCGAATAAGACAAACACAGTAGTCACTCACTGACTGTCATCATATCCACTTCATAAACCAGCGCTATTTGTGTTTATTGAACCTGTCAAAACAATACCGTTCACTAGTCTTCGTATAATTTATTAGATCCTTACACTTATCTTTCCATATAAAGCTTCGTTTCCAATTGTAACAAAGCTGCCTTGACAACAAAAGTCTCTGTTTCATAATTTTCCTCATTAATATTCTTCTTCTTCCTTTTAAAATACACCTCCATATAATCGGTTGTACAGAAATATGCTCTACACACGGTACGCTAATCCGTCGTCCAATTCAACCGGATGTTCCACTTTCCAAATGCGATGGGTTTCGTCGGCGTTGAGAACTTGTAATAATACCTCTAATTAAAAATCAATAGAATTTATAGTTAGAATATAATAATTTCCACTATCATCAATTCAAATCTATTGTTGTTTTTCCAGATGACAAACCGGAGGATACGCCAACAACACCAACAACTTCTGAATCGATGCGATCAACGGCGCCGCTGAAACCACCGCTAACTTATTCGCCGTCCTACACAACAACTTCACTAAATTCAGTCTCACTTTCCTCGAAATATGTTGAGGAAAAGTCGAAAACTACTTCTTCGCATCAGCAACAACAACAACAACAGCCAATAAACTCTTCACTCAACGGACTGCTTTCTCCACGTGAGAAACCGTACGGAGACGATGTAACGATTTTGAAATCGGTGAGTGAAAACGAGAAAAAAAGACAAAGTTTCCGGAAGAATTGTCGTTTTTTGCTTGTTGAGATGTTGCTTTGTGGCCAGTCTAAAACACATTTTGTTTTGAGAAATTGAGAAAAATCGAATAATTTTAGAAAATTAAAATCGCTTTTATCAATTTGAAAAAAATGTAGAATTTGTATCAGAGGAGCCCTGACATTAAAATTTTTTGCTGTCTGTTACAGAAATCGAGATACCGTGAACACTCTAATAGGAATCCCTCAAACAGTCGACTTTGAGCGTATATATCTTATTTCATGTGAAAGGTTTCAAAAAGTAGGCAACTGATAAAATGCTCATCATAATATGGTCATTATTTTAACAATTTAGCACTCTTTGATATCTCTCACAAAAACTGAGATAGCTTGGCTTGAAGTTTGATGTTAATAGAAGTTTTGCCTCTCATTGGTTATTTTGGTTTTTAAAGAAATATTTGGATTTTGATAAAATTTTTGGATTTTAAATAAAATTTTAGATTTTAAAGATCTTGAACATTAAAATCCAAAAATTTCGTGCGATGAAATTTTCATCATAAATTGTGGCAAATGTTGCTCCTGGCTGTACTTTCATTTATTCGAATTTCAGTACTTCATTAACTGGAAATTTTCAGAATACTTTGTGTTTTGTTTGAAATTATAGGCTTAAACTGAAAAGCTTCCTTATCTCTGTACTGAGGAAATCGAAAACGATACCAAAATCAAAGGAGTTGGATGCTAAAAATATATACCTTACTTAGCACCCAAATCAAATTTATTCTTAAGCAAACAAATAACAATCAATCTTTGGGGTGCCAAACTTCTGACGGTACGCCCAACGTACAAAAGCGCTTTTATGCCAAAAATAGAGTAGTCAAAGCAGGACGTATTTTTATGAATCATTTCTTGAATTCTTTAAAATCCGAAAATTTCTTTAAAATCCAAACTAACCAACTAGAGCCGAACTTTTTATCACAGGCAATTTTATAATTGTTTACGGTTAATCCGGTTAAATACCAAGACAATTTTATTGAAGGATTTTCCTTTTCCTATTGACCCGAAATCTCAAGCCTCTTCTAAGAATTGTATTTATGCCTGCACTCTGCTGACTTTTGACCTTTTTGCATTTTCAGGAGCCCACTAATGAATCCCAAAAGCTCGCTGAACCTACCGCCACTAACATTATCGCTCATCAGGTACCTATTGTAGCTTTTGTCGAGCCAAAAAACATTTTAAAATTATTAAAGGATGACTCTGATACCAATTCCGATGGCGATAGCAACGATGGCAACGGCTCCTATGACATCACTCCAATGCGTCCAAACTCTCTTGTGGTACGTTGACAACAGGAAATTGGAAATTTTCGCAATTGTATTTTTTACATTTTTGTTGTTTCAGTTCACCCGTTTGGCCAATGAAGAAGAGATGGGAGGTGATGGCAATGTGATCAGTCGTAGTCTTCTGTCCCTGGTTGCCGAAGAGGATCTGCCGGATTTCCTCGTTGCTCTCAACGAGAAGCCGATCAGATATGTTGTCGTCGAGGAAACTGAGAAGCCAAGCACCTCCAGTATTCTACGCTCCAGAGATGTTCAAAAAGTGGAAAAAGCGCCAAAGGTAAAACAGTAGGGTTGTCCGATTTTAAATTTTATGAAGTTTCAGGGAACTACAAGAATCCGTTTCTGTACAGAGAACCCGATGGCATATGCCTATCTAGACGAGTATACAGCTACACGGTCGCTTTCTTGGGATGATGGAACAGTCATTGAGTATTCTTACTTCAAGGACTTGGAAGCAGCTGAAGAAGCCGCTCTATCCCATAATGACCCTACTTTGGCTCTGATTGAGCAATGGGAACAACAAATTGCGAATGATAACAGTAAGTACCTAAAATTAATGGGAAACAAGTTCAAAATTCAAAATTCAAGATTTCAGTTCGCCCACTCACCCATGATTTGGCGTTTTCCGATAGCCGAATAGAACCAACTACGGCTGTGTGAGTGAAGCTCAGAAAATTTCGGAATTTTTTTTTTCAATTTCAGAAGCTCTGTATACTGATGCGGCCGGATCTCATCTCACACCTAATCAAAAGAATCGTCATGCAAATTTTCAACCTGTTATTTCTTTTCAAAACCTTTATACTTCATCTCTCAATACTATTTTCAACTGTCCTTATTTTGTTAGGTTTTTACAACATTCTTCAGTCCTCTCAATCTTTCATTTTTCCCTTCTCCCTGTATTTATAGCTCCTCCTGCTTCTTTTTTCTGTCTATTTCTGAACGATGTTCAATTATATTTGAATGAAAAACGTTTCACGCTGAATAATTGTTCCTGTTTTCGATATTCAGGAATCTGTGGAAAAATTTTAAAAAAGTAGCATGCAAAAATAAACAATCATTAAAGAAATCCACCTTTTCCGATTCCACCAAAAAAAAAAGTGAAAAAAAATAAGATAAATCTGGTTTCGGTTGGAATAATACGACAGGTGCTTTTCCCTCTCCGAGCTGGGGATTTTTTTTCCAAAATTCTATACAATTTTTGTTTTCAACTTTTTACTAACAAGACCTATAAATCAGGTTAAAAATAGGTCGCGGCTTTTCTAGCGACATTTTTCTATTTGGCGAAGAAACTTAATACAAACAATTTTTGACCGAGATGCTTTGAAAATATTCCGAAATTATCCAAAATTCTGAAATAACCCCGTAATATTACCACGAATATGTTTAGTTTGATTTCTGATAATAATTTTTCAAAACAAGGAAAATTCGAAAAAGGTGCAAAAACAATTTCGAACTGAAAATTTTTGAAAGTTTTAGAAAGTTTTAGAATCCGCTTGTTTATGCACACTTCCGTAAATTGCAGAGTCCACTCAGAGGTTTCCAAAACACAATTTTAGCAATTTCTAGAACGTTTCAGAACATACAAGTTTTTGTTTTATACTTTCAATTGTATGAAATTGAGACATTTTCTCAAAATGTTTTTTTTTCAGTTCTTCGAAAAATTTAAAAATTCGAAAATAGAAAAGACATTTTTAAGAGAAAATATTTGGAAAAAAAAATCTCATTTACAATTGAGTATATTACAACAAATATCATGTTTACAAGGCTTTTAGGTTCCCTTGATAATGAAGCTTACCTGTTTACATCTATAACACTGTTTTTCACTCTTTAATGATTTCTTAGAATCTCGTTTAGCTCCGCTAATTCTTAGTTACTCAAAGTCTCTAGTTCATCGAACACGCCAATTACAGTAGGCTCTTATTTGGGCACCTCATAAAACCTCCGGAACAAGCTCATTTACACTATACAAACCCCCAGATTTTTGCCCTTCCTTCTTCCATCGTCTTACTGTAATGGTATTGCCTTTACGACAAATTTCTTCCAAAAGCCACCCAAAATTGGCACGTTCAATCCTTCTTTTCACATCCAATTTCTTCATCTCTTTGACGTGGCAGGCACACACTGCTTTATAAGCCACACCCCTTTTGGCTCTTCCACGTCGGCGCCGGAACCATTCCACTCTTTTCATTCTTCGCTTCCAAGAGACATCCTGCACAGTGACTTTTTCACTTTCTTCCTCACTGGCGAAGTATTTCTTTCTGCCTCTCCGCAATTTTTTTGCTGTGCGACAAAGCCTTTTCTATTCAATCACATTGAACTCCACATCCAGAAATATGCAGAGGTAGATGGCTAACATAGAGAAAAAGAAACACAGGCGTCTAGGTTTTTCTTATTAACTTCTCCTCTCATCCATATGCACTATGAGAATCTGCTTTCCCCCGCACCCGCATTTTTCACTCTCTTCATATCGTGATAACTCTCACTTTTTTCTATGATATCCGTGTATTATGTGCTATTGAATAAGTCATGATTTTGAACACCTGGAACACGAAGGCTATTGTTACTAAGTAGCTCGTTAGTTATTCAACAAAATGAAAAACAATTCCTTCTTACATTCACCCTCATCTCAAAATTTTTGATTGACGTCTTCACATTTTCATCCACTTATTTTTCTTAATTTTTTTTTGAAGAAAATGCCACCAGATGTTAATTGGAAATTTCAATTTCAAATCGAGCCTACAGTTGAGCGTGTACATGATTTGGTGCCCCAGTTGATGCCTCTAGAAGGCGAGGAAGAGGATGATGTTGATAGGCGACCACGAGTAGCACAGTCAGAACAGTTTTTGAGTGGCTCAAATTTGAAGGTTTTTCAGGCAACTTCAAGATGTTAACCAGAATCAAAATGCAGCTAATAATCGCAATGCCATTGGGAACGAAAATCGCATTGCAAACCAAATTCGGAATCGAGCGTTTGACCGGGCTGCTGGAGAAAGGTGAGAATGGGAGGACATAACTTTTAGTGGGTTTGCTAAGACGGAGAAAATAGAGTGGATTGGTGGTTCGGCTTACAGTTATTTTGTCCCAGAACATCACCAATCTTTGTCAATCTTTAAAAAAAGTCAATCTTTTTTCGAAAGTTTGGGATTCTATTACTTTTATGGTCTGATTGTTCACGGCTGTATCTAAATATTCTGATTTCGCCAGATCGACTTGAACATATCAAGCACTTTCCAGTCTGCTGATAACTGAGATAAGATAGATACTTATTTAAAAATACGGATCACCGTCAAGAAGTTTTTCCATTAGAATATCGCTTTTTCTAATTGTTGCAATTTCAAAACTTTTTCAAATGCAAAAAAATTGGGTCCACGTGGTTAGGCCGCGATTTCTCAAGTGTGCTTGTGGTGTTACCGTAAAAACAATAATATAACGCCACCAGTAAAAGAACACCCCCTCTATCACAACGCCACATTCATGTGGTGCTTGAATATACTTAGAGATAGCGAAACAAGATTTTTTGCTTGGTTCGTAGATTAGCTCTGGAATTTAAAGGTTTTGCACGAGCTTGATATATTTCTACTCTTCTAATCAACTGAAAACCCAAATTTTGCTACCTCGCATCATCTCAGAATACCTCTCCAAAAAATAGAACGCCATGCTACAGGTTTTACGGTTTATTTTTCTGAAATCATTCGGTTTCAAAGTAGTGTAGTCGTTTGTTATGGGACTGACTCGTAAGAAAGCTTTAATTAATTTTTTTTGTACAATGAACCATTTTGTATGTTTCAAGTTATTTGAGAATATTTTTCTAAGTATTATAATTTTCATTCCAGGCAAAATTAAAATCGTCCAAAACACTTAGCATCTATGGAGACAAGAATAGTTGTCATAAAGATTTTATGAGAAAACATTCTGTCGTAAAAAGGATTTCTGGCATCCATCGAGAGCACGGCTACATATAAATTTCTGTTTTTGTGACTGGGATAAAAAGAATAAATATTCATTTAGGAAAATATGCGATTAGGAAAAATTATTAAAACATCTAAAACGTTTTATTTTCAGAGAAAACCAAGAGCAACCACGAATCTCATTTCTGTTCCGCTTTTTTATCGGACCACAAATAATCAGGTGAATCATGAAGCGGCTGATTGTTCAATTTTGTTCCAGTGCCCTGAACTGTTTCAGATACTTTCGTGCGCGTCGTGAAATGTACGAGGCTCGTCGGCAGAATCACGGGCTTCCTCCAGTACGCAATCAACCGTCGACGTCTGGAATCGCACCTGCTGCACGCCGCAACTGAATTATCTCCCTGTCATCATCCAGCCTATTTTTTATGTATCGCTTCTGCCTGGTTCTCTGATTAACACCGCTTCTGAAAACGCTTTTGGCTCTTTTCAACTGCCACAGAGCTTCTGCCACTGCATTTCTTTGCCTTCCACTCGATCTTCACATTTTGAGCCGAAAAACTTCACTATAATAAATAATGATTCTTTATTAACATGGAATGTGTATATTTAAAAAACTATATCGTTCACTTTCCCTCCCACATTTGCTTCTGGAAACAGAATCGAGTTAGAAAAGAACTGCAACTAGGAACACAACCAGAATAGTCAGAACGGATGATGATTTCTCGGCTGTGTTAAGTTTGCATTGGGGCAGCATTGCCTTCGTTGGACGAACGATCATCTCACGAACCAGTTGCCATGCTCGATATCCACATTCGTAGCGGATGGGATACTTCACACAGTCAATGTAGTTTCTCATTGCTCTGGAAAGTGTGAGAAGACATTAAGAACTAGGAAAAAGTTAAAAATTGCACGGATCACCTACCCACAAACTGCTGCGTCATTAGCTCCAGAAACTTCTGAATGACTCTCGGAGATTTTCCTAGTATCCGACACCAGCTCAGCTTGGCACTGCATCATTTCAGATCTAGTTAGGGTCCTTGTAAAGCATTCAAAGTTTCGTAGCATTTCTGAAAAAATAATTTGGGAAACTATGTGTTTAAAAATTGAAACAAACCCCCATATCCATCTCTGCACAGAAAATCCAAAATTTTAATCGCAGCGTCATAATTGAAACGGGCCTTGTCTGCAGCAAAACAAACATCTTTATAAGGCTCAATGCAGACATCAAATAGAAAGAAATTGCTGGAAAATGAGAATTTCGGGAGTAAATAAACAGGAACATTAGGCTTACTCGCAAACTTCTGAGAAATATGATTTCGTACGGAAAATAAATCCTTCCCATCCCAAATAATGTGAATTCTCGGAGATCGCTCCCATTTTATATAAAGGCTCGGCGCATTCTTTTACTCTGAAATTCGTTCACTCTATTTTTAGAACTTGGATTGAATCTTACTTCTCTTGCTCTATTTCTCCACAGCTAGTTGGTTGATACATTGAAACATTTACAGGACGATCATAGTTTTCTTCGGACTGTAACCGTAGATAATTAGATGTACGACCACTACAAAAAACTCACATTATAATCATAAAACGCGTTGACGTGCTCCTGATTTTCCTGAGTATGATGTTGAACTGTCGGCGGAGGGAATTTGAATTGAGCACTGCAACATATGGTGAATACAGCTATGAAAATTGAAATCCTGATCAGCATGATGATGAATAATGATAATGAGACCGAACGATTATGCTCTTTCTTTGTGTTTGCGAGCGCGCAATCATGACAGAAGCCATCAAAATGTCGTCAGGTTTTCCGAAGAGAGCTAGCTGTACGTGTGTTTGGTTTCACAATAATAATAATAATATTATTATTGAAAGGGAGTGAAAAAGGGGACAAGTTGCGCATATGTGTGTACTGTTCAATGTTCGAAGTGAGTGAGTGTGCTTTTGATTTTGTCGCTCCCGTTTGCTAAAAGCCACCCGAGTGCTCAAGGAGGAAATGTGCGCCTAGCTAGAGAGCATGAGCTGTTACTTGGTAAACACATGTAAGGGAACATTGAATAGAACAAAATAGTTAGGGAAGTTCGGAAGTTCAATTTTCAATTGGTTCGACAGGACGATGCAAAAAAGTTCGAATAACTCTTTGCATTTTCGAAAACATATACAGTAGCGGCCAATAGGATGTAAAAACGTAGTTTTGAGTTGATCCATTTTAATGAGTGTCAATTGTTCGATCACTTAGAAAATTTTGAAAGGTTTAAAGCAGACCTATATTAAAAACTATATTTATTGAATTTTTCAAAAATTTTTAGTTTTTAAATCTTTGCAAAATTCTGAAAGATATTTTTTCACGTTGTCAAAACAAAATCGTTTTTCAGAAATCGACAAATAACTAAAAACTAGAACATCTCAAAAAGTTCTGTAAGTTGATTTTTTTCAATCTAGGCCTGTTTTTTTGCCGTTTTATAACTTGCTTAGCCTGTGTGTTAGCGTGTACAACATTTGCGATAAAACTTCTAACGGGAGCCTCATAACCGAATAAGTTCATTTCGTTTCTGGCAAGAATTATCAGAAAATGATATCGGATAAAGTTGCCAGATTCATAGAAATTGTTTTGAGAGCTTTACGGTATGATATGTAGAACAGTCTACGATTTTTTCAAAATCAAAATGTTTCACGTGATCTGTTATTATGTGCTTTTGAGATTTCATTTATTGACTGTCTGAGAAATCAAATGATGGTGTGACACTACTCGGCTCTGTAAACCGTTTCTAAGGTAATATTATCTTTGTAGAACTAATTCTCTGTTTTCTTCGTGTATTTCATGTGAATAGGAATATCGATTTTTGTCTGTTAAATTCATATTGTATTATGTTCTACTTGAAATGACTGTAAAACTCAGGAGTGTGTTCAGATTAAACCCCACTTTCTAAGTTTTTGAAATTCGTGGAAAAGATGAAAACATTGGTAACGTTCGAAATATACTGTCCGTTATTTTTTTATCTTTTCGACATCTTTGACAGGTGCCGAGATAAATTGGGTCAGAGTGACAATGTGTAGAACGTTTTATTACGAATTTTATGTTGTTGCCTTCATTTCGTATATTTTAATATTGCTAACATATTGTCACTTTATGGTTTTAAACAAGAAACGAGATAAACTGGGTCAAAGTTGACAGGTTACAGTAACCATTCCATTGAAGATTTTCTCGGTATACCTATTTTCCTTCCCCCCTCAGTTTTTCAAAAATAACATTGTGTTCACTGTCATGAGCTCTTTTTTCTTAACAGCGTCACATAACTTCATTAGCGAATTCCACTCTACTCGTGCAAACACAAAAATCTTGCATCATTTTGCGTGGGGGCACCTTGTTTTTTTTCTGCAAGTCCAGAATATTCTTTTGTTCGGGTAATATTACATTAGGATAGTGGAGAATAGTTCTTTTTCGACATTACGAAATATTTTTTGTCACAAGGAAGAACCTTCTTTTTGTCTGTGTGTATGTGTGCGTTTCTGAGAGTAAACTTTGTTTGAAACAATAAGATGTCTAGATTGAATTTTGAGCCTATGCTCTTGCTTGCTCTAAGGAGGAACCAAAAAGTGTAAGACTAAAGTCAAAAGAAGAGTTCATCTAGAATATTTGCAAAATGTTAGGCCATGGTAACAATTGGTATGTCACATTTGTTGACTTCTCCGAACACCAATCACAGTCGCGAAAAGGTGAGTTTTTAATTTTCCATCTAAAGTTTATAAAGGAATTAATAATGAAGGTGGCGAAGTAAACACCCTCAAATTTTTCTTGTGTGAGCACTTCAAACAGTAAGGCACAGAAAAACAAAGAACAAACTGATGTATCGAGACAAACAGTGGCGCTTGACGTTAAACAATTCACTTTTGATCACTTACCCACGAACTTTTTTCACTTGATGTAGTTTGCTCGTCCATTTTTGTATCCTCATTTGCATCCAAAATAATACTAACCAAGATTTATTACATATCCACGAATCTAGGTTCTATTAATGGCACATCCACTTGTATAATTCGTCGTTTTTCGTGTCATCCATTAATTTATTTGATTTCCACTTTTACCGGAGTTACAACAATCTGCACGTAGCGTTCACAACTTGTGTTAGCTAGTTTACACGATGTTTGAGTACATTTTTTCGCATTACAGCTCGAAAATCGGGTTTTTCTCTTGTTGAATGGTTCATGTGGTGGCCTAGATATAGAAAAAATAGAGTTTTTTGATCTGAAAGTTCTAAATTTAACCAATAACTTGAATGAAAATCAAAAACCTCAGATTTTTCTATTTTTTCATAATTGCAATCATTTTCATCATTTTCAAATTTGATTTGCATCACTGTTTTATTTTGTGCCAGCAATTTGGAAAAAATAAACTCAATTTATCATCCAAAAACTTGAAAATCGAACAACACTCAAGTCAAAAAAAATTCAGTTCGAGTAGTTCCCAGAAGGGCTCAACAGTTTTGAGAAGGGGTCCCTTCCATTCTCATATATTCATTTTTTGTCTCTCGCTTCTTTTTTTTTGAGACGTCGGGGCTTCTCAATTTTTGATGTTTGCAACTCAACTTGCCAAGCTATGCATTTAGACTCACTCCAGCCCATGGAACCATAAACTACATCACCTCATTTTCTTTTTTCTGCTTCGTGCGTCATATCATCTTTTTGGGTAGGATAAATTATCACTGAAAATACATTACAGGATCAAAAAATCATATTTGAAATTTTTCAGTAGAAGATAGGAAGGAAGTTTTGAAGGTCAAACAAAGTTGTCTTCAAGTAGTGTCTGAGCTTCATTTTTCAATTGATAATTTCTTTTAAAATAGATCGAAACCAGATAAGCGCTTTTGAAGTGACACAACTCCAATTTAAGTGCTAATTAACTCATTTCAAGATACTTGCGGCTAAATGTGAGACAGGGAATTTCAAAAAGATTTTCAGCCTTATTTCCAGTAATTATTTTTTCTGTTTTCAAAAATTTTTGGATTCAACAAAAAAATTATAAAAAGCTTGCAAATCTCAGCAGAATGAAATTTCGCAAAAAAATTTGCAAATGCAAAAATCAAAAATCTGTTCAGTACATATATTTTGAAATTTTCAGACGAATCCGAAAATTTGAACTACTTGTTCACAACTTCAAAATTTATCTTTCACTGAATAAGTCAAATTATAACTTTTTGTAATCCTGTTTTACCGAAATTTCAATTATTTTGTGATTCTGAATTTTGTAGTTTCTCAGAACCCCATTAAAGACTTCATCACCAAAAATCTGGTCAGCAGATTGAATACAATATTTTCTCTGTTTTTCAAACTAGCATTCTCTTCTCATTACTAGCTCTCTAAAATTCACCACGTAACCAATAGTTTCCTTTATGCTGTCTTTTCTTGAAAAACTTTTTTCATTCTTGTTTTTTCAGTTGCTAGAGAAAAGCACTTCCCTTCTCGAAAAAAAACTCGCAACCATTTTTCTCGTTTTCCTTGACTTTTTTTTTCACATGTGGCACCGATTCTGTCCGTCCGGATGGATCGCTTCCGGCGGGTTCTCCCCATTTTCACACAGAATCCAAAGTGTTTTTCCGTTGAAATGAGAAGAAGGAGGAAGATTTTGAAAATCTCTCGACGTGAATTTCATTTCCGTCACTCCTTCTTGAAACCAAATGAAGCGTCTCGTTGTCGTCGACGTCTTATATTATAGGTTATTTTTAGAGCCAAAATCTCTCTATTTGTTTCAGATTTGAGTCTTCCTATATAGAAAAATGAAGCCCCAACATAGTTCAAATTCTACAATTGAACATGAAACGTAAGAGAGACAAAAAACTCTATGAATCTCTAATACATTTGTTTCATAATGAGCACATAGTTCAAGACAACAAGCATGTTCCTTCCTTTTATGTTTTTTCTTTTTTTTTCTGCTTCTGATGACGCAGTTATGAATTCTTAACTCTCTTCTTGTCTCTTTGTTTGGTCTAGGCTGGTTGCCCATAATTGGGATAATGTTGGCATTTTTTCAGTGTCCCTCTCCTTCTCTTTCTTTTCCTATTTTCCGTGTTGTTTGAGATCCGATGTATAACATATAATATTTCGTTTCAGAACAACATATTATCTTATAGTTTATTACCTCCAATTTTCTTACTGGAACAATTACGATGCCTTCATTCTTGCCCAACTCTGGATCCCCTAGAATTATTGGTTTTTAAGGGACCTTCCAACTCATGTACCCTCCCCGCCTCAATACGTCTTCTCGATCCTCAAATTCCTGTTAAGTGAGCAACAGAGCAACACCCCCGTCTTCTCGGTTAAGTATACCAGTGTATCATTTTATCATTGTGATGCTCCGAATGCTCCTTATTCATCATTTTCTCTTTTCTTTTGACTCGTTTTGTGGTCCCTGTAGTTGTCCTCACAAACGTTTTGCCTCGGTGCCCATGAACGTTTTTTCTCTGACGTATCATGCCTTTTTTGAAGACTAGATAATTGGGGACAAAAACACCAAAGCGTTTTTGTGGAATTTTTTTGAGGAGAGATCGATACGGAAGTCATTTTTGCTCTGCTTTGTGAACATCAACCAATAACGGTAGTAGAGTTACTCATTTGATATTTTCCGCAAACTATGGTTCTCAGTCTCAAAGTTTTAAAAGTTATAAGAGATTCCGAGGTCCTTGAAATGCCAAATTTTATGATCTGAATTTGTATTGCTATCTCAAAATCGCGGAATCTGAAAACCTGAAAACCTCAGAAACTCAGCATTTCAGAATTTCAGAAACTCAGAATCTCAGAATCTCAGAATCTCAGAATCTCAGAATCTCAGAACCTCTGAATCTCTGAACCTTATAATATGATTTTTGTTTCGAATTAAATTTTTTTTCTCCAACAAATTGCCGGCTTCTATGAAACATCCTTTTTCATATTTATAGCTCTATTCAATTTCATATGCAAAAACGTTTCAAATAACCCCGAACATATCACGTCTCTCTGAATACCCATTCTGATTACAAAGATATTTTTAGAAATCAATCTAACCGTCCATTCACAAAAAACCTCCTCCCACATCTTCAGCCTCCATCCAAAAAAATGCTCTCGTGGTGTAGAAAATTGAGCTTCGACCCCACGGCCACTCCAATCCTCCTCCTGAAAATGCCTCATTTCTCGTGTGATGTTTACACAAAGCAACTAATTTGTTGGTCAAAAATAATCTCGCGCCCCAACGACGCCCATTTTTTTCTTGCTTGTCGGTTGAAGTGAGAAGTGGTATTATATTGGGAGAGGAAAGAGTAGAAAAATGAAAGGGCGGAGAGGGTGAAAAGGCTCGAAGTGGGCTCATAAACGATCTGCAATTCGACACTTCTTTCTCCTCTTCTCCTCCCTCTTCCTTCTTTTTTTGCTTTATTCTTATTCTTATTCTGCTTCTTCTTCTTTTTTTCCTATTCCTCTAGTCAGGGCGTCGTTCCAATGACTTCAAATGTCTTCAAAGTTTATTTTGAGCAATTCGACATGTTTTTCTATGCTTTCTCTATTTTTTTTCCTATTTTTTTTCATCCTATTTTTTCCAGCTTCTTTAGTCTTGTCTATTCTGGTTCATATTAAACCTCAGGGTTCTTTAACAATTTCAAACTTCCTAAAACAAACCAAAAAAGCAATAAAATCTAAATATAGCCTGTCTAGCCCTATGGACCTAAATATTCTACAAAAACAGGGTAAAACTACATTATCTTCCTGACTCTTCCCATCGTATCCGTATTCTGTTTTTCGACTCGAACACAGACAACCACACAAAAGTGGGAAAGTGACGGAAGTGATTTCCTTTTGTTCATTGCGGTTCGTTTTCTCTTTTTTCTCCACAAATGCACACCCATGCTAGGAACCTAACTAACTTTCCAACCTTCCTTTTCAGTCTTCTTCATTCTTCACTAATTTTCTGGGATCTGAGAAGCTATGGAAGCAAAAAAAACCGCCGAAACGTAAATTTTGGTGCAGAGAAAACTTGGAAATTGTTAGTCACGTGCCGAGCGACATTTTTGAAATGATCGAGATTTTTTTTCGTGGAGGTCGTATTGGTTTTTGGTGGTAGCTCTCTTTTCCGCTCTTTTTTCTCCTTTCCGGGTTTTTATTCCAAATTGGTATTGAGAAATTTTGAAGGATCAGGGGAGGGAGAACGTTTTCAAATTATATTTCAAAAAAAAAAGGCAAAAAACCAATTACGCATCCTTCACTTTTGAGTATACTCAGTTAGAGTGAATAACTTTTTGCGAGGAACTCAAAAATCGCAAGATAAGCCAAAAAAAACTATCGTAGAACCCGTAATAGAAGAGCTCCTTTATTATTTTTTTTTTAATCACCCGCGCATCTTTGAATTAGTTTTTCTTAACAAGTAGAAGCCGAAAATTGATGAAACTCAACAAGATCTTTATTTAGACGTAGCTAACTTTTAAACTGAAAACCGACACATACGCATAACCATGGTCAATTTTCTGAGGATCTATGTGGATTACTCCTGGTTTGATCTTGAACAGCTTCAACCTCTTCTCGAGGTGCCACCGTAGTTTTTCTTCCTTTCACAATGCGACCAAATATAGATCCAGAGTTGGTGAATCTTTAGATAACATCAAAAAAGCACATGTCGGCAGTACCAATGCGTTTGTAGATCTCGTTTCGACTGACGACCTAGTAGTAGAAGAGCTCCTACATACACTCTAAAGTTTGTGATGATTTCTTTTGACTCCTTTACAAAATATCAAGATAAAAAGGTTTACTGATAAACTCTTTGTGATATTATGATGAACAATTGGTCAGTTGACAACTTTTCACATATTCAACAGGAACCGTGATAACTTGGCTCAACGTTTTAAATTAGGAGGCCCTTCTATTCTAGGTTTTACGATTTTTAACGCCAACTAGAGAAAGTTCTCAACTTTCTGATGAATATAAATCAACATTTCATTAATTTAGACTAACTTTTGCTAAGTCTCATTCCCAGGGTGGTTCTAATATTTCTTCAATTTTGAATGAGACTCAAATCTATATCTCACATTATCTACAATCTTATTTTCCTAATCTAACAAATTGAACTTATTTGATATAAAATGTCTCCTAAATCCAACAAATCCTGAACGCCACCAGTCACTGCCGTCCATTTTTTCAAAATACGGATTATCACAGATTATAGAAACAAGTTATGAGATAATTGACATTAAACGATTTCTCGGCGAAACATTAAACAAAAATCAGCTTGCCCTATTCATACTTGTTCTACATTAATCTATACAGCTGAATTTTTGTTTTCTGAACTTTGGAATTGCAAAAGACAATTTTTTCCGTGGTCAAAAAATTATTAGCTTTGTGAACTAACAAATTTCAATTCAGTCAATTCAGCTGCTACTTCCTCAAAATTTTAGATGACTCCTAATTTAGCCCAGACTTCCAAATATCTGACATATATTATTAAGCCACGAAATAAATCGAAAACACAAATTTTAACACCGTAACCGCAGATGAAAAGAGTAAATTACTTGCTTGAATTTTTTTCTTGGCTTCTGTTTTCGTTCCTTCGTTTTTCTGTCTTCCCCTTCTTCTTCTTCTTTCAACTTTTCTTCCTCCTGATTCACCAATTCTCCTTATTTACTCTTTGTCGCCTTTCTCTTTTTGTTTCCTCTGTTCTTGGTCCCTGATTCTGAGGTGTCTGACGACAATTCGCCCATCTGATGACACATCATCATCTCATCTATTTGACGCATTTTTACTCAAAAATCGGTGCTCTCTTGTTTTAGCGCTTTGGATGATTCCGTGAGATTCCAGAAAATTCCAATAATGTGGCTGCCAAAATGTATGTTTACGCAAGGGTATTCATTAGTGTGATTCTATTGTTTTGTGAAACGTGTAATGTGTCCTTTAAGTTCGAAGATAATCCCAAAAAAAAAATGTTTCTTTGTGTCTTAAAACAAAAAAACGGGCCTAAATTGCTCTCACAAAACCACCACCAGACCATATTTGTTTCGTTTTTCCTAGTTTATTTTTTGTTTCTCTTTCCACCGACAGCATGCATTTCTAGGCCTTTTGCGTCGCTATGTCTTGGTTCCGTTTTCTTTACGCACACGTTTGTGCTTCCATTTTTTGTTGAATATTTCACTTGGTTCTGTTCTCAAAAAACTAACCGAGCCGTGGATAATGGGACACTTTTTTGTTTTGGTTTGACATGGAAATAGTCAATGGTGTTTGTGTAGATCAAATGAACAAAGTAACGGTTGAATATTCAACTATTCAAGGAAACCATAATTGTTTTGAATTCTGAGAACTTCGAATCCCAGAATCCTCGGCGACCTTTTCTTGAAATAGAAAATTTCACAGTTAACCTTTTTTTACGTAGTAAATACCTAGGTTAATTTTAGTATGTGTCCCTCCCATTCTAAGATTAGCAGTGTCGCAAAAAAGAAGCATCGCACGTCATCATCATCATCTTTTTTTTACATGCATTGCTATAATCTGAAAGTCATTTAGGTCTACAAAATGTCCAACAAAACAATCTTGCTCAATTAATGGCTCTGTCCTTTTTATTCCAAATTACACTCGTTTTCGATTTGAGTGTTCTTATAAGACGCTCATTTTTGAACAACGGTCAAAAAGCGATGAGTGAGGCCTTTATTTCTTTCAGATGAGAATTTTTCTTTTTTTTTCGTCGACGAAAAAAATTGTTGAAAAACTCCTTAACCAAGTTAAAAGTGTGAATTAAATCAACTGCTGGGAAAAAATTCGAAGGCGTTTTTTTTCTTATTTTTTTGAGATGATTCTTGAGGTCCATTTTCCTAGAAAGCCAAAAAAAGAAAAGAAATTCAATTCCAATTTTCTAGCAATTACCTATCAATCTTTCTCAACAATACAAATCCAATTAAGGAAGATTGAAGAATTCTAGAATTATTATATTTTCCCGGAACTATCATTCAAAGAAAGATGAATGTTTTTAGTGGATCGTTAAAAATATTCATTTTCCAAAAAAAAACACAAATTCGTACTTCCTAGGACTTCAAAAACTGTTCGTAAATGAGCCTTGCCATATTTTTCATCGTGTATCATTTTTCCATTTCTCACTGGTAGTATTTGTGCTCCACTTTTCCATTTTTTGTCTTTTCAAAAAACGTTTTTTTTTCTCAGTATCCCACTTTGCTCCTATGAACGGCTCACAAACGGTCTTGCTATTTTTTCCCTCTATTTTTTTCAGTTTTAGAAAACAACAAAACTTAAGAAGAAAATTTAACACAATTTTTTCCAGATATGTGGTTGGTTATTCTGTGCTTTGTCCTCCCCGCTATCATTTTCTCGATTTTTGCACTGATCGCGTGGCTTCGGGTTCTACAATTGAATTACAGGTATAGTTATCCAAGATCCGTTCAATTTTGAAACCGATTATACTTAATACTCATCAATTATCTGGAACCAGTTCTGTTCGACAAATTCTCGTTTTTTGTCAAAAAAATTCAACATTTGTGGAAAACTATTTTTCCCTTGGGATCATTTCTATCTTAAGATAACTTGCGAACTTTCCAACAAAAACCACACTATTTTTCTATTTTTTTCATGACGACACCATGAAATAAAGTTCAACAAACAGCCTAACGAAACTTATTTCACAAAAAAAGACGGAAAAAATAAATAGCCAATATAAGAACTTTTACCCTATTTTTCAGACGTCGGATGGCTGCAGAGGCTGCTGGTCGAGAAGCAAAAAAGAAGGCATCACAACTCGAAAGTCTCATTACGAAGTGAGCAAAGTTTCTATTTTTGCATAAAGCGAATTTTTTTCAGGAAGGATGGAAAAGTGATTTGTCACATTCCGATTCAAGTTGAAGACATTGAAACCGGGGCCATGTTCTTATACAATTCAGATGAGAATTTGGCAAATATTGATGAAGACGTCAAGGTTCCATTGGTCGAGCAACAAGTTGTATGAAGAACTTTCGAATATTCGAAAGATGTTTTTTTCTCTCAAATCACAATATTTTGAATCACGAAAATAATACACAACTCTCGCTCTATAAGCGTCAGTATTCCATAATTTCAATGCATTCCCTGTGATCTCTAACTCTGGTATGAGCATCCAATCCCATCCAAAACCTAAAAACTGTAAATTTATTATCACAGAACAGTCTTCTTTTCTCTCCTCGTTGTTTGTAATTTGCAGCTTGTCAATTAAACTGTATGTTCAACTCTCATAATATTTGTATTTCCAGACATGTAATCATATTTTTATAAGATAAAATATAATATTTTTAATTAGTGATTGATTTTGTTCTGCCACAAGGTGAGAGCCCAACCAGGAAGATTGATCCATACTGGACACCAACTAGCCATAGTTTGGTGACCAGCCAGCATGAGGAGTCCACGAAGGCATCGCATGTTGGTAGGAATACGACCTGGAAAATTCGATTATGGAGTTTTAGTTTTTAAAGGAGGGAATGCAAAAACAGTTTAAGAGAAGGATGTGGAAAATCTAATAAAATCGCACAATATTTTTCAGTAAAAGTCTATCGGAGATTTCAATTTTTGTATCAAATATCATAGGTGTCGCTACCGGCTGTGCAGTACAAAGGAAGTTATGTAATATTTTGACCTATTTTCATTGGAAAATTGTAATATTAAAGTGCTGAAAAAGTTTTAAATGTGTCTGAATACTTCTAAATAAAGTAAACTAAATAAAAACTCTAGTTTTGTATTTGATTTTTTTGTATATATCCAACAAAGTGAGGTGAGCGGTTTTAACCTTTTTGAGGGTGCTGACCATCTTGCTTCCTCACCTCCTTTCAGTAAATTTGAACAATCTAATCTTCTCAGAAAATCTCAAAGTCTCGAAAAACAAACATAATTTATTCAATTGAATCTTGAAATTCCACTTATCAAGTTTTTATCTATTTCAATCTTCCAACTCACCATCAATATCAGTATACTCATAATATGAACCCATATCCGTAGTGATCAATGTCGATCCATTCCATACTTTCTTTTTTGGATCAGATGCAATTGCAACAACAGCTTTGCCGCAGTATTCTATAGACTCTCCATTCAAAAACATTTCATTCTCTGTCTGCAAAATAGTTTTACAAAAATACAAACTCAACTTTTATTAAATAACCTTTCCCCATGACCCAGCTGATGTTTCCAGCATGTTGATAATTAACTCGGTTCTTACTGCAGATGGCCACAAGGAAACGACAGTAATATCTGTGTCTCTCAACTCATGAGCAATATCTGACGAAATTCGGTCGATTGCCATTTTTCCGGCTCCATAGGCAACATTAAAAAGATACATGATTCCTCCAAGTGAGCTAATGTTCACAATGAATCCCTTCATCCCATTCTTGCTCATTATCCTCGTTCCAAACACACTACAGTAGTACTGGTTGCGAAGTCCCACATTGTTGATGTCATCCCAGATTTCAGGATCTTTTTCAAAAAACTTTCGAGTGTCTCCAGATCCGCATTTCTAAAAACTCATATTAATGATTATATCACGCCACACTTACTGTGACTGCCGAGAATGCGTTATTCACTAAAATATCCAACTGATTGTCTGTCTTTCGTGCAACTTTATTGAAAAACTCTTCCACCGCTGCCATATCACTGTGATCTATATAATGAGGATAGCAAGTTCCACCACGTTTTCTGCATTCTACAGCTGTGTCTTCCAGTGTTGGTAGATAGGTTAGTTGGGATGATAAACTCTCTTCTGGGCACCGAGCGGTTATGAATAATGTGCACCCCGCTTCGGCGAGTTGTAGTGCAATACCTTAAAACGTTTCAGTTGGAAAAAAATAGTTAGTAAAAAAGTACAAACCTCTACCACAACCGCGAGACGCTCCAGTGACAATTGCAACTTTACCTTTCAGGGACATTATGAAAATATTCGTTCCAATGACATTATTCTCCAAGTCCTCTCCTTTTATACTATATCATCTTTTTTGTCATCAGACAGTCTACATTTCACTTTTCTTGTGCATAGATTTTTCGTCTGATTGATGTCTAGTCTTGTTGTTTGTCATATGTTTGTTGACGGTGTCTTTGATTAGAACCGTTTGGATAGATAAAAAGTGCAAGAACTTCTCGAAAGTGCAAATCGACCTGCAGTGGAGAAAGAGATAGAAGATACCGGTCACAGTTCAGAGAAATATGTCGCGAAATTTCGCAAATCAGTGTCTGATCACTAGTTTACCGAAAAAACCACTAACTAGAGGATCGGGCAGAACTAATTTGCATTTTGAACCTCTGAAAGAATGATTCAGGATCATTCAATTTGTCTGAAAACTTCATAGTACATAAAACAAATATGAAGCTTCAGTTTTGTAATTGACATTTTTTTCTACCAATTCAACAAAGCGAGATGAGCGATTTTAAAATGACAGGACTTTCATTTCATTGCTAGTTTCGATATTTTTGGTGTTTTTTTGGGTTACAAACGGAGACGGGTTTTGTTTAGTATACTTTTTTGGCTACGAACTAGCATAATTTTCTTTAATACTTTGAACTTTTCAGAGCAACAGAAAACACCAAGGGAAGTATACTGTAGAACTGTACTTCTATGAAAAACAAGGTATTAGAAATAAAGGTCGTGTTATTGGTTATACAATTTTTCAACAAAAAAAAAATTGGAATTTATCCGGAAAGTACAATCATACAATTTGATGGAGAATTAAAACAATTCCCGATTCTGAAAATACAAAATCTAATAATTGATCAATTTTCAAATTAAAATCCGTACACAAACCATTTCAAACTCACATCACTTATCAAAAAATGCATTAAAATTTGGAAAAAAAGATAGTTCTGTAAATAAATCAGAAACTTTGAAACCCAAATAATGCAAAAAAATGGGTGGGCTGCGCATCCACATGAAATAATTGACGTGCGAGATAGTGCTGGATTTGATGGACAACTCGGGATGTGAAACGAAAAACCGGAAACGAACCTGTGTGTGACTAAAGATTTCGGTCCATTCCAGGAGGAGTTTCGTTTGGCCATATATATTTTGCACTGATCTCTTGTTAGACTCCGGGCGTCCCCCCAAAGAGAGGAATTTCACAAATCCGCTTCAATCATTAGTCAGGTTGAATCGGGTTTTTTGGGGTTGAGCGGAAAGAGAATAACAAATGTTGTCGCTGGTAATCTCCTATTTTCGATGTCATTATGATGGTTTCTGTGCGAGCTGACATAGTTTTTTTTTTCCACCATCATCAAACATTCATTTCAAAATGTTTCACCTCCTCCCGCAGATATGAGTTTGTTTTAATTCGTCATTTATTTCACTGTCGGTTTTTGAACTGATCTCAATTTTCCTATAAAACGGGTTCAGTTAGTTTCATGAATCGGTTAGTCCCAAGAATTCATTTTGTTTGCAGAATTCCTAGCACTAGATTCTTTGTCTAAAACACAAGTCATTTTGGGACCACTGCCTTTTTTCCAGTCGTTTTCTGTTTTTTTTCCTTTGGTCTCTATGTCTGTCACCTGGACAACGTCAACAAGGACGTTTCTCTGAAAATGGGAAAAATTCATCTTTCTTGAGTCTTTCTGTGACAGATTTATGTACCTCGTGAATTCTTTTCTTCCTTTCTATTCATTTTTTTTGAATTTTTCATTTTTTCGAGCAAAGCAGTTTCAGCAAAAAAGAATCTCCCCACCAATTGTCTTTTCAATGTTCCCCAAACCGGAAACATCACCAGTTCCGTGTTGTTAGAAAAACGACAAACAGGTTGAAAAACAAGGTCCGAGAGAGCGGTTTAAGATTTGCAGGATTTTTTCCCGTTTGTCGTAAATGTTTAAAGGGGGACTCCGACCAGAAATTTTTATTGCATTAAAATGTGTTAAAATTTATCTATTTTTCGAATATTATTGCGAAAAAATTCAAAGAAAATCCGAAATCCCAGAAAAACGGCGTTGAAAAGGAAGAAAATTCAAAAAAGGTGCCGCCGGGGGACGAGGATTTTCAGTGAGAAACCTAGGACACGGCACCTGACAGCCTTTTTTTCAAGTCGCCGACAGTGGTTTTTTACATTTTTTACCTGCCGGACATGAAATTGAAAAAAATCCGGAAAATTTGCCACATAGGAAAGGCGCCCGCTGCCGTGGCCTAGGTTTCTCACTGAAAATCCTCGTCCCCCGGCGGCACCTTTTTTTGAATTTTCTTCCTTTTCAACGCCGTTTTTCGGGGATTTCGGATTTTCTTTGAATTTTTTCGCAATAATATTCGAAAAATAGATAACTTTTAACACATTTTAATGCAATAAAAATTTTTGGTCGGAGTCCCCCTTTAAATAGAACCACCATGCACGTGCACTTTCCGCTCAATTATCTCGGTCTGAATGATAGCAAAAATTATTCAATTTATAAATTATTTATCATAATTTCGTTTGGGTTTTATCAGTTGACAGGTTTTTAATATCTTTTATAGCAACAGAGAGAATATTTGAGTTGAATGTGCACTTATATGGTGAGCTTCATTTACGGTATATGGAAATTCGAATTTTTAGTGTCGACGTTTTTGAAAGTGACGTCAAAAACAATGAAATATAATAGTTCAGATTCCAAATTATTGTTCATGTGTTAGATTTTTTTTTGTTGAAAAAGCAGTGATAATTGAATAAAGCGAGATTTCGGACTATCATTTGTATTTTGGAGTGGAGTTTAGCGTCTAATTCTGGAACGAACAACAATTGTTATTTTTCCACATTTTTAAAATCCTGAAATTCTCAGCCGAGTTGAGTTCAAAAACTTTTTTAACACTCTAAAAATCTAATTTCGAAAGTCCAACCGGCGCAAACATCACTGTCATGTTTAAAATCTGAAAAAAAATCCACTAAACAGTTTTGATATACCCACCAGTATATTATAAATTTTTCCGTTCTTTTCACAAAATCACAAAGTTTTTAATCGTCACCAGGTCGCTCTTCTCCTCACTCTTTAACCTCATCCCCCTCTTCAACCTATTGAACTGCCACCTATTAAAACTATTTTCCGGTTTGGCTTTCGAATCTCAATTCGTTTTGGTATTAACCCTCTCACAAATTTCGAGGCGTAAAATTTCGTTCCGAACGTTCCAAATAGGATTCAAACCGATACAAAAATATATATTAATAATTCAAGTGGCTATAGAATTTCTCCTATTTTCTGTTTGCCATAGAGAATTTCTATTCTGATTTTTGGAATTCGGAGTTTCCAATATATGAAACTTTGTCAAAGTTCCTATCAATTCTAAATGCACCATCACCAAGTAACGGTGATCCCAGACCATTATTATCGTTTCTATACGCCGTTTAGAGGGTAATATATTTTTTTCAATAATTGTTTGACTTGTTACAACTTTCCACACTTAAAGATATAAAATTACAGACACCACTTCATGCCGGGTGCAAGAGTAGGTGATGGAACCGAACCACCAGCTCATAAGAAGAGTATTATCTCATGGACAAGTAGGTTTTTTTCAGAATTACTTGAAGGTAAAAAATTCAATTCCAGGTACACCAACCAACCATAAAGTGAAATACTACATCACTTGCAGTTTTCTCATCTTCCTTATTTTAATTGTCCTCTTCATTTATGTCTGTTCTCTGGCAAACATGTCTACCGCGTTTGGATTACTTGGAAGTAGAGGATTAGGTTGGTCGCACTTTTTTATTGAAACTTTGTTATGTTATCTGGTTACTATTTTCACACTTATGAACACGCATGGCAGGAAAGCGAGAGAGGACAACCAATGAAAATTGACCAATTATGTATACATCGAACATGTTCAAAAACTTTTTTACAGGAAAGGCCATCCAGGAGTCACCACTGATCAACGACCCTATTTCGGCGGTGATCGTCGGAATGTTAGCTACAGTAGTCCTACAATCGGCAACGACAACTACTAACATTTTGGTGACCATGGTCGCAGCAAATAGTCAGTTTTCAGAGATTGCCAACCAAAAACTTCTTGAATTTTAAGTGATTACTGTGCATGATGCTATCCCTGTGATGATTGGTAGTGAGCTGGGATCCTCTCTGGTCAACGCTATGGTCTCATTGGCTTATTCTGGAAAACCGGAACAATTCAGGAGGGCGTTTTCTGCTGCTATCCTTGGAGACGTTTTCAACATTTGCGGTCTCTTTGTGATATTTCCAATGGAAATGGTTACTGGTTTGATTGAGAAGGTCTCCTGGTGGATCGTGGACCCCTTGATTTCGGAACAAGGACTGAGTTTCAAGACGTTGGATCTTCTGACAGATCCTATTAATCAGCTTATTCTACAAGTAACATAGTATTTTTAAAGGTCTTCCTTATTTTTCATATTTTAAGGTTAATGAGGCGGAACTTTTGAATGCTACTATTCGCCCAGAGATGTTTGCCCCTAACCATTCATTTGTTCAGAGATGCAGTTTCACAAATGGAACCAGGATTTACAATTGTGAGTAAGAAAACGAATTTTGAAAGACGGAGTTTTTTTTAAATTTTCAAGAACCAAAAGTAAAAAAAAAAAAATAAAATCCGTTTTTCCTTTTAACACAATAATTTCTTTCATACAGTACCGGTCAATAAGATATACAAAAACGGATTTTCAAATGATTTGTGACCATCATGAACATTTTAAGGGCTTTCCACGTTTTCAGTACAAAAACAAGTCAAAAAAGAGTGTTTTTGAGAAATATTCAATTAGCTGGAAAACTAAGTATTTTCAAAAAATTAAGTGAACGCAAATGTGTCAGTCTGGGTCTGTTTCACAGTCTCCCAAATTTTTGAATTAAACGGAAACTTGACATCCGAGCTTGAGACTCCTGTAGATGATAGAAGTGGCTGAAAATCAACTGGAAAATGAGTGTTTGTACATTTTATTCTCCGATACTGCAGGTTAAAAACCAAAAAAAAAACACAAAAAATTTCGGTGCCTCATGCTGGAATCGAACCAGCGACCTTCTGTTTACTAGACAGACGCTCTGCCACTGAGCCAATGAGGCGGACGAAAGAGAGAAGGTTGTAGCGCAAACATATACAAGACACGGGAGCGCGCCGGGAGCGAGAAACCAGAGAAACGAGAGAAAAGGCATTGCAGGCCCTTACCACCACCTCTTTGCCTACACTTCTTTGTCGGACAAGAATATTGGATGGATTGTTCTTTTTATTTCAATTTTCTGCTTGGTTATGTGTTTAGTAGGGATTGTTTACTTGATTCAGGTAATCTTTAAAGAAAGTTTTTAGAAAAAAATAATCCTGTTTTTAGAAGCTACTTGATGGTCATGCCGCCAACTACGTGCGAAACCTACTATCCAAAGAATGCCCGGGAATGTTCAAACCATGTACCGGTTACCTGGTCATGCTGGTCGGATTAGTCGTCACTATCCTGGTAGAACACCAACATCCGATTTTAAAAAAAGGTAAAATTCCATTTTTTAGATTCAATCGAACAGCATTTTTTCGTCTTCTCTGACACCATTGGTCGGAAGCGGGGTTGTGTCCTTAGAACAAATGTATCCGTTGGTTTTGGGAAGTAATATTGGAACTACGTTCAGTGGAGTACTTGCTGCTTTCTCAACTGATCCTTCAAGATTTGAGAAGTACAAACACTACATGATTTATGAATTTCATCCAAAAATTTCTTTTCAGAGCTCTTCATATGGCAATGTGTCAGGTTATCTACAATATCATTGGAACTTGCCTATTTTATATTGTGCCATGCACCAGAAAATTTCCAGTTTATCTTTCTATCAAGCTTGGTGACATCACGGACAAAGTAAGTGAAACTCGATAAAGGAGCAAGTCTAAAGTGTCTCATTTCATTACAGTATCGATGGTTCATTGTGGTTTTTATAATTACGTTCTTCCTAATCATCCCATTCACCATCATCGGGCTCACTCTACTGCCAGACAACGTCATTGTCATTGTTTTCATTATAATTCTAATCATTGCGCTTATGTCGGTGCTTCTATGCATTTTACAGGTACGAATTAACTAATATTTTATAGATTATCAAATAATTGTTCAGAATTGCTGTGTTGCATTCTTGCCACCTGTTCTACACGACTGGAAATTCTTGCCTGTCTGGATGAGATCGCTGAAATACTATGATCCATTCATGTGCAAGATTTTCACCGGTCTCCCAATGATTGGAGGATTCTTCCGGAATGGTGGCGCATATAGGAAACGGACTGAAAACAGCAATGCAAACACCGAAGACGATTTGGAAAAAAAGGTTCAAAAACTGGTCCAACTTAGCGGGCACTCTCAGGTCTAGATTTTCCACACAATTCAGAACATATCCATGTTCATATTCATCATCATTTTCCCTTTCTCCCTACTTATTTTTTGTAGCCACATATCTTTTCAATTTTCCAATCTCCTCTGCTTCTCTAGTCTTTGGTTAGTGCTTTGTCGGTTTTAACAGGTTTATTTAGTCTGTATTATTGATTTTTTTTTGTGATAACAAGCATTTTTTTGTCAGAAATGAACAATTTGTATTTATTAAACTTCGGTTACTGGCGGCTCATCGAACTCCACATCCGGGTCCACACGTGAGGAAACGCCTGGAATACATCAAAAACCGATGTGAACGCAAAAAAAAAAACTCACAGAGCAAGAATGCAGAAACCAAGAGGATTCCGGTGCTGACGGCGGCCATCCAGAAGGACCACGACAAAGAGTTCATGTCACTTCCCTTAAACTTCAAATTTCAAAACATTCAAATAAAAATTCTCAAGATACTCACGTAGTCATAGTGGTACACATCTTGGAATTGGAGTTGTTGCAACGTGAATGTCTTTCCTTCACGATTGGAATTCCAGTAGATCAAACAACCGGAACCGGAGAATACACCGGTGATGAAGATGAGTAGAGTGGTAGATGGTTTGCATCGCTGACAACAGAAAGGTCCAAATAGGAGTACTGTAGCAGCAACCATACAAGCGATGGCAAGAAACAATGCGACAAAAACTTCGTATGCTGAAAACTTTGGATTTAAAAATCCTCGGGATTGAAATGTTTAGCATACTTTGAGTTGGCAAATGTCTGTACATGGAACGCTCGGAATACATATCATACCCATCCATGAAGTTGCGAAGCTGCTTGAACATACTCGACAGACGGAAATTGCAACTACCGTAATGCCGAGTGGTGATGCATTGGCGAAGGACACCGCGGTGCATGTGAAGACCGTCTAAAGAAAATTAATGAGGTTTTTGCAAAAATCCCAAATCTGGGAGGAAAATCTAAATGCGAAAAGCCTACCCATTTGGTTGCGCGGTTGATGAATGGACCAGTAGTCGGAGACCAACGCGATGACCAACATTCCCGTTCCCACCAAGAGAAGTATCCATGATACTACCTAAAAAAAGTGGGAATACCAAATGACAAAAGATCCCGTAATTTCGATGTTTTTTAGAATACGAAATGCTCTATTAAACCTCTACCTTGCATTTTGAGCTCAATTATCTTAATTGCTGCAAGATATATGAAAAATATGACGATTGATAAAAAGTTAGTCCTGATATCAGCTACAGCTTGTCAGTTAAGAGATTTTTTATATCTTTTATAGAAATTAAGATAATCAAGATTAATGAGCAAATACAAGGCAATGATACTAGATTTTATCTAATAGATCCTTGTCCCCCATACGTGCACTTTGAGCTCAATTATTTCAGTTCCCATGAGAGATGGTAAAAAATTGTTAACTGGTGAAATGTTTGTCATAATACCACCAACGTTTTATCAACTTACACATTTTGAAATAAACAAGATAATTAAGCTCAAAGCGCGCGTGTAAGGTAGGCTGGGACATTAGGAAAATACGGTATTAGAGAGTTCGCAGTCTTTGAGCATACCTGGAGGCCTGTGAATTGCATAGCCATAGTGAGATCCTTCTAGCGCATCTTTATGATTCCATTTCCAGTATGAACCTGAGCTTCCACACTTATGAATCAACTCCAATTAGACGAAAGTGCAAGAAATCCTTTCTTTTCAAAACGGACAAATGAAATGGATTTAACAAGGTAGCGTAATTAGACTCCAGAAGAAAAGAAGGCGGGGAGAAAGGGCGGCACGATGAAAAGAGATGGGAATAAGAGGAGGAGGAGCAAAAAGAGCAGTACGAGGAGCAGTTAACTAACCGCGATTCATAAATATGCATAGCAAGGAAGTGTGAAGAAGAGTGAGGGCAGTGTTGTGGTCACTCGATTTTGTTAGATTGACTTTTTGAGGAAGCACAACACTGAGAAGTAGTAAGGGGAAATGAAATGGAAATTGGAAATGAAACAATTATCCGTGCATTGCGCAAGATAATGGGAGGAAAAAAAGGGTTGAAACTAGAAAAACGAAGGAAAGAAGAGCACATGAAACTCCCCGGATGCAAACGACATGTACACTTGTGAGACCACCTGGTGAATTTCTTAAGGTTTCATAAAACTTCTACCTACATATGTTTCAAACAGCAATTTCAACGTTTTTTCTTTTTTTTTCCGCTTGAAAATGTAAACTTTATGGCTTTTATTCGAGTATTATTCAGTTAGTGAAAAATGAAACGAAAAAAAAGAGTTCAGAATATACGATGAACCACAACCACTCTTCAAAATTTTTCTGACAGATTAGAAATATTCCAAGTTCATGCAAACGCATTGGAATTTTGAACATCAAAAACTGCTAGAAAAAGAAGATATAAGAAAATAAAAATTGTTGAAACATAAATGCATCGTAATCTACACTACGTCACATTTAGTGGTGAATTTAGTGGGAAAAAAGTTCGAGAACATATGGAAACAATCTTATCCGTCACTAAAATCTCGATGACTCCCAACGGGGGCCGTGTTGCGAATAGAGAGGGGAAAAGGAAGGAAGAAAAAGTGGAAAACCGGGAGCCCTCTCCAAACGAAGGAATAAATACATTGACTGGGATTTTTCATTCGAAAAGAAAAAAAAACAAAAGACTTCTTTAGTTTTTTCAGTTGTTTTTTTTTTTGGAAAAAAAAAATATCTCGAGAGAGAAAAAATCGTTAATTGGAAGTCGTGCGATGAAAAATTAAGATTTCGAGATATCCGGTTCTGTCACGAGAGTCGGAGAAACACACATGGAGTCCCCGAAGTAAGCGAAAGATGAAATATGGACTAGATACATTCTTGTCGAGTTTTGTCTCTTCTTCAAAAATCTCAGAACGTGTAAAATAAAATTTATGTGCTTTCTTGGTCCGAGAGGAGAAAAAACTCGAGCCATCCCCTCTCCCGGTGTCCCGCCCTATACTTCAATAAATAACTCCATGTCCGTTATTCTGACATCTGCAGATGGTTTCTTGCAGCAGCCAGAAGAGCTTCTAACCAAAAAGTCGTTTTGAAACGGAACCGCCGTTTTCAAAATTGCCGTGAATCAAAGGGACAGATGTGGCGTTTCCTGTCTAAAATTGAAAAAAAAGAAGAGACTTGTCGAGGCATGGTGAAGGAGGAAAGCCGAAAGAATAGTTAGAATTTTAATAAACAAAAGCTGGATAATGAGAAGTTCGTAATGTCGACTATATGAGCACGAGGGAAAGAGTCTAAAGCATTTTCAAAATGAAGAGGAAAAATTTTAAATCGGAGGATATTTATTGGGATTTCAAATTGGCAACGGACCAAGCTTTCTCTGTATTGTTCCGATCCGGATTTTAGAAAAGTGAACCTTCCCTTCAAAGTCCTTTGTAAAATTTTCGCCGAATCAAATTTGCTCTAGTCGTTTTTTTCATATATATATATATATATATATATATACATATACGTATAAACTGAGACAATTTGAAAGACCTTCAGAGGAACCTTGGAACAATAGAAGAGCCGTTCCTTCAAATATAGGTTTTACGGTATTTCAGACTTCGAAACTTCCAATAAAAAACGTTTAGTTTTTCTAGTTTTGTAAGTTCATCATCTCTAAATAAATATCATTTAGACTTCCAGTTCTCCAGAATTGTTAGAGATTTTAAAGTTTTAATGACTCACATCCTAGAGCACCAGCGTATCGTTTACTTTTATTCTAAGATCCTAAAATAATCACAAGTTTTTCTACAACTTACATGCTCCGGCATGACGAGATAAACAACAGCCTTGTGTACATACCAAATGCCTTCTCCACCAGCATCCGTATGGAAAAAATTAGAATTGTTATTATTAGTAATGTGACTAGCTGCTAACCAACAAGGCTGAAATGAAGAAAAAGGGAATGAGTGTCCCCTGTTGCGGATTCAGATGAATACTACGTACACAGACCCGAGGGCTCATCTCATCCGGCCAATCTGCTCACTTTTCAATCTCGTGCTCGCCATATCGAAGAATACACTAATTAACAGTTGTTCCATCTACACACACACATATACAAACACATAAAAAGCTTTTCAGATCGGATCAAATTTGAGAACATCGCCTTCTTTTTTTCCGAGAAAAAAATGAAAAACGATTCTGTTGATGTCGTCCTAAAAAATGAAAAAAAAAGAATTATCTGTTTATTCGTAGACGAGAATACCTATTGCAGTTTTGGAAGAATGGAAATGACGCGAGAAAAAGAACAAGCGAAACGACTTCACGCGTCGGTTTTTCACTAAAACTTGGTGCTTCTGGTTTTTGTTTTACGGAAGCGAGAAGTGGACGAAAAATTGGTTATGCGTTTCCTGTGAAAAAACAGCTTGAAAATCGGATGGACGTCAGGTGTTTTAGGCAAAATTAGAATAGGAAAAAGCCGGGAGTCTTGAAAAACAGATGCCGATGAATTTTGGAACTATTTTTGGCTTTTCGAATTTAATTGAGACTTCCATTTCACGTAAAAATTAGTTACATAGATTCATCGAAAAGTTCATTATCACAGATTTTTTTGTGAGGAAAACTAGAATTCCGAAATGGGGACAAGTGATTTACGTTGGTTTGGCAAATAAAAGAAAAAAGTGATTAGGAAGATGAAATTCAGATGTGATATTGATAAAATATACACGGTTATGAAATGGGATAGAGAAATCGTCTCTATTTTTCGGAATATGTTCAGTCGGTCGACGAGGATGGTTTCTTGGAGCTTGTCAGAGATTTTAGCAAATTTCTGAGTGATGGTTTCGAGTGACCACGTTTGACAGGAGCCGAGCATCTGGAAAAAATTACAATCATCCATTGAGCAATTGTTCAAGCGAAAAACGTATTTTGAGAAATATTAGCTAAATTCTTGGATTAATTTTCACTGAAAACGTACGGAGATTGTTTATTTCAAACTACACATTTTGAAGACTGTCTTTTTGTTACACGGAACTACGGCGCGTTTTGAAAGAATTTTGAAGAACCTTCATTTCTATGGTCAACCGATTTCTCATCAAAAACTTACTGCGCTATGACAGCAAAGTCGTCGATCAAGTCCTCATCAAAATCTGTGTTTTCGGTCTGAACACCGTTATTGACCTTTTCAAGAATATTCACCGAAGCTTACCACAAGCGGATCCCTTGCTATCCCATCCACAACCGTTCCAATAATGCTTGGCGATACTGTCGCGAGACTTGTGGAGAGAAAATTGTGCAGTGAGACGTAGTAGATTTCAATCCACGTCTTATCGAAATACTTTCGGAACGGCTCGGTGTCTTTTGCGTGTTGCATGTAGGGGAATGCTGAAATATTTGTCATTGGTGGGTGAGTGAAAGGTTTTATGGTTCTCGTATTAACTAGGGATCAATGATAGCCACACTTATTGCCCTTACACGACTTAGCTGAGTTTTTCAGATTTCAACTTCGAAAAAAAAAATCAAATCCGAAACCCAAGAAGCTCGAGCTGGGCACAGCAAAGACGAAACTTAAACAGGGCCGAGCTGGTTTCGGCAGAACCAATCAGGCTACCCGAAAACATTTGCGAATATTGGCCAGCTGTCTGACCGATCTTTGACCAGAACTTTCCCACGACGCCCGAGATGGTCCGAGTTTATTTTTACCTAATACTGCAAAATCACGGAATACTCACCAAACCAATCGGTCCACTGTGGGTTGTTCAGTGTTAACGATGACATTTTTCTGAAGAACTCGTTGCACTTGGCAATATTTTTCTTCTGTACACATCGCACGAGGAATAGTCGGTAAGCGCTTGCTTCGTAGCCCTGTGCTTGCTTGATTCCTTCCTAAAGTTAACTGTTTTGTTTTCGAGAGATATTGTAGTCAAAAGAAGCTTTTGTCTCTTTGATAGAGAACGAAGGTAAAGTCCTGGAAATAATTAGGCAAAAAGCTATCGATTTTTCACGGCACCACATCAGATCTTCCGATTTTGAACGGAAATCGTCACCACACTTGTCTTAGAATTCACAAAACTTCTGTGTTTTACAGATTTAGCCAAAGTGACTCTACTTTTATGTCTAAATTTTTATACGAAATCTTACAGCGTCAAGACTATGAAACACGCGAGCATTCCACGATTCCCACATTGCACACAACGTGTCGACATCTTGTTTCTCTATCGCTTCGGTCATTTCATCGATGCATCGGTCGACCTGAGAACATCTTTTTTCAGCTATTCAGTCCGTCGTAAAGCCTACCTGATAGTTGGCATCTTTGGTCTGCGAGCACTCTTGTTCGAACGCCTTCAACGTGGTTATCATTGATCTTCCGGCCAAATAGTTTCTGACGATTTCTTCTGTGGAGTTTGGCACATGGCTCATTTGGATATTTCTGAAAAAAATATTATTTTTGCGAGAATTCGTTAGGAAAAAGATGCAAAACGTGTTTTTTCGTCGATATAAATGACCAATCAATTCGTTTATATAACATTCACTTGCTGTTGAAAACGCGCTCTAATGCATCAAACTCGCATATAAACAGTTTTTGTTTACAATAATCGACGAATTGAAGACATAAAGCTGGTAAAATGAGAATTTCCATTATTATTCGAGCTTTTTCTTAATTTTCTTATTTTGGTAGCATTTTTTGCGGAATTTCGCGAAGATATTGAACTGCAACTTACTTTTACAAACGTAATATTGATTTTTAAAGAAATAATTCAAAAAATACCAGGAATAGTCATCAAAGAAGGAATAGTCGAGCTGAAAAGACTACTAAAAAATAAATCGGCACTTGTCCTCGAGAAGTACACGGCCGAGGGGACTAGGATTCGCAAGAAGAGCGGCCAGCGCGCGCGCACACACATAGAGAGGACAATGGCAACAATTGAAGGAGTGTTCAAAATGGAATTCATGCGGAAAATCGGATCAACAGGTCTTCAATTGGTTCTGGACCGAAATGGAATCAACTTGATGTGAGATGAGCAGCAAAATGGTGAGTATTTTGATTTTGAAGTTACAAAACCGGCTAAACTCTTTGCTAGAATAGCTCGCTGAGATCTGAATGCTTTTCAGAACACGATAAAACATTGTAATTCTAGTCAAAACGCGAACAAAGATGGATTGTTCTTTTTTGGTCGCATCACTTCTTTGAAATGGTATTTTAGTAGCTCATAAACCGATTCGATGACTTTTGACGAATACAGTAGTTTTATTACCGTCATATAGTCAATAAATGTGTTACTGTAGTATTTATTATTTCTCAAAAGGACTTTAAAAGAGCCGACTCAGAAATTCCTTATGAAACAACTCATTGGTTTTTTTCTTGGCCAGTTCTTTGTTTCAAAAAACCCAAACAGTTGTTTTGAAGCCCTTTTGCCAAATCCAATGACATATCAAGTTTTTTTGTGAGATCATATTTCAGACAGCTGTCTAGATGTCGCGGCTCCAACAGTTCAGTGACTGGGTACTTATCGTTTCATTTGTTCACGAAACCTCCTCCGATATTTTCACACCAAAAACAGATAAACAAACAGGCCCTCTCTAACTAAACTCCTTGAATCGGCGAAAACTGAACTGATCATTTAGCAAACCTGAGACGAGGAAAAAAAACCGAGAAGTAACCGAGAACAAAGCCGCTCATCAGTCTCCCGGAGTTCTCCTAATACCTTTTGCCTCTTCCCTTTTTCCTATCTCTTTTCCTTTAGTCGTCACAATAGAGTGTCAGTTTTAAACCTCGGATTCACTTCAAAATCCTAAACGTTTTCGGTGTTGAAGAAGAGAAAAAACAAAGTTCAAGTAGAGTTTTAGTGTGTATTGGCAGATGATGAATGACGGTGTTGTTGTAGAGGAGAGGTGCTGGGAACAGAGGAAGAACACATTGACTGATTACTTTGTCTTTTCTTCTCACTTTTTTGTCATTTTTGCCAGCTCCAGAAACTTAAAAAACTTTTCAGGTCGACACGATGTGGTTGCCGTTGGTCTTCTTCATTGGTACAGTGTTTGCAATTACTGGAAGCGCCCCAAAGAAGCGTGAGTGATTTTGTAGACACTGTCAGTAGATTTGTAAACGTTTCAGCAATATGTGAGGTGATACAAGTGGATTCGGCTAACAATAGCGATATGTTACTGCCTCTGGCTATTATCACTGACATGGATAGCAAGTCGAAAGACACTAACAACTGGTACAGCACTATTCGCTATGGTGCTTTGGCTTTCTCACAGGTTAGTTCATCTTCTCAAAAAAAAAAAATCTAATCAGTACAGTCTAAAAAAAATAGAATACTCGGCTGTCTATAACTTTTGGTCAGAAGTTTTTAGACTGATATTGACCAGGTTCTGGTCGGAACTTTCCCAAAACTGGGTGCATGGTCAGATTCCGATCGGCAGTTGAAGGTTGAAATACTTCTAGTTTGAAACCTTGTCATAATTTTGTCGAAGTTTGGTCAGCTTCAGTAGCAGTATGATCCAAAATCTAACCAATCCCCGATTGGAAGATGCAGGTGACGCCCGAGATTCTGACCAAAAACCCAAGAATTATTGAATTTGCAAATTTATTTTTTGAGAAATTTAGAAATAACTGGGTCTTATCAACAGAATCCTCCAATTCCAGAACCGAACTTCCTCTTTCATCCACTGGTTGGGAGGAATCAACATCACGTCCAACATGAATTTCAAACAAAGATCCATGGAGATGAGTGACCTCAAAATTTTCCGAAACCGACTTCTATCAGTCGACGACAAACTTGGTCTCGTCTATTGGCTCCGAAATGGAACTGCCGTTCCATGGGTGATCGCTTCGACTGGAGATGGTTCGACGGCTACACGTAAGTGTTTGAGAGTTCTGAGAGTTTGGTTTCGAAAGCCTAAATAGTGACTTGCGAAATATTGTTCAAGTTTTTCAGCATTCAAAGGAGAATGGATGACGATCAGAAATGATAATCTTTACTTGGGATCAAGTGGACATGAAGTTGTGACAGCAACCGGGGAATACATCAACGATGATGAGATGTACATCAAGGTGAGAAATTGAATATTGAGTCTAACATCCAACTTGCTAAAGTTAAGGTTATCTCTCCAACCGGAGCGATGAGCACTGAAGATTGGACGGCAAGATTCGTGAAGCTCCGCAGAGCAGTCGGAATTCACTTCCCCGGATTTATGATCCACGAAGCTGTTCACTGGTCGGATATTCACAAGAAATGGTTCTTCCTCCCTAGATATGCCTCAAAGCTTCCATTCGATGCCACCAATGTCTATGAAACAGGCTCCAACATGCTGCTCAGCACGTCTGACTGTTTCTGTGACACGAAAGTTGTCCATATCGGAAAGCAAGAACAAACAAGAGGATTCAGTGCATTCCAATTCATTCCTGGAACCAAAGATGAGATCATTGTCGCTCTAAAGACTTCAGAAGTTCCAGCAGACCCAGCAAAGCCATTCGAGAATCACATTTTCTCAACTTGGATCACAATTTTCAAAATCGACGGAACTGTAATTCTGGAGGATCAGCCTCTGGATGATGGAGTCAAGTACGAGGGGATCGAGTTTGCCAATGTATTCCAATGCTTGTAATCAAACAGATTTTGTTTAAAAAAAGCTTTATTATTATTAATTAATGTTAAAGTTCTCTGAATAGAACAAATAAAGTGTGGACCGAGTTTTTCGAAATTTATTTTCAGATATGTTAGTTTTCCAAACAGACTTTTTTGATAGTAACTACGGATCGATTTTTGTAACGGACCGCGAGATAAGACATGATGATGAGGATTATAAGTAAAAAAGCAGAAATACCAATAAGAATCCAGGAAACAGTGGTCATGGTCCAGTTATGCAATTGTTGGTCCGCTTTTTCTTCATAGCATTCTCTTCTTGGATCGGCTGTGATGAACTCTCCACAACAGGAAGTGAAAAGGTTAACAGGGCATAATGCCTGATTTGGTGGGCAGTTTCTGACTAATCCCGTCATATCTCGCAGTGTTATATCGCGAGGATCGCCGCGGTAGAACACCTAAATATGGAATTTTGAAATTTTATCGGTCCACACCATCGGTCACTTACCTTTACAAATGGAATATCATCCAATAACATCGTTTCTATGATAATTGCCGATAGGAATTTAGGAGGCAAATCTTCGCCCAATGCTGCTTCTCGAATACCAAGGGCATCGAGAAAAGGAAGAATAAGGAGGTCATGCTGAAAAATAATCGTAACTCTTGAAATTTCGGCAGATTTCTCAGCTCACTCACCGTGCTGAATACTTGGAGCTTGTGACGGTCACAACTGATATGTCCCTTTTGATTTTTCTCATGGCACCTCACTTTTTCTTGAATGTCGTTCAAAATTTTGTCCAGCAAAAGTCCCGTTTTAACTCTGATCCCCTTTGAACTTTTGTACTCTCCAACAGATGACATCACAGCTAGAGCCTGAATTCAAAGAAACATTGACTTCATTTAAATTCCATTATTTGCCTTGTAGAACACAGTAAGCGACTCTTTGTAGGCTTCCTCGTTGAACCAGGACGGAACTGCTAGACCCGCATCTTTTTCCAAAATCAAAGCTGGAAGATTTTCATCGGATCTTTGCTGGAGAGTTTGGGATGCGGCAGTTGCTCGTCGCAAAGCTTTCTCACTGATAAACCACTGAAAATAAAATGAGAATTGAATCAATTAGGTTCTTATAAGAATACCGGATTTTTTTTGGCTTGCTTCTTGTCATTTTCAGTTAGATTGAAGAAATTGGTCCATTCATCAATTTGGAAAGCACAGTCAAGTTTTGGAACCAGGAGCTGAAAATAAAAGGTAAGCTTTGTACTCAAAGTGCGAGAGCTTACAAAATCATCCGGTTTTGCAACAGTTTGCACCGGTGGAGTTGAATTCACAAACATAGTATTTCCTACTGTTTGAATTGTCATCAAACATCTCTCAACTGGACTACTACGGAACAACAACTGAAAAAAGTCATCATTTTCAACCAAATTTCCATATGCCCTTTCTCACTTGCGTCGGTAACATTCTGGCATCCACAAACGTGTTCACATAACGATCTTTGAGTACTTTTCCAATCAATTTTGCTTGCTCGATACCTTGCTGAAGTAAAAACAAATTTTTTGTATCTGTTATCTGATGACACTTGATCCAGCAAGTCATTAATTTTGTTAAGATAACATACGTCTGTCAGTTGGCCCAAACCACGATAGAAATAAGATTTTGCCTCCTCCGAGGTGACATTGAGAACTGGTGCACGAGCTCCATGACGGAAGATCTATAACAATTGGGTTTTGAGGTTATCGGAAGAATTGAATTTTTGAGATAAAAATCAGAAACTCAGCTACGAAACCTTTAAGAAGACCGAAAGGGCCAAAGCGCCCCAAAATTCAATACACCGTAAAACCTATAATGGATAAGCTCCGAACTTTTGACTTAGAACTCATTTTTCTAGATTTCTGCCTAAATGTAAGACAAAAAGTTTTCAACTGATAAATTGTTTATCATAATATCAAGAGTGTTTCGTCAGTTGACATATTTTAATATTTTACATAGAACTTAAGATATTCAAGCTCAAACTTGACTGTAAAAGGGCTTTTTTATTACAGGTTCAACGGAATCATTTTTTGCACTGAAACATTGTTTGTGCCACATTTATGGTTCAACTTACAACATGAACTGAAATCAGCTGTGCCTGAGATAGGGCAAAAATCACAAATGGGAACACGTAGAATAATACCCTCATCCTGAAAAATAGACACACGAAATATTCAAAACTTGACTTATAAAGGGTGCATCGAAACGGGGTTATGGTATTTTAATTTATTCCATCTCCTACTAGTTTTCAAAAGAAGAGGAAGAAGAATAACAGTCGAAAAAGAGACAAAAAATAAAGCAGAACACAATGCTGAAATGATTCAGAGTTTCCCATCATGATAAAAAATGAAAAGGGGGAGAAATATGGGAAGAAAAAATAGGCTATTCTTTTAAAGAAGCAGACACCTGCTCAAGGAAACAAAAATGAAATCAAACGAAAAAAAAATTTGGGGTGCAAGGTGATTGTGTTGTAATTTTCCAGAGGTGCCCTCTATCTGCTACCCACCGCTCAACGATTTATGGCTTGTCGTACGACACGAGACGGTGGGCCTCGACCGACACAAGAGATAGAGATCCCGAGACTGACTGAGAATTTTCTCGCGGCTTCTTCCTCTTCTTTCTTCTGCTTCTTATTCTCCTTGCATCGCCTCAAGGAGGGCAACAATGAAGGCAATGATGGGTGAACTAGGGGCAATTAGACAAGAAATGAGATGGCTCACTTGCTGTTTTAACCCATCAAGCGCCGCTAATATGCTTTTTTTTTCCAATCTCTCATCTTCTGTGTTTTTGACAAGCCAAGTTAAAGCAGATAAATCAACAAAAGTGCCAGTGGAAGGAAGAAAAGAGAATTGGTTGGGCAGAACAAAACAATATGACCTAATCTTATCAATCTGAAGAAGTAGTCAATTCATCAAAATATAGTGTATACATATGAGTGGTCAGAAGAAAATAGTTCAAAATGAACAGCAGATACAATTGGTTTTTTGAAATTTTTGACATTCCACTTTTTAAGGAAAAGTGAATTTTAAGACTTCCAGAACTTTTCATAATATAAAAGTCAATGATCAAAATCAATAATGAACACGGAAGAAGAACATAAAATAAATATTAAAAAAAAGAACAAGATAAATATCATATCATAATCGGTCACGACATATGTGTGATTTATCTTGTTCATCTTTACAAAGCGAGTCAATCAAAAAACCCTTTTTTCAGAAATTTTAAAATTGTTTTATATTCCAGACAGAATTTCTATAAAGTACAAGTAGGAGTTTTCTTTATTCAGTAGGTCACGGATGTGTAATATGACAGGAAGTTGGTGAGTCCGGTTGAGTAACTTATTTATGAAATGCAGAAAAAAATTCTTAAGAAAAAAAATGCACATAGGTTTTGAAAATATGAGAGAAGTACGTATGCTGAACGGAGAAACCCGGAATGTCAATTATTGCATAGTCAGAAAATTCAATTACAGACTTTCGAATATCCAGGGAAATGTACGGGTCTGAAATTAATATATTCCGCTATTTTTGAATATAGGACGTTTTCAAAAAAAATTTTTTTAATGAAACTTTTTGAATATAGCGTAAAACAGACAGTTGAACATTATTCGAAGTCACTAACAGGAACCGAGATACCTTGGAACTGTAACTTAACAGCGTCTATAGTAGATTGTCCTCTTCTAACACAACGTCACCCTTGTATAGTGATCGGAGCGAGCAAAAAACATTTTGTTGAGCAGATGAATCTAAAAAATTTAAACCATTTGCTTATTTTGCTACTCTGACAACTGAGAAAAACCAAACTTTGTTCCCTTGCATCGGTTCAGAATACCTCCTCCAAAAAACAGAACTCCATATATTACCGTGGGTAAATTTAAATAAAGTTTTAGAGGGAAAACTATTAAAGTGAGGCAGTATGTCGAATGTTACGGTCAGTCCAATACAGCACAATTTACAAAAGAACATCAACATTTTGTGAACAAAGATTTTTGTGGAAATTTTTTAATTGGTTAGGAAAAGCTTATCTGAACACCTCTGAAAAATTTAAAATCCTCTTGCCATTTTCAGCCGAGCTGTATCAGTTTTAACACTAGAAGACGCTTTTCGGGGCAAAACCGCGATTTTCAGAGGCGAGATTTTTGGTATTGGTGTGATTGATATAAATCGGCTGAAACCAGCAAGAGGCTTCTGAAATTTGTATAAATTACGAGATAGGATATTCTTAACTTATTCTTATCTTCCCATCAAACTCTGGCTTCGCATAGATGGTGTTCAGGCTCTCTAGGTGAGTATTAAAAGAATCATTGATTAAATTCAAATTATTCATGAAAATTCTTTGAAGTTTAAAAAACATTTTTTCGTTCTGTAAGTTTAGATATTCAGTTAATTTTTTTCTGAATTTATGAACTTTACTTCAATACTTCACTATTGTTTTTACTGTTCTCCCAAAACGTTTTGTTACATTTTCTCTGTTTTGATCCTATGCACATCACAGTTACCTGTTTTCACAACATTTCGAACGTTTTCAATGCCCTTTTAGACTGAACATCTTCATCTATTCGTTTTTCTTTATACAGATCCGAACAAGTTCAAAAAGTAGTACATTCAAGTTAAACTAAGTTGAAACGCAAATCCGATTCAACGATAAAGAGATTAACGTATAATTTTTAAAAAATTGGTTAGGATGTGTGGTCAAAGTTTTGAATTTTCCATTCCATAACAGGAAGTTATGTTTTTGAACGAACAAAAACCAAAAAATAAAAAAATAAAGGTACACCGATAAAATTAGAATATCAAAATGGGAATTAAATAATTTCCGCGAAATGAACTAATTATATATGCAGCTGGTCCATGAAGTGAAGAAGTACTTGAAAACCATGGGGCAGATGTGTGCGTGAAAGTGCTTCATGAGATTTTACGAACCCTAAAATGAACAGTTGAGAAATGAAAAGAATGAGAAATGAGCGCATTTTGGAGCAATTTATGATGCACTAAAAATCACACTATAAATAGAAAAAAAAACTCCGGGAAAATGTAGGTAAACGCGGCCAGCCCACTCTATATGTTATCATGTCGTCGAAACACCCTTGACACACCTACCGACTGTTTCAGAAAAAAAAATCTTGTTGGATGTTTAAGAATTTTTGAAATTTCTCGGTCCGCTAATTTCTTTTTCATTGGAACACATTAAAATTACGCATGACACTTTTGTAGGCAATTTCGTGAAATTTTGAGACGCATTGGTTTAGTCATTGGGTTCTTGTGTCTTCTATTTTCTTGTAAAAAACCTGATAATATCTTGTTTAAAACGCCTACCAACTTCTTCCTCTCCTGAAATATTTTCTAAAACAAAATCAGCTGATTCCAATGCCACATTTCCCCCTCATTTTCTTGTTATCTTTATTGAGTGCAAATTTTCTTCTGTTTCCTATCAATTTTTTTTGAATGAACAAAGACAGTTCAAAACGTCAATTTGACCTAAAAAAGTTTTCTTCTTCGGACGATTGGGTTCTATTTTCAAAATTGTGGGGTTTAATTTGCTTATTCAAGGTTGGCGACCTTATGCATTTCTGTATCCGATCTCCCAAAATTCACCACCAAACCTGAAAGATCCATCTCACATTTGGCACAAAAACTGAAACACGAAAATTCGAAAAAAAATTGGATGGCCATCCCATTTAATCTTCTTTATAAGACTATCGTTTTTGATCCTGTTCGCTGGTTTCTGAATTTTTTTTCAGTTTTTTTGTGATTTGTTTTGTGCTACTTTTGTTCCGTGTATGGTTCCGATTTTTTCAATGGTCCTATTGAGAATTCCCTATATGTAAATGATCTGAGGAAGAAAAAATGTCCTCGGTGCAGGCTCATGTCGAGTAGGTATTTCGATTTATGAAGCCCTCCTTCCCCGCTTTTTTATCGTCTTTATTGTCACTTTTTATTCTGCAACACGCCTCGGGTAGGCCGTATCATGAAACAATATATAAGAAACATGAATAATGCGTGTGGGTTGTGACATGTTGTTACCTGTATGTCTATATTATCCATCGAAAAGCTGCTAGAAACATTGTCAGAGGTAATGTGCACAGAAATAGAATTTAATTGGGTTATTCAACAAAAAATGAGATAGGCACTCGATAACATTACAAATTAGCAGAAATATTCAAAATAAGCCGCGGTTTGTTACACTCAAAGCCAACTATAAATATGTCACTCCCTGTTTCATTTTTCACAAAAAACACTTCTAAAAAGCGTCAGACAAAAGATTTTCGAATATTCGAAATATCGGCTTCACCATCATCCAGCTTCGATAGAGATCTGTTGCCGCCTAGAACTGAGAAGGGGGATGCCGATCTAAACGGTCTATTCCTACGACGCAATCCGCCAATTAACCGTGACATAACGCATTTCAGAAATCGTGTTCCACAAATTCCTTCCCAAAAAATCTCGAAATTTCATTTCACCGAGCAAAAATCATATTTTTTTTCGTTTTTGTTCAAAGTCAAAATTCGATGTTCATTTGAACTTTTGTATAAAGATCAAGTCATAAAAAAGTCAGTTTGTTTTATAGTAAAACTCTTTTTTATTTCAAAATTTAAAGTCACGACTGATTCCGTCTACTGTCGTTCTTCGAAAAAAGCGATTAAAACTTGGTCTCGTTTGGTATTCATCTCTATCTATGTCATTTCCTCTTTTCTTCCCTTTCACTCGTCCAGTTGTTTTTTATTTGTATACAACGTCGTCCTCCTCCTCATCACCAATTATTGTTCTAAATTCGAACTCTCCTCTTCCGCGAGACTTTTTTTGGATGGCCGCTAACTATTTGGTAACTAATTGCACTAGTCATTTTTTGACCGTATTCCGCGTGATGACCGCAAGTTACCTTGAGACCCATACAAACGGCTGAGAACATGCAAAGTGATCGCAAATTGAGGTAATGACATACATGATGGCACATGTGGGTGGGAGGAGAGGATGTCGGTTTTTGTCCTCTATCCCATAGTTGTACTTTTTCGATTACTTTGTTTGAATTTTTCAACTTTTTTCAACTTTTTTGTATCTACTCTGACCCGGTAAGCATTTCCAAACGATCTGTGTTTTTCGATTCAAATTTGAGCTTTTGATACAAAGAAAAATCATGTTTTCTTTTTTCTTTGATTTGTTTTTTTACCGTTAACATTTTCATTGAATGTTCCAAACAGTTTACTGTAAGCTCATGTATCTCACGTCTCGTGAAACTTCTCAAAAAGTAATCAACAAACAAAATGATTATTAAAATATGTTTACCACTTTTTTATATCTTTCACTGTCTTATTGCTTTAACTTGAATACCTTTTTTTAGATCAACACTTGAATCCAACTTTGACGCTAGAAGCTTCCTTTCACAATCTTTTTTCTCGTTTTTTCCTATTCAATCAGCAACATTTTTTTGTTATTAGAACGTGGCATTGAAAATCAACATAAAACGTTTTTTCTTGCCATTTTCATTGAATTCAACCAACACAATCACCCTATGTATTCATCGTTTTATTTTCGTTTTGCTTTGTTTGAAATCTCAGACATCGAAAGTGATAGAAATGTGATAAATCTCTCTTTTCCATCAAGTAAGCGTTCAAAAGGACATTAGCCACCGCCAGGAAAGCGAACTTATGCAAAACGTCATTTGAAATGTGTAATGGACATCTTCCTTCTCCTCTCTCTTTTCTCGCACATGACATCCGTCCAACGCACATTTCTTGAAATCGAATATGGTTGAGAAAATGAGACATTCTACCATCTGGTTTTGCTTATATTTTTCTCTTCTTTATCCCATCATTTTCATCCCCACTTCTCGTCTAATTTTGTCCCCAAATCCTTTGCACAAGTTTGCACATTTTGTTTGGATTGAGAGAGGGTGAACTGCTATACCGGTCAAACACTCGCATGCTCTTCCATTTTGCCATCCATTTTTGCAAAGAGAGCTCCACCGGAAGTTCAATTTCCTTTTGATATTTTTTTGGACTATGTTCGTTTCTTGGAAAGTGTTGTTGATTCCAGAGTATAAAGATTCTAAAATAGTCCGCTAAAAAACCACAAACTCATTTAAAAGAGCTCATCCTCCCCCGCACACCATCTCTATCCACTTCTTCTTGTTTTTCAAATTGTTTATTTTCTTTTATTTTCATTTACTCCAGCCCATCTGAAGTTCTTGAACTGCTCATAAATTCGAAGAAACGAGTTCTTGTATACTTCCAAATTCTAATGAATTCATTCCATCTTTTTCGCTTTCCAGTATCCCAAGAAAAAAAATGTGAAGTTTGGACTGAGTTAGTTGCTTGTATTAGAAAATCCAAGGACACTGAATGCGGCACCAGACAACAATCACATAAATTGTTTATGAAAAGTGTTTTGCTCTGAAGAGCCGGTCGTCGCCACACAAATTTTATTATTTTCTCTTGAGGGTTAGTACAGTGGCCTGTGTTTTTTCTCTGACTACCTAATCTTGTAGTAATAATAGAGAAAGTGAGATTGATGTAAGCCGCTTGTTTAAGGTTCATTGAGCTTTGAAATTTGTGTACGACACAATCTTCATCTGCTTTTTTTTTTGCTCTAGATGTTCAACACATCTAAGACACTATATACATATTTTTTTCGCTGGTGAAAAATAGGAAAGATGCGTAGATGTATGGATCTTTCATTTTTATAAAGCTTCAGTTTGTTTCATCAAAGTTCGACAAAATATCTATTCTTGTAATTTGTTTGAATCTCTAAACCTCGTGTTCATTTTTGTTTTTTTTCTTGTTGAAACATAAATTTCGGACCTCCTGTCAACAAATGAGTGTTCCACGCTGCCAAAAATGCATGACCCCTCTCCGTTTTTTTTTGCCCCTTGTTTTTTTCCTTTTTTCTCTCTTTTCTGACTCCAGCTTCTCTCTGGCTTTCTACATTAAATGAAAAGCCAAAATACTTACCAGAAGAGGGGCTGTAGCAGCAAATTACCCACTTCATTTTTTTCTTTCACTTTAAACGGAAGCTACCGAGTTCTAGTGTCAACATCGCATAATTTGCAGCTATTCCAATAGAATAATAGTTTTCTATTTTCATGAAATTTTTTGGAGAAGACGAATAGTGTAAAGGTCACGTTTCAGTTAATTTTTCAAATTATTTTTAAGCGCAATATTTCGTAGCCTTGAATTTACAATAATTCAAAACATGATTGATTAGAAATTCAATTTGTGATTGTCAATTACCATAAAATCTGATATAGAAGGGCCCCTACATTGTTAAGTTTGAGCTGAGTTATCTAAATTCCCATGCATTATACCAAAAATGTGTAACCTGGCAAAACACTTCTGATATTATGATATACAGTTTATCAGTTTACAACATTTTAATATTTTTGACAAAATAGTGAAAATTGGATGAAAATGGAAATGGGAGGATCTTTCTATTAAAGGTTTCTAGTATACTTAAATTTTTTTATACTTAAATTTGCAATTTCCGAAATTAAATTAAAATTGTTTTATAAACTTTGATCAAATTTCCTGTTATACATAGATGAATTTCCTGCTCGTTTTATGTCGTACGTCACAATTTTTTGAGAAACTTATCTTCACATTCCAGTTTTTTGATGCACTCATTCTGTTCTCATCTCATTTCAAATTCATTTGTTGATGGAGTGGCCCCGCACTAACTTTTCCCATTCGTTTTGTTTACTTCTCTTCGAATTTTGAAACACTCCTCCCGATTTTGCGTACACCTGAACCCCACATCAATTCCATCCATTCTTCAATTGTTATTTTTCCTTCTCTTTAATTCTTATGATCCTATCATCCCAAACCTAATCTCAGATGTTCGCACTTCTCACACGAGGGATACCATCTTTGAAAAAGCATCGATATTTCAAAGAAAAATATCAAAATAGTTCAGATGGCTATGAATCATTATTGGTAAGTACTTCTAAGGTCAAAAATCAATAAAAATTGCAACAATTTGTACTATTGTCGCACTCGAAACCCAAACAACCATGGTTCTTGGCTTCACTGACACGGCGATTCTTTAGGCGAATAAGATTTCTAGACCCTGTGATAGTGATAGTGATATATGATGAAAAAGTGGTCGCGGCGGGCGGGTGAAGTTATGATATATAAACCGTGCAGGTTGAATGAAATGGAACAGGCTGCCCCCTTGCAAAAAAAGCGTTTCGTTTCTCATTTCCTTGAACCCCTGGAATCGATGAAAAAATCCTTGGTGCTTTCCCCTATTTCCTGTTTAACCCAAAAGTTTGATCCAATCGGAGGAAATGGATCCATCAAAAAATACACGCGGTGTTCATATTTTTGTGATCTCCAATGAGGTTATTTTTGAGATTTTTTCTTCAAAAAAATTACTTGAAAATCACAAAAATAAATTTTTGCAGCTGGAAGACTCGAACTCGGAAGATGGAAAACCCAAACCACCGGATGTTCACATACGAATGCCACGAATGGTGAACACATGCCCACCAGGATCATCATCGTTACGATTAGCTCTGGTTGTTCTGAGTATAGGTGCTGCCAGTCATTTTTTGGTGAGAATTTGAACTTCTTGATTCAATTATTTTATTTATTATTTTCAGCTGTTCCTAGACAGTGTAGTAGACAATTTACTACCAGCTGCTATGCCGTTTTTCTTATCAGTGTATGAAACTAAAGAGAATGGTTAGTACAAAATGATATCCCCAGTGAAAAACATCCGTTTCACGTGAATGATTCCAGCCAATCATGCGTGGGAGATGCTTGTTTCATCAAGAATCTATGGTCTTGCTATCGGATGTTTCATCGCTGTCCTTCTATCTCATCGGCATGGAAGAAAACTACCGGTTGTTGTTGGTGAGAAGAATGAACCGTCTGAGAGGATTTTGAAAAAACGTAGTTCAGGAACAATACTTGATGTTATCGGGGTGATACTAACATTGCTCATCACCTATGTTCCTCATGGAGTGACTGTTGCGACGATTGGAAGATTGATTAATGGGATCGGGCAAGGAATGGTACAAACCGCCGGTTCGGTAATGCTCTCTGAGCTACCACCATTGAATAAACGAGGAACTGTTTTAGCTACACTGGTAATTCAGATAACAACAAGTTTTTATAAAAAATGATTTCCAGACAATGTGGGCTTGCATGGGTGAGCTTGGAGGCATGACAATCTCGTTGGACGACTTTTTTGGGATCCAGAGCTCTGGCAATGGGCTATGGGCTTCCCACTTCTTGTTCTTCTCCCCGCACTCTACATCATCTGCCATGCCCCTGAATCTCCCAGATATCTTTTCCTGGAGAATCGTGAAAACGAAGCTAGGAAAGCAATGTCGTACTATCAGGTGAGCATTGCTCACTGAGCAATGAGTCCTCCTGAAAACTTCTGAAAATAAACGATTTTGCAGAGCCCTGCCGATTGTAAACAATCAATCGAAGAGATTCTGATCGAGAAGCAATATGTGAGTTTGAGTGCTGTTGTACTTCGTGTTTAAACATATGTTTTGTTGTAGACATTGCAAATGGTGAAGGAAAAAATTGATGAGAACGGAAACTCGAGCAAAAAAGAGAAAGATACCTTGTGGAACACGATTATTGAACGTTTGAAAGATGGAAATTCACCAGAGCGTTGTTAATTGCACTTTTCGTTCAGACGTTTGTGCATCTTGATGACTGGGTAAAAGAAGAAAGTGTTAGAAAAAAGTCAAGATGGAATTTTCCAGCTCTGGATTTCGTATTCGACTCAAATATTTGAAAATTTCGGATTGAGTTCTGGGAAAGCCCAAACTGCCTCGCTGATTATGTCGTTGCCACAAGCTGTGATAAGTGTTGCGTTGTTAGGGTGAGTTAAGATTTGAAAAATAACCGTAGCTTCTACCAATGGGAACTACCGCATTTCCTCCTAGAGTCACGTTTCCTTAAAGGGGGACTCCGGTCAAATTTTTTATTGCATTAAAATGTGTTAAAAGTTATCTTTTTTCCTAATATTATTGCGACAAAATTCAAAAAAAAATCCGAAAACCCCGAAAAACGCCGTCGAAAAGGAAAAAATAAAAAAAAAGTGCCGCCGGGGGACGAGAGTTTTTAGTGAGAAACCTAGGCCACGCGAGCAGCGCGACTTTCTTACCGGACAATTTTTCCGGATTTTTTTCTCTTCTGTCTCCGACAGGTAAAAAACATTAAAAAATACTGTCGGCCACTTGAAAATAAAAAAATAATGCTGTCAGGCGCCGTGGCCTAGGTTTCTCACTAAGCGGGAATTCAAATCCTCGTCCCTCGGCGGCACCTTTTTTGAATTTTTCTCATTTTCCACGGCGTTTTTCGGGGATTCCGGATTTCTTTTGAACTTTTTCGCAATAATATTAGGAAAGTAGATAACTTTTAACACATTTCAATGCAATAAAATTTTTTGGTCGGAGTCCCCCTTCAAACAGTCTGAACTGCGACTAAACTTTTGAAAAATTTGAATGGCGACCTAAATTTCAATTTTAAGACAATTGATTTCGGTACCTGTCGATAATATCAAAAAATCGTAAACTGATAAACTGTTTGAAGTATCATAATGACCAATTTGTTAGTTAACAAGTTTTCTATTTCATGGACAGGTACCGAGATGAGTCATGTCAAAATTGACACGGTAGGGACACTACTCATACAGGTTTTACGGTAATGTTTGTAATTGACAACATTTTTCTTAAATTCCATTTTGCTAAGATGAGTCGTTCAAAAAATGCAAAAAGTGAAGAAAAAAGCGCTAAAATGTGAGCCGTGCCATTTCAAAAGATATTTTTCTATGTTGGAATTGTATAAAAAATCTGTATTACAAAGTTGAAGCTCTAATATCTAACCGCCAAACCAGTGTTATTAAATGTGATCAGTTTTATCGTCCAGCTAGTTGGCTGCATTTTTCTTCTGGATTTTGGAGTATGCTCTGAACCTTTTTGGTCAAATCGAAAAGTACTAGACAAATTTTTCAGATTTTTGAAGTTGACTATTTTTTTCTAAAAATAATTCCTATTTACCCCGTACTTAATGATATACAGTAAAACTTAAATTCGTAAAAATTACACTCGAATATACGTAAATCCATTCCAGATGCTTTGACAACTTTGATCGCCGAACACTTCTCATCGTTCCAACGATTCTAAGTGTAATATTCGGTTTCCTCGCCATCGTCTTCTCCAGCCCCGGCCTCTCAAACCTTGTACCGCTATTTGTTATCATACCCATACTAGCCACTTTTGATCTATCAGTTGCCGCGATCAGTGGAGAATCGGCTTACGCGATTGTACCCGAACTTTTCCTTGCAAATGACAAAGTGCTGGGATCAGCTATCGTTGGCATCGTTCAGGTTTGTGATCTCTCATCGAACGTACAAACCAGAATATATGTTGCTTAGAATGGATTCGGAGGAGTGTTAACGAATTGTCTTCTGACTGCACTTACAAATCATGGAATTTCAAATGTATTGGTTCCGTTTGTTGCGATGAACACTATTTACGCAGCTGTAACTTACAAATGGTTACCGGAAACAAACGGCAAAACTCCTCAGGTACCATAATACCATAAAAACAATAGGAAAGTTATTTCTTTCAGGAAATCAGTCGTCACTTCTCTCCAGAATTCCCAGGCACCAATTTCTACTTATACGTCAAGCACAAGTGCTCAAAAATTGCTGCATATTTAACCGCCAAACCGGTGTTATTAAATGTGATTAGTTTTATTGTCCAGCTAGTTGGCTGCATTTTTCTTCTGGATTTTGGAGTCAGCATTTTCAAAAAAATTGGAGCGTGAACTCGGGTCTCACTTCTTCTAAATGACACCAGTTATGAATGAGAGGAAAAAAACAAAATTGGTCTCGTCTTGAAAATGGGTTCTCATCAGATTAGTTGTAATTTTTCTAGGGGTTGCTTTTTTTGTAATACTTGTATTTTTTGTCTGTAGATATTTTATGAAGTCATACATTTCAAACAGTTTGTTTATTGATACAATAAATACGCAAATGAATACAACGACGGTTCAGGTACAAATATCATATACGTTTCAGGTCACATTTCAGCAACATATATCCCGTGGAATAAAGTGAAATTACAAATTGAAAAACAAAAAAAAACAAGGAATGCACGAATTGAATCAAATTACAGAGCAATAAATTATTTGGCACATTTCGATGGGTCTGGTCTGTCGCACATCATAGTGTCGGCGTGGAAGCTGAGCCCATTTGGACATTCAAAGTTATAGGAAAGTCCATTGACACATCTGATGAATTTGAGACAGTCGCTTGGAACACCAAAGAATCCGTCCTTGGTACACTTGAAAGCCTCGGTCGCGGTTGTTGGGGTCACAGTGGTCGTTCTAACAGTTGGAGCAGCTTTGGTGGTAGTTGTAGTGGCTCTGGTAGTGGTCACGGAGCATCCCGATGCAGTAGCAGTGGTACAGTACTTGAGAGACGCGGAGAATTGAAGACCAGATGGGCAAGCCATGCTATAGGATTGTGCTGAAATAAAAGAATGAAATGAATTTGTCAGTAAAAATTATCTGAAAACTTACAGTTGATGCACAAAACGAATCGTCCACAGTTGTTAACATCTGGCCATTGTCCGTTAGCCTTTCCCGCACAAACATTGGAAGATTTTATGGTGGATGTAGCTGGAGCACAAGTAGTTGTGGTGGTGGTGGTTACAGCGGAAGTCATTGGTGGACGTCCTGTGGTTACAGTAGTGGGCACAGTAGTGGCCAAAGTGGTTGGAGCAGAAGTGACACCTCCCTTCTTTGGAATAGTGACTCCACCGAGCTCTCTAGCGATCACACTGATAAGGGGATAGAGTTGTCCGTTGGAGTTGCTGCATCCGGCATTGAAATCATCAAAGTCAAGCGTCCACACAAATGCTCCTCCGTATCCTTCTCTCTTCACATAAGCCATCTTGTTAGCAAACGACTCCTCATCGTCATATGACCACCATTGGTTACCTTGGACTAAATATGGGACTTGAGATTGGCTATCCCAGTAACGAGTGGCACCACTGGCAAGCATCTCGCAGAACTCAAAGTAGGCTCCAACACCAGCTTCCTGGACGTATTGAGTGATTTTGGCAGGAGATCCGCTGGTTCCTGGATTGATAGAACTCGCATTGTTCAAAGTCCATCCTCTTCCATAAGTTGGCATTCCAACGATGATCTTCTCCTTAGGCATACCCTTCTGGTTCCAGTATCTGGCAGACGAATCGACATTCCATCCGTTCCATTCAGCTGGGAGCTCGGTGGTAGCGTAGAGGGGAGAGTTGAATCCAACAAGAGAAGCCCAGGCACCGAAGAAATCATAACTCATGAGAAGAATGAAATCAAAGTTTGGAGCAAGATTTGGGATGTCATATCCAGCGTCAATTGTGGCTGGTCCAGCGGCAACGGCAGCGGTGATGAGAAGACGTTCTTGGTTGGTGGATCCTGCTTCTGATTCGCAAGCAGCCTTCAATTCCTTGATAAGCGCAACATAGTTAGCCATATCGGTCGCTCCGGATGGGTACTCCCAATCGATGTCAATTCCGTCGAATCCCCAAGTACGTACAAAAGTGATAGCAGAATCGATGAACACCTTTCGAGACGCAGCGCTTGCAGCCATTCCTTGGAAGAGAGCAGTTCCGAAACTCCATCCTCCGAAAGAGAGAAGAGTTTTGAGTTGAGTGTCGGTAACCTTCAGCTTGTTCACTCTTCTATACATTCCTTCTCCAGCCCAGTCATTTGGCAAGTCAGCTGGATCATAAGCTCGAACGGTGTAGTCGGCGTTCATCCACCCGAAAGCGAACAGAATGTGTGTGCAGAGTCCTGGTGTATAATCCTCTGGCACAAACTTCGCACGTCCTTGCCTATAAGAATAGAAAACTAGACTACTCTTCCTCAATCATTTTTCGATTATATGCCTCTCACTCTCTCAAACAAAATGATCAAATTACAAACCTGTATTGAGCCCAGTTGGTGAAGTAGCATGGTCGAATGTAGCTGTTGGTTGGTTCGGCTCTTGCCACGTGTCGTGACGAGAGTTTGTTACGTGCAGCGACAACGTCCGCCGGATCTGAAGTGAGAAACGTGTGAGAGAGTGAGCACTTGTTTACGTGCTGTTGAACTATCCGCAAATAGACGAGTGACCAACCGAAAAGTCAATAAGACACTCTTTTCTGGTGGTCATTCTGATTAGCAAAAGTTAAATTTAAGTTTATAAAAGCTAGGGCGTCTTCAAATCTATACTTACGGTTTCTAATAGTTGCACCAGTCCAGGAATAAGCAATTGGCGTTATGACACATGCTGCCAGGAGAAGCTTTGCTAACAGCATTCTGAAAAACGGAAATGAAATGAAAATTATTTTCAAAACGACACTGGTCAAGAGTGGAGGGCAATTGCGGAAGAAAAAACAGCATTTTCAAGGGAACAAAAATGACCAAAATGTACATAGGTAGCCGGACGGGGTGGTGGTTGTTTGAGCACCTCGGCTTCCACCACAATGCACTTCGTACAGTGTGCTCATTTTCCACCGATTATCGCTCAGGGGGCAAAAGGAAATAAAGATGGGTGAGGAAGAGAAGCGGAGGGGCTCCTCACTCTCTTAGCGCAAAAACCACCGCACAAACAAATCAAAATCATTAAGACGAGATTTGAGACAAAACATCAGATCTGTCTGGAGAAGACAGCTGACCAGATATAGGAAGTCACCATCCACTAGAAGAATACCGGGCTAGAATGACTAGGGGTCCTGGTCTGGCACACATCGGGCCAATTGGGCGTGGTCTACCCGGATAGTCTGTCAGCCTAATGGTCCAGGTCACAGACTGACGTCATAAACAATAGGTGAGAAAAGGTCTGGTCTTTGATCGCATCTTCTGGGAAGGTAATAACTGAGCAGAATACCAAATGTTTGATGGAAGGGGTATTAGAGATGGACATCTATGGATGACAATTGCTCGGAAAAGATCAAATGATCAGATGAGGGTCAGGAGACCAAAGAACAGTTTTTGGGGGAATCCCCTCGAGGAGGGGTACTGTAGATAGATGTGGGTAGGCCTTATGGTAAGACATACACCAGCCTCGGTTTTGTAGTTTTCAAAAATAGAGCATCTTAACACGGGAAATGCGTGGTTGGAATGTTTCCCGACCGCCCATTGGCCTTCCTTATCAATAAACTGTTTTGAATCACCACAAACAACAAAAATGTTACTAACTTGAAGAATTATGAGGAATAAACAAGATAGGATCTAATGAGAATCTAATTTGTCAGAAAAGAAGTAAATGAGGAATTTGATGACTAATGACGAAACTTGTGGTAGGAAGGAAGAGGAAGAACATATGAAAAAATTTAGTGATTTAAAAAAAGTAATTCACTATGAAAATGAGGGGTAAATACAAAACATCTGAAATATAGAGAATGATCTTTACAATTAGGTTCAACACTCCATTTAGCAATTTTCAGTGTCAAGTAAAAAACGAAAATTTTCGGATTTTCAGATGATGCCAAATTCTCAAATTTCCTTAATTTTGTTTATTATCCTGGTACACATAAATCGGAGCTGGGCGGAAGAGAAACGCCGATTACCCTGGTCGAAGATCCGACAACGAAATTTACCGTAACCTAAGGATACTCATTTTTTTCAAATTATCAGAGAATGTTGGAAAACCAGACGTCTTAAAAATTTCCTTTCATTTTTCCGGCTATAAATGATTCATTCTTGTTCAACATGTTGTATGTTCTTGTTTTTGTTTTTGTTTTTAATTGAAAGATAAATATTTCGTAATTTTCCCATTTTATGAGTCAGCTCTGAATTTCAAAAAAAAATCCTTCGTTTTCTTCCTCAGCGTTCTTTTCGTTTTCAATTTATTCCTGGCATATGCTTTTAGGATTTTCGTTCATGCCATTTTGAATTAAAATTTAAAATATAGAATCTCAAAAATTTCGCCTTCGAGTTTTTACCCTCATCTATCCACGCGTTGCATTGACTTTCTTATGGCACAGCCCTTCCCAGTCAACACCGAACGTAATTCTTGGCCGTTTTCCCCAGCAGTGTAGTCCTCAGCCATTTATATCTCGGGTTCTCCATCTTTTTTCCTTTCACACTAGGAGAAAGGGGTTCTCTAGCAAGACGAACGCAATCTTTTTTCCTATTGGATTATGTGTGTGGTGTACGACTCATTTGCACATTTGGCGTTGTGTGTCCTTTCCTCGTTATGCAACGACCTTTTCTATTCTGCTTTTTTCAATCAATATAATCTTTTATATTAGATTTGTAGCTTTATGTTCAAGTTTACAGCTACCATGGAAATCGACGGCTTTGTTATCGTGGAGAAGTTCCCAGTGATTGAGGTTGTAATTTATTTCCGAATTTTTCATGAAAATTCAATTTTCTAGAAACCAAAGGAGAAGATCAACGATAACTCGGAGACTGCCAAGGATAGCAAGGACATCAAAGACCCATTTGTAAGTTTAATTCTGATTTTAGGGGAATAAATTATTTTTCGAGTCAAAACCATAAATGGAGATCCAAAAAATTATAACTATACTTTCGAAATGGGTTCTAATTATTACAAGCTAACATTTCCAAAATTTTAATCTGTATATTCATTCAAAATCAGTTTTCAGGACATCATGGTCGAACTGGCCGCTGCTTACGGAGAAGAGTCTGACTAAACTGATACATCCACTTCTTTCCTTCTCAACACTTGCATTCTGAAACTGTTACCCATACTTTCTGTCCGTGAAATAAAAGTAATGAATACTAAAATGTCTTTCACAGCTTTTGTGATGTTCGCAACGTTTGAAGTGACTGAAACAAAAAAAAGATAAAAACGGTCACATAGACGTCCACCAGATTTTGCACGCAGAGTTACCGCACGAGAGTGACAGGTTGTACTCTGATCGCTACTTTTTTGACATTCATACTTCATTTTCCCAACTGATAATGGTGTAAATCGAAGATTGACACAATCTTGATTGTTGAAATCTTCTAGAATAGGATGATTTCTGGGAATAATGTCAATTTTAACGTCTTGTATAAAAGGGGTGCTTGGAACTGAAATAATCACTCTCGCAATGAAGTCGATCATCATTGCCTCTCTTGTCGCCTTGGCGATCGCCGCCTCCCCGGCCCTCGACCGCCCATTCTCTCCAAAGAGCGAGTACATCTACCAATTTGACGGACTTCTTCTCTCTGGACTCCCAACCACCTCTTCCGATGCCTCCCAGACCCGTATTTCTTGCCGTGCCCTTATTCAAGCTATTGATGACCGCTACATCCACCTTCAACTCACCGATGTCACCTACTCCGCTTCCCACATTCCACAGACCGAGAAAATGCCAAAGATGAACTCTTTGGAGCAACGTGAGCTCTCTGACGAACACAAGGAAATGCTCGAGCTCCCATTCCGCGCTCAACTCAGAAACGGACTCATCTCTGAGATTCAATTTTCCACCGAAGATGCTGAGTGGTCCATGAACTCGAAGAGAGTCATCATCAACCTTCTTTCTCTCCGCACCTCCGCCCCAGTTGACGAGATGATCCAAGAGGAAAAGTACATGGAAACCGAGAAGGACTCCCGTTTCTTCACCGTCAACGAGAAGACCATGGAGGGAGACTGCGAAGTCGCCTACACCATTGTTGAGGAGGGAGAGAAGACCATCTACACCAAGTCGGTCAACTTCGACAAGTGCATCACCCGCCCAGAGATGGCCTACGGACTCCGCTTCGGATCTGAGTGCCAACAATGCGAGAAAGAGGGACAATTCGTCAAGCCACAAACCGTCTACACCTACACCTTCAAGAACCAACAACTGGAACAATCTGAGGTTCATTCCGTCTACACTTTGAATGTCAACGGACAAGAGGTCGTCAAGTCTGAGACTCGCTCCAAGATCGTCTTCGTTGAGGAGAACAAGATCAACAAGGAAATCAAGAAGGTGAGGGAATATAAAGATATGTCACTATTTCATTTATATCATTATAGGTTACCGGACCAAAGGAGAGCCTCGTCTACTCCGCCGGAAACGAGTGGCTCATTGAGCAATTCTACCAACAAGGAGACAAGGTCGAGGTCAACCCATTCAAGGTTATCTCCCCAGAGCAAAAGTTCGAGGAGCTCAGAGAGATTTTCCGTCAAGTCCAAGAGCTTGAGGAGAACACTCCAGAAACCGTTCATATGCTTGCCCGTGCCGTCCGCATTGTTCGCATGCTCTCCATCGAAGAGCTCAAGAAGGTCCACACCAAGATCTACACCGAATCTGAGAACAAGGTAAGTTGTACATTTAAAACTGAGCAATCTATACACATGCGAATACATTTAGGTCCAAAGACTCATTGAGAGCGCCTGCGCTATTGCCGGAACCAAGAACACCATTCAACATTTGATTCACCACTTCCATAAGATGACCGTCTCTCCAATCAGAGCTTCCGAGCTTCTCAAGTCCATCCAAGAGACCCTTTACCCAAGTGAGCAAATCGCCGATCTCCTCATCGAGCTCGCCAAGTCCCCACTTGCCGAGAAGAACGAGCCACTCCGTCAATCCGCCTGGCTTGCCGCCGGATCCATCGTCCGTGGATTTTCTGCAAAGACCCAAGATCTTCCATTGACCCGCCCAGCTTCCCGTCAACTCAAGGAGAAGTACGTCCGCGTCTTCATGCAACTCTTCCGTTCCGCTGAATCCACCTACGAGAAGGTCCTTGCTCTCAAGACCCTCGGAAACGCCGGAATTGATCTCTCTGTCAACGAGCTCGTTCAACTCGTCCAAGACCCACGTCAACCACTCGCCATCCGCACCGAGGCTGTTGATGCTCTCCGTCTTCTTAAGGATATCATGCCACGCAAGATCCAAAAGATCCTTCTCCCAGTCTACAAGAACCGTCAAAACAAGCCAGAGCTCCGTATGGCCGCTCTCTTCAGAATGATGCACACTCTTCCAGAGGAGCCAATTCTTGCTCACATCGTCGCTCAAATGGAGAAGGAATCCAACCAACACGTTGCTGCCTTCACCTACAACGTCATCCGTCAATTCGCCAGATCCACCAACCCATGCTACCAACCATTGGCTGTTCGCTGCTCCAAGGTTCTTCTCTTCACCCGTTACCAACCACAAGAGCAACTTCTCTCCACCTACTCTCAACTCCCAATCTTCCACTCCGAGATGCTCTCTGGAGTTCAATTCGACTTCGCCACCATCTTCGAGAAGAACGCTTTCTTGCCAAAGGAGGTCCAAGCCTCTTTCGAGTCTGTCTTCGGAGGAAACTGGAACAAGTACCTCGTTCAAGTTGGATTCTCCCAACAAAACTTTGAACAAGTAATCGTCAAGGCTCTTGAGAGACTTTCCCGCTACGGAAAGCAATCCAATGAGCTCCGCTCCCGTCGTGTTCAATCTGGAATTCAAATGCTCCAAGAAATCGTCAAGAAGATGAACATCCGTCCACGTGTCCACCGCACTGATGCACAATCTGCCCACGCTGTCTTCTACCTCCGCTACAAGGAGATGGACTACATCGTTTTCCCACTCGACATGGAAACCCTTGACAACCTTCTTGAGAAGTACGTCAGAAACGGAGAATTCGACATCAAGTCTGTCCTCTCTTTCCTGAACGCTGACTCCAAATTCGAGCTCCACCGCGCCCTCTACATCCACGAGTCTGTCCGCAGGATCCCAACCTCCATTGGAATGCCACTCACCATCTCCGGAAAGATGCCAACCGTCCTCTCCTTCACCGGAAAGGTCACCGTTGAGATGCAAAAGCTCGGAGCCCGTCTTATCCTTGACGTCGTCCCATCTGTTGCCACCACCCACGTCACCGAGATGCGCTTCTGGAGCCCACGCTTCGAGCAAGGAGTCAAGTCTCTTCAATCCGCCCGCGTTCACACCCCACTCAGACTCGAATCTACTGTTGAGCTCAAGAAGAACACTCTTGAGATCACACACAAGTTCGCCGTTCCAGAGAACAAGAAGACCATCGTTTCCGTTCACTCCCGTCCAGTTGCTTTCCTCCGCATTCCAAAGAATGACGAGACCCAATACACCGAATCTGAGGAGAAAACCATCTCCCACTCGGAGTACCAATGGACCACTGAAGAGATCGACCGCCAATACGAAGTTCTCGGACTTAAAGTCAACGCTCAAGGAAACATCCTTTCCCAATGGTCCCTTCCAAAGGTCCTCATGACTGAGCAAGACTTCGAGTACACCCTTGAGAACAAGAACCGCCCAGCTGAATTCACTGCCCGCATGACCATCGGAAACTTGGAGAAGACTGATCTTTCTGAGATCAAGTTCGACAAGATCTTCGAGAAGGAATTCGACTCTGAGAACACCGAATCCGAGTCCCGCCGTCAATACTTCCACAAGATGATCCGTGAGATCAAGGCCGAGCAAGGATACATGAACCTCATCACCCTCAAGCTCGAGGCTCCACAACAAACCTACTTCAACTCTGAGCTCCGTACCACCTGCGACCAATGGGTTCGTATGTGCAGATTCGAGATGGACTCCCGCCGCTCCCCAATCTCCGAGGAGACCAAGGAATGGACTCTCCGTACTGAACTTGTTGCTGCCCGCCCACAAATGCCATCTTCCCTCCGTCAACTCCGTGAGCAACCACACCGTGAGGTTCAACTTGCTCTTAATGCCAAGTGGGGATCTTCCAAGAAGAGCGAGATGACCGTCACTGCCCAACTCGAGCAATCCAAGGAACAAAAGAAGTACATCCGTAACATTGAGCGCGTGTTCAACGGACTTCCAGAGTACGAGCTTTTGATCAAGGCTGCCCGTCTCAACCAAATCAACGTTGTCTCCGAGTACAAGCTTACCCCAGAGGCTGAGCACACCTTCTCTCGTCTCTTCGATCTCGTCAAGGCCTACAACTTCTGGACCGTTTCTGAGAAGCGTGTCGAGAATGAGGAACGCCGTGTCACCCTCCAACTCACCGTTGAGCCAATGTCCCGTCAATACGTCAACATGACTATCCAAACCCCACAACAAGAGGTTGAGATCAAAAACATCCGTGTTCCACGTGTCGTTCTCCCAACCATTGCTCGTCGTGCCATGATCCAACAAGCCTGGGAGAAGACTGAGACTACCTGCAAGGTTGACCAATCCGAGGTCTCCACCTTCGACGATGTCATCTACAGAGCCCCACTCACCACCTGCTTCTCTCTTATTGCTAAGGATTGCTCTGAGGAGCCAACCTTCGCCGTTCTTGCCAAGAGAATGAACAAGAACTCTGACGAGCTCTTGGTGAAGGTCATCGGCCGTGAACAAGAAGTCATTGTCAAGAAGACCAGCGAGGAGTTCCTTGTCAAGGTTGACGGAAAGAACATCCCACAATCCGAGCTTGAGCAATACGAGTATGTTATCCAATTCCAGAATAACAAATAATTTCACATTTCAGGATTGAAATCCTCGGAGACAACCTTGTCGTCATCCGCCTTCCACAAGGAGAGGTCCGCTTCGACGGATATACCATCAAGACCAACCTTCCATCTGTTGCCTCCAAGAGCCAACTCTGCGGACTCTGCGGAAACAACGACGGAGAGAGAGACAACGAGTTCATGACCGCTGACAACTACGAGACTGAGGATGTTGAAGAGTTCCACCGCTCTTACCTTCTCAAGAACGAGGTAGTATAAATTGTATTTCTTTTTTAATTAATTCAAAAATAATTTGCAGGAGTGCGAAGTTGAAAACGACCGTCTTTCCGAGAAAAAGAACTACAGAAACAAATGGGACAGAGAGGAGAAGAAGAGAGACCAATCTTCTTCCGAGAGCTACGAGGAATACGAGGAGGAATCAGAGAAGTCCGATAAGAGTGAGTAAACCTGTTGAAATCGGTTGCAAATCATTTCTTACTTTCAGAGTCCGTCGAGAAGACCCAAATCAAGGAATTCTCCCACCGCGTCTGCTTCTCCCTTGAGCCAGTCGCCGAGTGCCGTCGTGGATACAAATCTGGAAAGACCTCCACCAAGAAGATCCGTTTCACCTGCATGCCACGCCACAGCGAGAACGCTCGCCGTTTGTTGAAGGAGGCTCGTGAGCAGAACATTCTTGACTTGTCCGACTTCGAAGTCTCCTACGTCGAGTCCGTCAAGGTCCCAACCACCTGTGTTGAGGCTTTCTAATCTGTCTATACGTGTCACCTTCTTGTGTTTTATTTGAAGTAGTTTCTCAAAATAAAACTTTTCCCTAGATAATCAGCTGTTTTGAAAAGAAAAAATTCTTATCAGTTGCTACATTTGATGCAACTATGTATAATACATTTTCTTTTTTCACTTCAAGTCAAAAAAAAATTTCATGTACCAAGTAAGTTTGACTACGCGTTAATGAAAAACACTCACAATGAGCACAAATAATAATTTTGAGATAAAATATGATAATTAATTTTTTGAAAGTTGTAGGTTACATGTTTGCAGTTTGTAAGATGACTACGATAATTAAAGTGGAACATTCCAGAACTTGATATTCGAATCCTGCCCAGCAGAAACAATAGTGGTTGCGTTCAACCAGAGAACCGAGTTGACAGAGGACATTGCGTGGGCTCCTGGAAAACATGTGTTGTGTTGATTGCAAAATAACTCAAAAACTAAGAAAACCTACCTTTGATGATGATTGGATGATCAGATGGCTTGCTCATGTTCCAAATAATAACCGAGTTATCCAAGGATCCAGTAGCCAATCGGTTGTTGTCAGGAGACCAAGATACGCAAGCTACCTTGGCGGTGTGGAAAGTCCAAGAATGGGTGTGAGCCAATTCGAAGTTGTTGGCGACGATGTAAAGGATAACCTGAAATTTTTTAAATTCGAAAAAATATTCAAACCCTGAAAAACCTTTCTAGATTGATCGGTTGCTACAAGAATGGCTCCGTTGTTTGAGAAGGCGACAGAAGTGATTTCAGCAGCATGTGAAATAGTTTTGACTTCCGACAGACTGGATCCAGACAGCTTATACACATGGACCTTGGAATCTTGTCCACCAACAGCTACCAATTGCTTATCGCTTGAAAGTGCCACACACGATGAGTTGAAACCAATTGGCACTTCTGTTAATTTTCCCTGAACGTAAATTGCCACGTGTTTGTAGCAAGCAGCCACCGCGATATGTCCATCAGCGGAAACAGCAAGTCCTAGTGGTTGAGAAGAGAGTTTGGCGCTGACAACCTTGCTGGAATCTACACTAGATTCTCCAGCGGGGACAACTTTAAGGTGATCGTCCCAACTGACAGTGAACAAGTTTCCATTGGAAGTGGATTTGATTCCAGTGATCATGGTAGCATGAATCTCTGGGATGATACGGTTGGATTTTCCAGTGGCGGTTTCCCAGGCAGCTGGAATAAAAAAATTGAATCTAGGCAGCAACAGAAGAAAAAACTAACTGATATGACCTTCAGCATCAGCACTGTAAAGTGTCTTTCCATCAGAGCTGGTTGCAAGAGCAGTAATAGCCTTATTGTGTCCATATCTGACCTCATCAACACTTCCAAGCTCTGGGTTGATAAGATTGACAAATCCAGTGGCGGAAATCGATACCAATGCTTGCTTGGTCCAAATGATTCCAAGCTGTTGATCTTCAATCTTCGATCCAATTGTAACAGTCTTCTCAACCTTCAAAGTAGACACATTCCAGATTTTCACGGTTTTATCGGCAGAAGCTGTTGCGATTTTCGATCCACATGGACTCCAGGTGAGACCGTACACACTTCCAGAGTGGGCGACACCTTTCAACGAGTCGTCTTCAAATACTCCGACTTTGGTTCCGTCAGCTCCGTTGTAGAGAATGATAGTTCCATCTCCTCCAGTTGAAGCAAAGAGGGATCCGTCAGGGTTGAAACGGACAGAGTGAACAAACTTGGTATGGTCGCCAAAGGTCTGGTAATGCAATTTTAGGTTTAAGCGGGCCTTTGTAACTTTGTAAAAGTAATAGGTACCGTATTTCTTCTAACGGTATCGCACCCGATGCATCAATTTTGAGCTGAATTAACTCCTATGAAAGATATAAGAGCTCAAAGTGTGTTGGGTGGGCTTGTATCAAAGGAAATACGGTAACTGTTTTCAATTGAAATTAAAAACTCACACTCTTAAACTTGAATGGTGGTCCTTCAAAAATTGCAACCGTGTTGTCATCAGATCCAGACACAATACGGAACGGACGCGATGGTTTGAAGTCGACACTGTTCATTGCGCGCGCCTGTCCAGTCAAATTACCATTGGAAGTTCCGGTGTCAAAAAGGAAAACATGTCCGAAGCGCTCTCTTCCCTCTCCAACGGCAGCGATTCTCTTACTTTCACTATCCCATGCAATATCTTTGACTGGTCCCGAAAAGACTGGAATAGTGGTTTTAAGGATGTGAGTGGTTTGAGTGGTGTCCCAGATTCGAACATTTCCATGGATGTCTCCAGAAGCGCAGTAGTAACCACTTGGACTATATTTGGCCACCGTGGTTTGATGAGAGTGCTCAGTGTAGATCTCAGTATTAGTGAGATTGTTCACCGGACATGTGTAAACCGAAGTTCCATTGCAATAGAGCACTTTGTCACCGGCAGGAGTGTTTCCTAAAATCACAATTATAAAGAAATTTGTTTTCCAACTCATTTAATCTAAAAACTGTGATAATATGGCAAACTGATAAAACGTTTGTGATATTATGCTTAACAGCTTATCAGTTGACAACTTTTCCATGTTTTTGGCAGGAACCGAGACAGATTAGCCTAAAGTTAAAAGTCACAGGGTCCTACTATTACAAGTTTTACGGTAGTTTTACTTACCCAAAACTACCGCAGTTCCTCTGGCGGTTCTTGGAAGTGATGGGAATAGAGCAGTTTGAGAGAACTCGGACATTCTGAAAATTGGGTTATTTTATTTTGAAGTGTCCAACGAAGGCTTAAGGTCTCAACAAGAAAAAAAAACAGAAGATCAATGAATCCGGACGAGCAAATGGAGAAAAGTCCGATGGACGGCAAACTAATGAGGGTGCGGAAGGACGATCATAGGTCATTAACAAACAAAAAAATGTCCGAAAGATAACTAGGAGGCCTAGAAAACACTAATGCGCATAAAACTAATTGTTGAACTCATTCAGATCGACAATGACTTCTTTATAAACCATCAAATTTGGAGAAAACGAACGGAATACAGGAAGTCAGCTACAAACAACAAAATTCCACCCACAGAACAGGAAGAAGACACGGAAAGAGAATAAGTGTTATTGTTGTGAGAAAGAGGAGGAGGAGGTCAATAGAAAACTCGCCGGCTCGGCCGTCGCCGCCGGCCCATCGGGTGGAGAGCATTCGAAGACAGCAGAATGTCTTGTTTCGTCTGCGACTCTGCGATTGCCGCTGTCTATGAGAAATGATGGGAAGAAAAGGTTCACGCAAACAGAGGATCGGCTGTAAACCTCGTCGCTCATCGACCGCTTATTTATTATTAGGAGGACCCGAGAGAATATCGATAGGGATTTGTGTGTGGGGGAAGAAAGAGTGATTGGGATGGAAAAACAAGTTCAGAAGCAACGAAAATAAGACGAAAATTGGCACGGTTTCGCAGTTTTTGTCAAATAAGAAACACTCCATTCATTCACTTTTTTCCCGATGAGACAACTCACAAACCACATGTGATTCATGTTTCCAATATGGCAGAAAAAAGAGGAGCTGACTAAGCAAACGTAAGCCGTATGGCAACAAAAATGATTATTTCTTTTCCCGCCGATGTGACTTGAACAAAGTAGAACATGACGTGCTCCTTTTTTGACTCACAAAAAGAAACATTTTCTGGTAACCGGTACATATATTAGTGACAAAAAATTTTTAAAAACGGTTTAGTAAGAATAAAATAATTTTGAGAACGTGAATGGGAAAATTGATAAATGAATTAAAAATTTAGAAATTAATTTAAAGAAAAAAATGATTACTGTGACGTACTAGAATTGAAGATTCAACAAGAAAAGTAAACAAATATGAAATGATTATATGAACTGAGTTATTTATCCTTTCCAGAATTCTTAGCTTGATATGAGGCAACGCGATGTTTATGAACTCCAAGCATTACCACTGGGACGAAGAGAACTTTGAAGAACCAGAAGGAGAAGAGTGTTCCGAAAGCGACCTGAAAATCAAAATTCAGGAGTTAGCAAAATAAACTCATACTCCTGAAAAACATTTTTGAATAGAAAAGGCACTGTGAATGCTTTAAAGATGACCATCCAACACGTGTGTTTTATCTCAGTTCCTTCAAAAGATACTAAAAACTTGTCAACTGACAATATAATTTTCGAAGAACCACTAACATTTTAACAGTTGACAAAATGTTGACATCTTTTACATGAAACAAGATAATTTAACTCCAAGTTCACGCATTTATGGCATATATATTTATATCATATATCTCAGACAAATTGTAAGTTGAATCTCATCTGGGTCTGGTATAATGACTTTGAAATTCAACAAAACAGTACCTGAACATCATGCTGCACACATCCGGTAGTAATCTCCCAGTGGGTTCCGATAATTCTGACAGCTTGCTTTGCAAAGTTTTCTGGAGTTACCACGAAAATATTGTTGGCCTCTTCGGCTTCATACGATGCTACTTTTGTGGCGACCAGCATTGGGATAAGGCACTGAAACAGTTCATAATGAATAATTCGAAAATTTTTCAAATGTATCACGCTTACTTGAACACGAACTCCGGTACCACGGTATTCATCGGATAGAGAATCAGAGAAAAAGGATAGTGCTGCTTTACTAGCTGGATAGGAGCTGAGATATGGAAGTGGACGCCAACCCTGAAATGGCCGTTAAATTAACTATCTAGGAATTGAACTTACAGTCATTGAAGAGATGTTAACAATGATTCCTTGCTTTTTTTTGACCATGTTTGGGAGAACAATCTCGGTCATCTAAAATTTCGTAAGTTTTTTTGAATCTTTACTCTAGTTTACCTTAACAGCAGACATCAGATTGACTCGAAGAATAGTGGAAGCCAATCCCTCTGGAAGCTCTGTGAGTGTTCCAATGATGTGTGGAGCAATTCCAGCGCAATTGACTGAAAAATATACAGTAAACTAAAATTGTTAAAGGTGGAAACCTACTCAAAATCCCAATATCTAGTGTGGAAAGGTCTTTTGGCAAATTTGATAAGTCGTCCTTTTCGAAATCATGCACATGAAGCATAACTTCACATCCATATTGCTCCACGAGCTCCTGTTTAGTTTTATTCAATTTGTTTATATTGCGCCCAATTAGGTAGAACTTTCTGAGACCTCTTTCCTTGCACAACTCTTCAATATATGCTCTTCCGATACCATCTGTACCTCCGGTGATCACTAAAAGTTGTAATTTTCGAGTATCTAAGTATCAGAACTGCTGCAAATAAAATATTTCTTTTATTTACCTGTCCAACTGTCCTTCAAATATTCCAAATCGTGTTTTGGTGTGATAAAATGCACTAGAATGCTTTTGCAAATAATGAAAAGGAATTTGAGTACACGAATACCAAGGTATGAGGCAAATCCATACTGTAGAAGGTTCCACAAGAAATCTGGCATCTGCAAAGTTGAAAATTGTGAAATTAAAATGAATTTGAATAGAAATATATATATATGTTACGAAACACTTAAAACAAAGTGGTAGATTTTTGCATTGATGAACGATATGAAAATCGCGGAGGAAAGACGGTGACAGGATAGAAAACCTTTTACGAGTACGAGTAAGTCGGAGAACGGGGCCAATTCGGATAATGAGAAAAGTTATCCAAGGCCACTCTTGCGGACGTACAGACAGGCGGCTAGACACACCAACTTGGAGTGTGTCGGGCGTCTTTCTGAAGCCGACCAATAACAGCGTACGGATGACCTCGCGCAACTAGGGACAGGAGACGATATGCATAGTTTTGTGGTGGGGATATTCTGACCGTCCTAGTTGTGAAGAAGAAAAAGATAAAGAAGAATGCAATCAGAAAGCAAACAGTGGTATGCAACAGTTGGAAAAGTGACCAAGTGTAACACCGGCCATTTTATTGGATTTGTGTAATGGTTGTTTTTCAAAAATTCTGCACTTTCTAACAAAAACTGAGAAGACAGGTTTTTTGTTGTTCCAGCAGTTTATCGAGTGTCAGATTCAGAAGTGTTTTTGCTTCTGTTCAAGTATGAATTCACAATCTCAAATATGGTGAAGAAATACTATGAAGAATACGGTGAAGAAATACAAATCTAAAATGTTAAAATGGTTTATATAATTTTTCATCAGGTTTCTTTTGACAAACAATCAGTTCGATCAATGATCATGTTTCAATCTCGCCTACACTTTTGTAAAAAAAATAGAAAATAGAAATTTTCGAAGATCGATGCTTGAAAATATGTCCTGTCAAATTCATGCCTATTTTCCATGGAAATTAATTTTCTCTTCAAAAATCAATGGGTCGTTTTCCAAAAATGGGAGCGTGAAACTGTGTATGCATTGTTTTTATGATTTTCCAATTAACAGAGGCAGAAAACAAAAGACTTCAGAACTTGATATTCTCAAAAACTGTAGGATGAAAAAATGTCATTTTGTGACACACTACTTGAAGTTCCTAGTTCTATCCATTCATCTCATTTGTATCAAAAACATAGTTTTAAATCAACAACTCACGAAAGTTTGGTTTCAAATTAAATAAAAATACACTGAATTATACTACTATCATTGAATCACTTTATTAAAATTGAAAAATTTTAAAATTGAGTTTTAAACATAAAGAGAAATCAACATCCCATTGAGATGAGAAGATACGATTAATTCAAAAAAAAACAATTTTTCTTCAATTTTTAAGCTTTTCCAGTTGATTTTCAAAAATACATTGGTTACGAATACTCGTCGCTGTGATCGGAAATTGAAAGAAGTTTCAAAAAACAATTGAAAATGTTAGGATATTTGACAACAGCAATTCTGTCGAACACACAAGAAGACAGAAAAAGATGTCACCGGTTGAATCTTATCTGGTTCATCTTTTGCAAAAGTTTTTAATGTACCTAAATTTTCTCCGTCTTTCGAGTATTGATCGTTGATCTCATAACATGATCTTTCTCACGATAAAAACTTTTTAATTCGAAAAATAGAACATCCATCATCAAAATGTCTGGATTTTCGAACTTTCAATCTAAAACGGTTTGCTACATGGTTTCTGCTTTGATCTGATCTCTAATCGTTGAAATTCTATTGAAAAGAATGAAACTACGATAGAACAATTGGGTTTGAAGATGTATTTACTGTGAACTCGAAAATTAATGTTGAATGAATTCAAATTATTTGAATTAAAACAATTCGTGCGAAACTAGAAAATAAAAATTATGAACAGTTGGTATTTATTTATAGAAGTTTTGTACTGTCATGCTTTAGGCACTAGAATCGCCTTACCAAATTAACGGTGATGAAAGATAATATATCGTTTTCTCTAATAGAAGCCCATGAGCTTAAAAAAAGAACTTTCTGGAATAATCAATAGCCATGGTGAATTTCTATTTGAAGTGGGCTTATATTAGAGAAAATACGGTGTACAGGTAATTATGAAAAACGTCTATCAGCTGATAACAGTGATCTGTAATCTCGTGTTATCGAAGCTCAGCTGGTACAACGGGCACCTCCAGCGACGGGTTCACAAGCTCAACTCCACGAGGTCAAATGATCAATATTTAAAACCATTTGTTTCCACATGTCCCCTCTGTTTTCATATAAAATTAACCAAAGTCGAAAATCTAGGGAGTTCTTTAGAGAGGTCTGCGGTCTTGTTCTCCATTGTTCATTTTAAACTCAAGTAATTTTTGATATTGTATTCACTTGCCCTTTCCCCCTTTTTCGAAACTCCATTCTCCCGGTCTTAGTTCTAGCACAATCTTACAAAACTGCGTTTAATCCCATCATTGGCAAGCAACTTCCTTTATAGGGGATCACAACAAAAAAAGAATAGTGGATTAGGCGAAAGCTCAAAAATATTTGATAATGTACTAAGCAGAAAAACATTAGATTTCCTAGCTTCCTAAGATATAACATCACTCTCAAATCGCTGTTTCTAGGAATTCTTCTAAAATAATCCTTGATTTTAACAAACTTCGAGTTGTTCTCCACGTATCATTTTGACATCATAATCCAAAGCATCATTTTAATCGGCAGATCTGACTTCGACGTTTCCATTTCGAAACCTTATAATTAAAGAATCAGACACTAAATTATCAAAACAGTTTTATGTTCAAAAAATAAACTCATTGTGCTCCAGTTGGCGCGATTCATTATGGTTTTCAAAATGAAAAAGAAATCTAAAAACCACGTTCTGATAAATGAAAAAAGCAAACAAACAAGAACATATTTACAGCACAAAAAAGTTTTATTTCCTCCGAAAAATATTATCAACATACCACGAAAAAATAATTAATGGGCGGACACTTTTAGTTTGACAAGAAAAATGGTGGGGCACAGGGAAAATTGTAATTCAGAAAAAATAGAATGCTTCTACAACCGAGATCGTTTTGTTTACAAATATACCGGAACGCTACATAGCAGTGATTTCGTTTTGTGTGATTTTTAGGGGGATGGGGGTCATGAAATGATTATCATCGAAGAGATTATTGGTTCACAAATATGAACAAAAATAGGAATGAAGCAGAGCGTCCAATCTGGACAAATTAATTTACAAACCGAAATCTGGATACTCCTCATGGAAAGCGTCAAGAGCATCGTCCCAGGCGCCAAGTACTTTTCGGAGGAGTTGCTGAAAAATTGAGAATACAAAACCATTCATATGAGCTTACTGTGGCTCACCTGATTCCTATTTTGTTGCACAATCTCGTCGTCAGCTGGTTTGACACAGAGCATGATAGAAGTTATGAACGGAAGATGAAGTGCGTGAGCAATGAAGTTACGGCGGTAAGCTCTCATAAATTGGTTGAGTGTCATTTTCAGCTCCTTTCCAGCATCCTTGGCCTTTGCCTGTAGCAATTTGAAATAGTATGGAAGGAAAACTTTCTCAGCCAATCGTCGGGTTTCTGTATCGCAGCAGAAGGTGAGCATATGACAAAAGTCTTCAGCAATGCTTCCAGTGTGCACATTCTGCCAGTCAATGATTGCTCCGAGGTGGTTGGAAGCTTCCTCACTTCCATCCACAGTTGGGATCCACATGAGATTGTAAAACCAGAGGTCTCCATGACAGAGGAATGTGTCGATTTCCAACGCTTCGTGTGAATCGCGCAGCACCTTCACAAACAATTCGCGGCTACTGTACATCTTCTCAACACGTGAGAATGTTTCCTCAAGTTCCGGATTCCGAGACACATACAACTTGACAATGTCAGTCATGTTGGATACGGTATCGATAAATTCCATTGGGAACGGGAACTTTTGCTTCCAGTCATCAGATAAATCAATGGAGAACAAGTGAAGGTTGAGCATTTGGCAGCCGATGGAAGCGATTTGTTGAAGATTGAGTGACTCGTAGTACGGTACACTGACCATTCCTTCCAAATCTTGCATTACAATAGCTCCAGTTGTTTTTCCATGATTCTGAAATTTAGAAAATCGGTATTGTAAAAACTGATTACTGTATTTTACCCATTGTTGAGAATGGAAACATCTAGGAAGTCTCAATCCTGGAATCTTGTCCATCAAATAGAATTCGACTTCTCTGTTGAAGAACATTGTCAATCCACCAATGAATTGCTCGTCAGCTCCTTCTGGCATCTTTTGATTAGTGGTCATTTCCAAAGCTGCTTTGATGTTAGTGGTTTCAGGCATTTTCACAATATACTAAAAATCGGAAATACATTTTGCTACCGTATACCTTGTACATACCTTGTGCTTCTGGTTGTTTTTGAATTCCACAGTAACGCGCATGATTTGAGATACAAAACCGTCGGATCCGAGTTGCTTGCACTTGATGTTCCGGACCTTGTCACTATCCAACAGTGCTCCCAACGATTCAATGAGCCATCCAGCAGTAAGACCATGTCTTCCGATTGGCATTAACTCAGCATCGAATTCTAAAAAGATTACGGTAATTTCAAATTTCCATTGAGATTTCCTACTTCGGCTGAAGAACTCGTGTTCTCGGATGTTTCCAGCACTGAAGAACAGTAAGCGAAGTTGTAGAATCTAAAAAATGATATGAAAACTATTCGTTGCGGAAAATGTTGCAATAGTCATGTAGGCAGCTTAAATCTGATGGAGAAAAAAGGTTGCAGCTTAAAACTTCCTTATTGCATTTGTCAAAATGAATAGAATGCTTTTTTTTGGAAATATTATCTAGATCTGCGACAGCTCAGCTAGAGAACGGTACATGGAAATTTCGAAGGGCAACAAGAGGGTTTTGGTAGACTGGAATGCATGTTTTCTACTGTCTAGTCTACAGATACAAAGCAAAACAAAGAATGAATGTTTCTTAATATAGCTGGTTTACTCACCTTAACAATTTCAGAAATCGAGCACTTTCTCCACCGATGGATATCCGAATTCAACGCCACGACTTGAGACTCCATGGCTCCAGGCTTTGACACAACAGGTTGATCGTTTCTGGGATACAAAGAAGTTTTGATGGGAAAACAATGAGGAACAAAATTGTGTATCAAAAAAATGTTTAGGAAATGGTTGAACAAGGAAGCAAAAAATGAAAAAGAATGGTGAGAAGAGGAAAATGTGCCTCTCGGAGAATGAAAGTTTTTTGGGGTCGGACAAGGAGCGTTCTTGTTTCCGTCGAGCTTATATACGCGGTTTGGGGCGGATCGGTTCGGCTGATACCGCTCTCTGATTCTAATTATTTTCGCCTGCAAGAATCGAGCTGGAAAATGGGCGGAGCCCACCTTTCCCTCTTTCCAAAAAAGACGGGGGGGGGGGCAGCAGAAGACTACAATGTTTCGGTCAAGAAAGTCTTAAGCTTTTCACAGAACAACGGCTGTGCTCTTGGAGACTAGAGGGGGCGGAGCTTTGGTTTTCTCTTGAGTAGTGGTACTAGCAATCAGTTTAACACATGAAACACCATGGACCACATTTGGCTGCTGATGTTCGTTTTTCCCACTTAACACTTGTCACCAAATTAGTAGACCGTTCCGTTGAGGAAGAAAAAAAAAAGAAAGTTGATAAAATTAAAAGTGGAGAAAGTGACGTGAACTACTAAAGTTTCAATACATACGATGTGACTATTGTGGTTTTAGGATTTTCGAATTTTCTCGTCGTCTAAATTTACTGTCCAAATGAGGCGGACGGTAAACAGTCTGCAGACGATGGCACTACATTGGATCGGCGGGCATTTTATAGAGAGAAGGGCATGTACTTTCGCTGGTTTTTGTAATGAGCTTTCGTAATAAAAAGATCTGGGTGTGATGCAACAAAGAACTGTTTTAGAAAAACCCCATCATCTGCCTGGAGACTGATTAGGAACCGATGCTTCGGATGATTTTGATGACGTTCCGTTAGTTTCTGATGTGTTTCCACCACAGTTCACCGGCTTGTGATTACAGTATGTCTGTCAACAATTTGATCGGTCAGCAGGCAGGCAAAAAAAAACAGTGCAGGTGCTAATTTGTGACGTCAAGAGACTATCCAGTCATTTTGCCAATTTAGAGTTCAATGTAGCATTTGTAAAAAAAGAAACTTCCGTTTTTTTCTCCGGATTGTTCGAGAACTATACCGTGACGATGATGTCGCTGAAGTTGTGACGTCGCTGTCTTCAAGGATATGAGATGATGGTGAACTATAGTCCCAAGTAGTGTCTGTAGATCAATTTTGTAAGAATTCGGTAACAGGTTCAAGTGGAATAGTTGTATTGTTCCAATGCTCTCTCGTCAAGAAGTAGTGAGGAAGAATCAAATATGAAATCAGATCGCCAAATTTATCTAGTCGGGCATACATTTTCACTTTGCGATAATACAAATTTTGTGTGATTAGATATGCGCAAAACGAGGTATACGATATTTACTCTTCTGATCTGTGATGCCACTTTTCTTAACTTTTTTTTCATTGTCTACAGTAACCATTTGATTTTGTTCCTAGAAGATTTGATCTCCTACTTTAGGTATTCTGATTCAGAGCCCAGCAGCAGTACACGTGAAGTTCTCATTTGATGATTAAAAATAAAAAAATAAACAATATTCAAAAAAAAAAACTAATATCCTATCCATAGGATTAACGTTTTCTGTTCCTCTTGGTTCCTGTGTTATGTGTTTCTTTCCCAACTTTTTGATGACTTTTTCCTGAAATAAGGATTCTGCAAAAAGTCCATATTTTTGTCTGATTTGTCACGTATTACCAGGACCACTGTGATGTGTCTTTTTGGCGTGGGAGGCCTTCTGAAGTGTTCCAAAAAGAAATACCGTAACAATTAGAAAGATCATTGAAACAAATGTGTTCGTTTATGGTTTGTGATATGATCATTGCCCTCGGGATTTTTGATAAAATTTTAATGATAATGAATTATGATGATAATGAATCCGTAAAATTTAGAAACACATTATGTACTATTTCCCAATACAGACTACAAATCCCAAGATCCGTGGTTTGTAGACACCTTGTTGAATACTCTCTTTGATACTTTGATCTTCTACCCGAACCCTAGATAGATCACAAAGCAGAATTGCGGGACAGCCAGTGTTCACTGGGCCAAAAGTGTGACTGTCCCGGAGAATATCTCCAGACAATATTTTAGGGATTACGCCGCCAAGTTCTCGAGCATTCTCTTGAAAACTTTTTTTGATTCATTTTCAAACATTAAAGAAACCTTTTCCTTAATCTTGAGCCCACTTCCAAGAATCCGAGCCGCTGTTCAACATCATTTTCTCTGTATCACGTGGATTAAGACTGATCAGTTCTGGAAAGGGTATGCAAAAAAGAATTCGTCGTCTACAAACTATGAACTCAAAAGTACGAAGTATATTTTGGAGTGGAGCCAATCAAGTCTAATTGATTTCTTACTGATTTGATTAAGAGAACAAGCACGTACTAGGTTTTATTATGAAATGTTGCAAAAATCCACCCACAGAAGTTTGTGTCCTACCGTACACGGTCACAAAAAGCAAGACAATTTTATTTGTGAGTGAAAAAAAAGCGAATTCTGAGAACTCGGGTATTGTTATTTGTTTTTCAGAAAATTAAAAAAAAGTTTTTTTGCTCTTCACCATTCATATCATAATTAGAGACACCCTCCCCCACAAAGGTTGTTTATCAAGATCAAGTATAGTTTTTGTTTTTTTTTTTCGTCCACTGGGTTCCAGACGGTTTTTCCCTGTTTTCATAGGATGTCGCAATTTTGTTTCATGAGCAACAATTTGAGATAGAAATTCATTTCCTGGTTGCTTCACGATGTATCAAACGGTTGCATTTCTTGAATTAAACAAGCCAATTTCGATTCCAACCAGGAACACATGTTGCAAGAAGTAAAACCACAACAAACACAACAGGTTACGGTGGCAGAAAGACACAAAAAATAGAAGTTGATGCGATTTTCGTTTCAAAATCAGCGAACAGACATAAACTAGACAGTCAAACTATATCGTGAACCACGGTTTGATGTCATCACGAATATCGAGTGTCATCCTTCGATTTTTTTAATGCACCAAAAACTCTGTGAACCAGGAAGTTGTGAATTCTGGAGCCCGTGATCCATTATCGTCCTCCGCTTTTTTTTTGCAACATGATCAAATCCAAAGTGTCCTCAGAATTGAGTTGTGCTTTGATTAAACGTCAGAAAATTGTTTTCCATCCGCTCCAGATGTGTCAGAATGCGGTAACACATTTGTGCTCTGCCGACACATTGGCCCACTTATAGCTTTGTTTAATTGGGTGATATATGAACTCCTGCGGAGATAATAAGTCCAAATTGGACTGATGTTTCACTTCCTGGAACGTAGTACACTACAGAGTTTTTGCTTGAAACTCATTGAGGAACGATTACTGTGGTCTGTGCAATTTAAGAGCATTCATTATTTATTTTGAGAAAAAATGTGAATCATGTGCCCTTTGCAGACCACACAGATGAAAACAAAAACAAAAAAAAGTTTGGTCATGTTCGAAACTTGATCGTTGAGTTTTTTCATAGTGACACTGATCAATGAAATGTAACGAAAAATGCAGATATCATTTGTTGTTTAGAAAATAAATACAGATTGAGTTCAAACCACGTAACATCGGTGATACTGTTTTTTTTTGGGATTGAAAATGTTCCAAAACGGGAAAAATAGGAGAAAGCCTAACTCAGGGGTGTGTGGAATTGAGCCTGAAAGTTTTGAAAATATAAAGAATTTCACTATAAAAATTCGATTATATGAAAATTTGAAAACTTATTTTTAAAATATTCTTTATTTCAGAAAGTCTTTGAATTTTCAAATGAAAAATAACAGCTTTTAAAGAACATCGGAACCAAAAGAGTACTGCATTTTGAAATTAATAATCCCGACTTTTCGAATTATTGAATACTTTGGTTTTCACAAAAAGTTTTGTGGTTTTTTTTTCAAGGTGAAATCCTATTTTTCATCACAAAACGGAACTTTTTGGCGTGCGCTTTTGACATATGCTATAATTACAAAAAAAAAGCTTTGGAAATATTCCAAACAGGTTTTCATTCTAAAAAAGATCTGAAAATTTTCCCTGTCAAGATGTTCGGAATTCTGAATTCCGTTCCGAACATTCCTAATTTTAACATGAGCGGAAAAAAATTCTGACGTGTTTACCTACTTCCATTTTTGATTTCAATTATTCAATACACAAATCGGTATTTTCGAAATTTTCGATTTCCGACATTCTGAAAATGCTCTATTTCCAAGTTTTCTGGATTTTTGAATATCTGAAAAGTTGTTAAAAACTTCGAAATTTGGAAAGCGTCCAGTAAGCAGCACTAGCTAGTCCATACTTCGCGTTCATAAAATTTCCCTCATTTCAATTATTTGGGATCATGCTATCTCTCTTGAACAGATCCATGTCGTGATCTCGAAATACGGAAAACGGTGATCCTCCACTCTGATACAACATTTTTCCATAATTTCGTTGCTCTATCTCTCTTCTAAAACTATTTGCTCGGTCATGCTTTGGGATAAGTGCCTAATGAGAATATCAACAAGTATATTCGCGCTGTGTCGCGTTTGCAATCATCAAGTTCAGAGCCCAAAACCTCTTGAAACTCAAACTCGCGTCGCGCAGGCTTGTATGCAAATGACACAGGAATTGGAACATTGGAGAGAAACAGTATGTTTGGTGCAATCCCCCAACCTCTCCCGCACGGGATGGATATATGAATAGAAAGGAACACGGGAGTTCACGTTGTTTGCGCCCACACACGCCGCCCTCTTCTCCCGGGAAACAAGGAATTGGGCTCTTTGAGTGACACTCTCTTGTACCTCAGAGTCCTTTTGTTTCATTATATCCCACTATGGCATTTTGGATAACTGTTTTACTCGGTCTTAATGTTTTTCAAATCGCACAGTAAGTTGATCTCCGTTCAACTCCTCTAGACATGTTTTTATTTTGGTGTATTTCTTTTTTCAGAGCTTGTTAAAAAAACAAAAAAAGCACGTGAACATTTGCTAGTTTCCTCATTTATAATATCAGTATCTTTTCGTTTGAAATTCCAAAATAGCAGTGTGTAGGAGGAAAAGAGACCAGGGGTCCAGATACGCTCTCAGACCTGAAAATTACCATTCTGAATCACTAGAAAATTCTGATATAATCCAAAATTCTTAATTGAAATGGAAAAGAGACCAATGTGTAAATCAATGGAGGTTTCAAATTTTGACAAAATCTTTGGCTCTACTCTAGTCGTCGGTCTAAATTCTGAGCAATGCGTCTATACAAAAAAATCATCCTTCACTGTACCCAACGTTCTTCTGAAAATAGACTGACCTTCAGGTGTTCCTGACACATTAATCCCCCATATACATGTTTGAACTCTATCATTGGGCACATTCAGATCTTTGGCTATGTGCACTAGTCAGACATATCATAAATGCAATATCACAAAACATAATCATAACACAGAAAAGGATTTTCTCAAAGTACTAGTTGGTTTCTGTTAGAATAAGGATAATGTTCTCGAGGGATGTTCTGAATAGCTCGTATGGTATTTCTCGGAATGTAGAAAATTGCGAGTTTCAAAATTCCAGATTTTAGAAATGTCGACACATACTGATTTAGAAAATTTATAAATTCTAGAATTTCGGAATATTCCAATTTCCGAATGTCCGGAATTTCGGAATTTATGGTATTTACCATCACAAAAACACAAAGAATAGATGAAAATTCGAAAAACAGAGATCGAAAACGCAAAAAGTTTTATGACTATTTAATATTCGAAATTTCGGAACTTCCGGAACTCCGATTTTCTTTCCGGACATCCCTGCAATGTACGCCACGCGGGGTTTCAGACGCAAAAATGAAACTATCCAAATTGGCCTCTATTTCAGAACACGACTGACATTTCCATACCGTCGAGAACCCAACACGAATTGCACATGTGTTCCAGAAATAGACCCAGTTTGTGTGAGAGATGGTGCATATCAATACACTTACTCGAATATGTGCATTTTCCAATGTGCACAGGAAACAAAGAAAGGTAGAATCATTAATTTATTGAGTACATATTCCAAAGTTCAGTTTCACTATTTTCCTTATTCGTTTAAGATTAAGCTCTACATTTTTTCTTATTCAGCCTTTTTCCTAATCCTTGTGAGATTAGATTCAATCAGACTCATCAATCGAGAACAGGAAGCATACCTTGAATCACCATTGTTGTGTAAAGTCACAAAATCGCAAAATCCATATTATAGTTTCTGGCGATGAGAAAAAATAAGTGAAACTGGTTTATGAGACCCCGCCAAACATTAATAAACAATATAGAGTACATATGATGCACCCTGAAAATGAATCATGACACCACAACAAGTTTCAGATTTGGCACTGCTCTATGAGGGATCGTGTTGCTCGGCGAGATACTGTAATATGTTCGAGCAACCAGTTTGTGCAGTAGGACAGGTGATTCAAAGAAAAGAGCAAAATAACTAGACGATTTTGAATTTCAGATGTACCAAAGTGTTTGCGAGTTTGAAGAAAGACAGTGCATCGAATTCAAATTATTCAAAAATCATATTTCAATGGATTCAAGTCAAGAGAAGTTGGCCGAAAAAATTTACATTTTATCAAATTCCAGAATTTCAGATGTTCCTGTACTGCACCATGTCCAACTGAGTGGAATCCAGTTTGCGACAAAAAGGGACAGACGCATGCAAACTTTTGCACATTTTTAAACTCCAAATGTTATCACAAGAATCAGTGAGTTTTTCATCGGTATCAAAGTTTTTGGGGGTTACTGTAAAATGTTTGTTGTTTCATAGTAATCCTTCTCTGTCACTTATTTGACGACTTTTTGTGATAGTATTAAAACGAATAACGTCATCCCGATGTGTGAACATACAAAATACAAGTTTTGAGTAGAGTTGTTAATTTTTTTGGCTTTATGAGTAATCAACAGATTCGTATTTTGGATTCAGATCGTTTAGTCTTTTGTGGGAAATTGGAAATGTTTGACTAACTGACTCAGAACATGCTTGGGGGACCACAACTTATGTATCCGAAAAACGCTGTAGGAATGTTATACTGGTACAAAAAATCAGAGCTGTGAAGGAAAAACGGCGAATGCCGAAGGTCCCACAGCAACAACTACCGTTACTGGAAGATATTTTCGTTTTCAGGATTCGTTTTCTCATTTTCACTGCTTTTTGTTAATTTTTCCGTTATTTTCCATCAGTAACGTCGTAAAAAAAATGTTGGACTGTTAAAGAATTGACTGAAAACGCAAAAAATATCGAGAAGAAACCTAAAAATGAAAATGTTTTTAGTGTACGGTAGCGGTCGTTGTGGAACCTTCGGCCACGGGTTCTCGTCCACAGATGGTCATCATAATATGGAGCTTTAAATCTCAGAAGTTATGAACTTCACAAATCTTATTCTTTCTAAATGGAATTCCACTAAAAAAAATCATTCAAACCAAATATTTTCTTACCATCTATAAACGAATTTGCAAAATTTGTTTGATTTGTTTTGTAAGATATGGGTTGTCTGCTGTAAAACCTGCAATAGAAAGGTGTTCACACTGTCAAATTTGTCCCAATTATCTCAATTCCTATGCAAGATGTAAAAAATGTGCCAACTGACCAAACAATTCTGATATTGTGCTAAACGATTTTTATTTAAAGGTACTCATGTTACTCTGAAATTTTGAAGCTTTGAGTTCAAAATATACAGAGATGATTCACAAAAAAAATATTATTCGAAATTCTGAATTTGCAGACTGAATGAAACTTTGGAAGTGGACTACTCGGGTGTCTGCTGCGAAGACATGTGTTCGGCCGGTCAAACAACTCTAACAGTTTGCGATTCGGAGGGCAAAACGCATACTGATATATGTTCTTTCTACGTTGTAAGTGTCCTTTTTTCTGTTTCCGATATATTCCTGCTGTCGTCACAAAGATCACTTTATTAGGTTCAAAAAATCATCACACATTTTTTATAGTCTGTAGCCTTTACCCTTCATGGCAACGATGATGACAATCTCAAATTCGGTTGGGCTTTTTTTGTATCCTGCCAACATGATCAGAAAATCCTATAGCAGATCATATACGTTCTCATGGCTGTGACGTAGAATAGGTGTAAACTATTTCTGACAGTCTAGTTCATCGAACAAATTTTATTAGGTAAATTGAATTTTGTTTTTTTTTCATGCGAGGGAGTTGTGTTAGGTCAGAAACCGCAAATCAATTTCTGCTCAGTTTTGCATGACAAGTATAGATTTACTTGTCGTTCCAGTTAAATTGAAAGTGAAAATAAATTATACATAATTTTCCAGGCAAAGTGCCGGCAAATAAGACGTGGTACCGGAAAAAAGCGTCTGCAAATTGCTGGTGTCGGACCGTGCAAGCCGAAAAATCCACTTTTCCGATCATTTGATTATTTCGTCAACCGATCGGTCAATTATCGCCAATCAAAAGCTAATCGAGTATGAGTTTGTGAAATCCAATTGCCAATGAACTATTGTCTCTGTGCTCAGAATTTATTTATTCAACGTGTGCAATCAAAAAGAATCGGGAGACAAAAGGAAAAAAACTGGGGACTGAAGAAAATTCGAGAATGTTTTTTTTCATGTTGCTGTTTTTTTTTTAGATTTTGATTTTTTGAAAATATCAGTGGTTATGAAAAATAAATGGTGAAACCAGTAAGCGTTTGCTTAACCACAAAATGATCGGGGTTTTTTTTCGGGAAACTGTTCGTGATGGATATACAGGATGGGGGGAAAGGGGGAAATTTTCGTTTGAGAGAATGCAGGAAAAAATATGAACAGGTACAGTAATGACTAGAAATATTCAGAAATAGGGGGAGAGAGAAAAACCAAAAAAAAAAATGAAGTCGCCAAGAAGAAACTATACTGAAAGAAATGGAACTATATGTTCATAAAGAGATACACAAGTTACGGTGGTTTGAAGGGTGAGAAATTAATAGGAATTATGGCTCTGGGGAAAAATTTGCTTTTTTGAAACAAAAATGGAAAAAAAAACTGAGAACGGGTCAAAGATTTACAAGATAATTGGTGTGTCTGGAAACTAAAACAATTGTTGTCAATTTTAGTTTCTGATCTACCAAAATTCGGTTTTAAAAAAAATTAATCTTTTGGATTTGACAATTAGACTGGATCGATTTCAACTCCATCAATGTCGATGGAGTTGTACTGGACGATCTTCGGTCGCTCGCGATGTTTTGAGATAATGTCGCAAATATCATCGTAGATCTGGAACAAGGAAATATTAGATAGCTTGGTTAGGAGATAGGGTTTGAAAAGTGTGTATTTTCTATGTCACCGTGAAAAATGTTACATATAAATACATACTCTTCAATTTCACCAAACTGATCTCTGCTTCCGAAGAGGATATCAAACAGTAATTCATTAAAACGTTCTAATAACAACAAAAGAATTCGGTCAGTTTATACATTTGTAACATCTTGAGTTGTTCCTTCTCAGAAAAGTTTTACATTACTATATGTCTCCGGCAATTTCGATTTCGAATACCGTAAATGCTCTACTAGAAGCTCACCCTATATCACTCGAACTCAATTATTTTAGTTCCTAGGTGAGATATCAAAAGTTTGTCAACTGATAAAATATTGGTGTAAATAAATTTTCAGTTAAAATGTGTTGACATATTTCAGAAGAACCAAGATAATTGTACTCGAAGTGCATTTATAGGATGGGCTTCTAACAGAGAAAGTTTATGAAGAACCCCAAAACTCAAAATTGACCCAATTCATTTTCGCTCCTAAGAATATTCAACTGTGTTACATTAACAATTTTTTAATAATAGTAAAGGGGAAAATTCTGCTGTTCAAAAAAATCAATATCTTCGGCAGAAATTAAGATAAATTAGGTCAAAATTGATATTTGATATGACGTACTTTTCTTTCACAGGTTTTACATTACTGTATCACTTTTGGAAATTTGAATTCCAGTATTAGTGTCACCGCATTTTTTCTCTCCTACCCAAATTGCCAACTTTGAGCTCAATTATCTGAATTCCTGCAAGAGATATCAAAAAGTTTTCAAATGATAAATTATTCATCATGATATCATAAACGTTTTTTTAATGACACATTTCAGATATCTTTTGCAGGAATCGAGATCATTAAGCTCAAAGTGGATGGTTTAGAATAGCTTCTATCAGAGAAAATACGGTATGTCAGTTCTCAGCGTGGTTTATGAAACATGAAGTTTTTGATTGACTCCCCCTAGTTTTCTTTCACTCAACAATATGGCCAACAGGCTTTCGGAAGCTTGCATTACCTTGTGAACGTCTCCAACAGTGACCAATCCCATTGTCTGAGCAATCTCGCCCTCCATCACCTCGATCCAGATGATATTTCGTTTGATCGTTCGTTGATTCTACAAACAGAAAACTTCAAAAATGTTTAATTAAGTCATTAATTATTCACTTTGCTTGAATCCGGTGTGTATGTCTTTCCTTTACTTGTCTTCTGGACCTGAAGAATCTCGGCAGTGTATGATCCGCCCTTCTTGGAGCAGTCGAAGCGTCTCGGACGGTAGACAATGTTCTCATCGGCGACATAGACAATTCCACCTCGACGGATCTGAAAGAAATCGGGATGAAAAGAAAGCAACAAAAAAGCAAGTGAATACAAGGAGTGATGTCACAAAAAGGAAATGGTTGAAGTGGATGAAGACACAATTGTGTTTCCTCTCAAGTCCACACCCTTGAAGTCTATTTTTCACTTCAGCCGTTCCATTTTTCCAATTTTTCCCTTGTCACAACATCAAAACAAAACAATTTTTTATTCATGAGAGTCGTCAATTTTTCAAAAATGTGCTCGATATTCGTGGAGGTCAAATGAAACCTGATACATGTCTATGTAGACTTCTAGTAATCTCAACAAAAAAAATGCAACTAGTATCGTACTGCAGTTCTCAAAAACTCACTTCCGAATTAGTTCCATCGTCAAGAATGAAAGCATCCACGTGCCATCTGTAGCGAACGGATGAGTCCGGCACTCCTGGATCACAGTGACGACCAAAGACGCAACCCATCTTATTTCATAACCTGGAATAAAATTAAAATATTAACCTGAATTTTCTGAGAAAGAAGGGATGTACGGAAGAATAGAAAAGGACTGAACACTTGACAAAGTAAGTTACCGCGCTTTCTTATGATTTATGCATGTCTAGGTTATGAGACGAAAAGTCAGCTGTTCGATTCGTCACTCTGAATCGAATTTGTGAACTTCTCAAAAACACGAAAAAGAAGGGAAGTGAACCCGAAAACAAAAATAGGAGAACTTTCCCCTTGCCTCCTTCTCAATAGATTAATTATTCCGCGAAATCGAGTCCATGAGAACAGAGGCAAACGCAAGGAAAGAGGGGAAATCCGTATGAAGTGAAAGAGCAAAACGAGGAGGTCCCTTCCAAAAAAAGAGATGGGCGGGGCTCTCCGAGTGCACACGGACAGCCCTTTTTTTCCAAAATCGGAAATTGTGCTGTGTGGGACGTAATAACAACAGGGGCTTAGAAAGAACGAAACGCCTACAGATAGAATGATGGATTTATTCGAAATATTCGATAAAGATAAGAAAAAAGAAATGAAAAGTTGTGAAATCGAGTTTCCAGAAACACATGCGTAGTTCTTATCATCAATTTTTCGGTGAAAACGGTCTACTTGATGTAAAAGAGGCAAAGTTTAGACGAAACCGGATGCTAAAACAGACACTAAACGTATAGAGAAGAAGCTGGGGAGAGCATCAATGGAGAAAAAAGGCACAGAGAGGGCATTCAATGCTCCTGGCACATCAAGAATGGCTTGAAATAGGATCTGTGTGCGAATTAGAGACGGCCGGCGGGTGGGACCATCGTATTTGGAGCAAAGTGTGCATTGTCAGGTGTAGCGGACTATTAGGGAGAGAAAATAGTGAACGAATTAGCAGAAAACAGGAATATGGAGTTCGGAGTAACGTTCAAAACACAAAACTAGTTGTAAATTGGGAAGAAAAAAGTTTCGAAGAACACAAATTAGTTTTCTTGTCTTTTCAAGGTTAGTCTACTTGTTTCTTGAACTCATTTTTCGTAGAATGAGTCAGTATTCTGAGGATAGTTCAAAAAACGGAGCCAAGTGTTCATTGAAACAAATTGACTGATAATTACTGTTCAATTATGAGTGAATTACTGGTTTTAGAATGATGAGGTTTCAAAAGAATTTTCGGTAAAGACGAACATTGTTTTATATTTTCAAAAATACAGAGAAAGTGAAAATCTCCCAAAAATTATTGGAGGTTACAGAATGGTTTTTTTTTCAGGAATTTACCGAAAAAAAGTATTGAAAAGTACTCCGATCAATAATTATTATTGCATTAAAATGTGTAACTAAATATGTAAATTAACATACCACCTAAAAATTTCGAAAAAAAAATCCAAAAAAACTGAACAGCGCTTCAAAAAATGAAAAAATCTAGTTAATTTCTAGATGATTCCAGAAAGTTCTTAATTTTTTTTGAATTTCCGCCAAAACTGAAAATTCTGAGGCATTTTTAGAAAAGTATCAAAAACAAAAATGGAGCATTTTCATGGTATTTTTCATGGTATTTGAATGATATTTCAAAAATCCCAGACCCTTCCAGAAGTTTTCCGAAGCGTATGAAAACTTAAAGTGTTCCATTATGAACCGATTTTGGATGTTCTGCAGGTTTTTTTTTGAATACTTTCTTTGTTGTTATGTGAATTGCTATATCTACATATCACGAAATAATTAAAATTTTGGTCCTAGTCTGGTTTTTTTAGCCTGATAAGAAAGAAAGGAAGTTAGGTGCGAAATGAAATTCTTGCTCCATCTTGTTTGGAAACTAAGCAAATTGTATATCAATCTTTCAATGCTCTATGTCATGGCGTTTTTAATTTCCTGAAAACCACGGGATTTTTTTCCTAATCTAATAACCTTTCGTTTTGCACTCCCACCCAAAATCGCCGAAAATTCCCAACTGATGAATTACTATTCAAATTGGAAACGTGATGCAGAAAAAATTTCGTAGGTTTCCAGGAAAAAAATCCGTGGGTTGAATTGGGGGAAAAAGAAGGGAACGTTAATACCAAGCAATTGGAATAGCAAAAACGTCTTATCCCTATTTAATTGCATCTGACTCACTCACTTCTGCTGAAAAAATAGAGACGATCGGGAATTCAATTATTAGTTTCAGACTCATTTTTTTGTATTTTTTTTCAATAAAAGTGAGAATAATAGAAGAATGTGTGGGCTGTGACATTTCAATTGGTAAACCGGAACGAAACCTAAACTGGGCCACCGAACAAAAGTGTAAATAAGTTGAAAATTTGAAAAGAAGAGAGAGGAACAAAAAACCGAAAATTGCCGGGAACAAGAAGTTTCTTTTTTTGAATAAAAACCTCGGCATTTTGGTTTTTGGACCATAAATTGTTTCCGGGTATTGGTAAAAGTGATGGCAGTTTTCATATGGGGTTCAGGAGGTTAGAAGAATGGAAATTCAATAAGAAAACTTTTTAAAAATTACGTTCATCGCGAAAATTGTAGGTTAACCTAATACCTCTAACAGAAATGTCATTTCAGTCAACCTTGACCTCATTGTTATTTTGAAATTAACAGATTTCGGTTGTGAAAAAAAAAAGCAAAAACCTATTTTTCTAAATTCCAAATGTTGGGCGGAGTAGGGTTTCTGTATGAAATTTCATTTGACCATAAAAAAGTAATTTTCATGTTGTCTAGAATCACAATCATTTCAGAAAGAGTTCACCAAAAATTCCATTCTCCATTATTCCAATTTCATCAAAACAAATATTCATTGGAAAGTGCATTGAACGCAGTCGTCAAGTTAAAGAGGACCAAAAAGTGGGGTCCAAAATGGATTGTCGCGTCACGAGAATGAGAATGAACTGAAATGGACATAATCGAGTACCTTTTGTGTTTCGCATTCATCTTTAATGTATGAGATTTCGTGCTTCTCCATTTTTATTGATGTAATCGGCAGTAGTGGCAGCACAAAAAGAGAGGATTGTAGAAAACAAAAAGTGAGGTTTGTGGAGAAATGGAAGGATCATGCTCGTCTAGGTGACTGATTTACATGGTGCTATGTATATTGTTGTTGGTGTCAGTCACTCGGAAAATTTGGAACATCTAGGAGTAGAAGAAGTAGTAGCAAACAGAAAGTTGGAAAGCAGTAAAGCATGAGAAGGTTAAAGATCATACGGGTGGTGAGTTCTTTTGGTACCGTATGATACTAAATGAAAAGATAATTATTTTGAGATTTTCAGTAGACGGTAATTGACTGTTAAGAATTGATAAAATAAACCAGAGCTTTTCTCTGAGCCTGAAAATTTCAGAGTATACCAAAAAACGATTTTCAGTTGACAATTTTTTGCATAAATCCATCAAAGCAAAATACCATAAACCTGTACTAGATGGGCCCCTGAATTTAAAAGGCTCCTTTCATTAAAGAGGCCCAAAAAAACCTACTTGAAACAGATGGCCAGGCCCTTCTAGTACATGTTTTACAGGATGCGGCTTTCAAATGGCACAACTTTTATAGCATTGTTCATTTTGGCATTTTTAATTATTTATGATTATAAAAAGCACGTCTCATCAAAATGGAATTTGAAAAAAAGATTACAGATTACAAAAATCAAAATTTTTCCTGTTTTGTATGATTTTGAATTAATGGAAAATCCTAGAAATATTTTTAGGACTCTAAAGCTGTCCCTGAAAATGTCGAAGCATGATATATTTCTATCTAGTACCGTAACTTGTCATGAAATATTACGAAATTTTGTTAGCTCTACTTATGAAATGTTATTGGAAACAACGCAAATTTTCTCGTGTTTCTTTAAGCCCCGGGGGAAGTCAATCATTCATTGATAACTAATTTTCCTAGAAAATAACAAGTTCTTTGTTTCAGAACATTTTCTGTTCAGATTTTTCTCCAGCTAGTACAGAATAAGAAAATCCTAGCTCAGTTTAGAGAAACATTGGAATTGGGAAAATGTTCAAATGAAATTTCCCCCTGCTCTTCGTACCGAGCCAAACAAAATAGTGCATCCCAAGCCAGATGGTGTCAAAATTAGTCCGAAACATATTTAGAGAACAAAAGAATCAGAGAAAGCAAAAATAGAATTAAGTTCTTCTTCGTTTTGTTCTCACAGCTTGATCGCTGTTTTCATTATTCATTGGATTCGAAATAAGAAGCGAAAAACTACGAATAAATTATTATTGTTTTGAATGGATAGAAAAGGAAATGAATGAGAGAACCGACGCAACAAAAAAAGAAGGGTCCCACCCTTCTTCGACTTGAACCTTCCAAATTCTCACCCTAAAAAAACTAGTTAAGAGGAGGCTGAATCTTCTTGAATATTTTTCCTGGGTGCCAAATAAAAACAAAAAACGTGTGTGAGCAAAACGAAAGCAGCACTAGGGGAAGCTCAACACAGAAGGAGAGCCAAATGCGGAGGATTTGATTTAATTGAAGTGTGACACAAGTGTTTGAAGTATCGGACATGAGGACAACGGGACCCGGGGAACGAAGAAAGCCTTGTTGATGGAAAGCAAAAACGAGAGAAGAGTTGAAAAAAATGGATGTGACCGGATTTGAAACCTTTTGTCACTTTGACGCGTGACACATATGAATGAACACAAGAGAATTCACGGCGAAATTGAAAAATCGCAACATTCAAAAGCGCAACAATAGATTTTCATGAATACCAGAATGAGTAGGACGACACAAAACTGGGCATTTTTTAAATGAAACCAAACCAGACGTGTTTGAGGTCATAGGTCTTGTTTGTAACAAAGCCTGAATAGATCCAAAAATGTTTCATATCAGTTTCAATATATTTTGGCTACTGTAGACCAATGAAACATTTTGAAAAGTTCTATTTCTAAAGAAATGTAACATTTGAAGGTATAGGGTTATATAATTTTCGCTGCATACATGAGTCATGATCTTGAATTTTGACAAAATCAAAGTAACGTTTTTAACGACCAGGTTTTTATCGTAACTTAATCATGCAGTAGTTTGCGT